CTGGAACCATCCGCACAGAGGGTGTACCAGTGCCAGCAATACCTGCCGGGACAGGGTCTTCTCTGCTTATGGGGAACCTATTGTTCGGGCGTGCTATTAGCCATCCAATCATTGGATGAGGTTTGGCCGGGTTCTTTGCAGCGACTATCGTTTGGAGATTGTTTCGACAAGCCAGTCGGCGGAGCCGTGTGGCCGCCCTCTCTACAGGGGCTATCGTTCGGGTCCTCGTTTGACCAGCCAGTCGCGGAACCTTGTCGCCGGCCTCCCTGCAACAGCTGTCGTATGGGAAAAGGTTCAACCACCCGATAGCCGGAAGTATTTGGCTGGCCTCATTAGGAGAGTTACCGTTCGGGAGATGTTTCGACCAACCCATGGCCGGGGTCATGCGGCCGGAATCCCTCCGGGTTGTGAAAAGGACAAAGGAGGAAATGCTGTGGCAACATGGGAGAGATAGGAGTGAACGGGGGGTGGTACGCTTGAGGTATACCCGGCGCTCGACCGAGTTGGTACGCTGTTTTGTTTGAATATCTTCCAAAGGTGTTTCTCTTCACATTGCCGGTCGCCCCGGAATATCCTCGAAACTCTACTGGCCGGGGTCAGGGGTTCGAGTCCCGGCGTAAGCGAGCTTTTCTTGAAAAGTGAGTTTTTCTCTCGCATCCGTTCCCGGCCTGGGTGGAAAGCTCTAGTTCATGTGTATACAGAAGGAAGAGAGTGCTGAACTCTTGTCGCATTGATAATTGAAGGAAAAGTACCGCAGGAGGGGTGGGCAGGGGGCCTCAGGTAGAGGAACGCTCCTGTGTGAGAACAGGTTGGAATAAACGGCATAAGTGCGGTGAGCGTTGATTTGAAACAATAGGAAGGTTTGTTCGTCGAAGCAGATAGAATAAACTGGTGTTTGTTTTGTAACAGTCGAATTAGAATTTGGCTTCATTTTCTACCGGAAACCCAGGGTCACGGTGTTTGGAATTATTAGTCTATAGTTGGGGGTGTCATTCCGTGATCGAGTCCACGCAGGGGCTGTAGCAAAGTCGGGTAACGTGTGACAGCTACAGAGCGCGTGAAGCAACGGAAGGACAGCAGCAGCCGCCTCACGCAGTAGCGGCGGCAGTTTAGAAAATCCCGCCCTCCCATCCCTTTTCTTTCGAAGGTGGGGGCATAAGTTCGGGAATATTCGGTATCTAGTCAGGTGTTGTAGAATGGTGTGTACCATTTGAGGACTTGGTCAGTTTTGGGACTCCTGCGTTTGCAGTCGTAGTCCCCCGGCTAGTATTTGTGGGGAGAGAGATGGATTTGTAAGAGTTGACGCCGGCCTTTGCAGCTAACGCGGCCGGAGAGACGATGAGCGTTTCGTGCGTCTCTCTCCCCAACACGTAGCCTAGAAACCGAAAAAATAATGAAGCAATTCGAAAGAAAACAAAATAAAAGTACTCAGGACAAGTGCCGTGCGAAAACGACAGACTGAGCCGAGAAGCAAGACGGAAACGGGAAATAGCCCCGAGAACGAGATGCAGGGCTCGCATGTAGCTAGACCAAGTCATGTATTGAAAAAGAGTATCCCCGGAACCCTCCTGCCTTTTGGGCCACCGAAACGACGTCCATCATCAATGCATTGTAAGGGTTTGCAGCTTACATGATGCACATCCCCGTTAGAGTGATTTTCATCCCCAATTCAGAAGTAGTACGCCTCAGTTTAACGGAAACGATCTTGCAACAACAGTGCAGCAGTTAGTTTCGTTGCGACGGCTGGGTAAAATATTTCCCTCTCCGGGGTCGATCAAGACTCCCGGACACGTGGCGGATGTTTTGGAGCCCAGGCGCCAAGAAAGGACCCAACACCAAGATGTGGTAAAATAACTGATTCAGACATGGTTGAACAAACACATGTTTCGTATGCTGCAAGACACTAACAATCAACACAGTAACAACGACAGATTGACCACGAACGTAAGTTTTGAGGGTTGGAATGCTTGTACTGGAGTAAGAGGTACGGGGGTTTCGGATCATTCTCTGCCCTACATCTGAGCCTGACCCTTCAAATCTTTGGCAATCTTTTAATGTACCGGGACAGAGGTTTGGAGTTTGATTACGCGGACTAAGCCCGCGGATACATGTGTGTGTGAAACCCACCTATCTACGGGCCGCACGCTTTCAAAATGTTGCACCTGTCTCAATCAATGAAAAAGAGGAGATCTGACACCAGAGCAGAAGTGTCACACGCCGGCAGCAAAGAAATATTCTTGCAGATATACTGGCAAGTGGGATGTTGATGAATGTTTTCGGGCGTTCATTCCACAGAACCCCAGATGAAGTGAAGAGAGCGAAGAAGAAAGCAGATAGTAAATAGATGCAGAGATGCCAGAGCATCATCATCATCACGTTACTTGAAGTGGTCGGGCGAGAGGACGGGCGGCAGATGATAGAGAAATATGCACGGATGAATGGGTGTTGGTACTGTAGGTCAACATTCATATATATGCGCGTGTGGTTGGATATGTATGCGTGTGGTCTCCCTCCTCGCTGCGTGCTCGTTATCGACACTGAGTGTGGTTTGATGACGTTGCGAAACTTCGTACACACAGAGACCAGAGTGGCCTCTGCTGGCTCTATCTTGCCGGGAGCGCGTGGTATGCGCCAGTTGCAGCTCCCAGGCTCCCGGTTCATGTGTGTTGGTCTGTGAACTGGTTGGTTTGAATGCGCTGCCCAGAACAAATCGGCATGAGTGCCAAAACTGCTCGAAAATGGACAAGACGCCAAGCAGGCGCCAAGTTGGATGAAGACAGTTGATTGGCGGACGTCAAGTTAAATCTGTCCCTGTGGCTTTTGGTTTGTTTGCTGCCCAAAACGGCAGTAAAAAAAAGCCACCGAGACAGATTTAACTTGGCGTCCGCCGATCAGCTGTCTCCATATAACTTGCCGCTTACTTGGCGTCTTCTCTATTTTCGAGTAATTTTGGCAATTACGCCGCTTTTTCTTCTGCGCGCACCGCATTCGAACCAACCAGTTCAGAGACCGACACACATCAGGCGGGAGCCTGGGCGCTGCAACTGACGCATACCAGACGCCAACAGCAGCAGAGACCACTCTGGTTTCTGTGTGCACGAAGTTTCGCAATGTCAATCATCACTGAGTGTCGATGAGTACGCAGCAGCACCCGCTAGAAGAAGAGCTACAAACACGCACGCACGCGTCATGCACACACACGCGAATATGGTATGTCGAGCTACTGCAGCACAGCAGTAGGACCCACACCCAGGGATGCATGCATGCTTTTATATCATCTGCACGCCCCTCTCGCCAGAACACTTCAAGTACTGTGATGGTGATGCTCTGGCAGCTCCGCGTTGTTCTTTTTCGCTCTCTTGACTCCATCTATCGATAGGTTCGTTATTGGAGTGAACACCCCACCCAAAGCAATCAATCGCATCAATCATCCATCCATCCCGATGCGTCGGTTTGTTGGCAACCCACATGGCAGGATATCTGCACGGTGATTCCTTTGCTTCCCCAGTGACGGCACCTCTGCGCTGGTGTCTCCTTTCCTTCATCGATTAATTAAGTGAGGTGCAACATTTTGAAAGCGTTTGGCTCGCAGATGAATGAGTTTCACCGCTTTATTGGCGGGCTTCGCCCGGGTAATTAAACCCCTAAAAGCTCTGTCCCGGTACATTAAAAATATGCCACGTTTGTAACGCGGCCAATGCCAGCTTGTGTGCTGGACGGCGTTTTGTATTGGCGAGAGAGAAGGAAGGGTGGGGTTCACACTCGTGCTTCGGCCCGGTGTGTTTCGGTTTCGTCGAGGGGGAAGCCATGTTCTTTGTGGAGCATAAGGCGCGAGGCAATATATGGAGACACGCACAAGCCGTAGCTCGAGCGGGCGGGAAGAGTCGTGCGTACTCTGGATGGATGTGCTCCCCTCCCCTTCGTCTTTCGATCCGTCCCCGAGGGGTTCCAAAGCTTGTTGTGCACCGACAATTGTACAACATTTATCGGCTTGCAGTGTTGCTGTAGCAGTTCGACATGTGACCGTCTAGAGTACTCTGTGGGCATGACGCCGAACGGCTTGCATCGTCTATGTAGTAGGGAGCTCACCCTAGAGAGAGCAAGGGATAGATGAGTGAGTGTGATTGCCGCAGCACGAAGACATGAACACCCTTGCAGCACCTACGATGATAGAGGGCGAATTTGGCCGCAACACGAAGTTCTAAGGTTTTGAATGTTTGAAATGATCAGTACTATAGAAAGGAATCTTTGGTCACTTCGACGTTGACCGCAGGTTCGCAACCCTCTCGCCTATGCGGTTCGTTTCAGCCTCATTTCGCCCGTGAAACTTCAATCAGGATTCAACTGGATGGGTTGCCGGCTTTCAAACCGGAACCTCCAGATGCTTTGGCAGCATGTAGTTGAGTTGGCCCATATTGTTTTGTGAACAATGCGGCTCAACGTCAGTTTTGCTGTTGTGCTGACTCCTGCCATACCATGTCGAGCGAGTCCTTGATAGTCTCCTCGTTAGTACTGGACTACTCGTGCTGCGTATGCGCACTACCAGTCCTATTGCCTGATGAATTCGACACTTCATGCTTGGGAGCAGCATGTACGGTGAATGGCCGTCGTAGTGCCGGCAGCGAAAGAATCAGATAATGGAGTTGACTCTTGGCCCCAGCCCGTGGGTTCTCAGTCCCTGACGCGAGCCCTCTTTACGCCACGCGACCAATACCAACAGGAGCAAGCTGGTTGTCTGCCAAGGCACATCACTCTAACAGGGCTATCCACGCGTACCAGTATGGATGAAAGGTGAGATCTTTTTCAAACCCTTCAGTTCTCTTCTGACACAGATATCAGTACGTATGGTACATGACCTACTTCTACACAGCGACACATGGGCTCTCGTCTCCTCGAAATGCCAAGCGTTCGCGCGGCAGAATATTGCAGAAAGTGCAAACCCGAGGCCCCTTGCATCCTGTGCACAGCCCGGTGTGTGCAAGACGGCCTGCCCTGTCGGACTAGGAGTCTTGGCGTCCATTGTTGGCCCGTCGGCGACTCGGGCTCGGCGACTTGCCGCGGGTTCGGCCCCTGCCGGGGGGCGACGTGGCGGGCGTGGCGTCGGCGGGCGTTGCTCCTGCAACGTTTGGCGTGGGGAAAAACCGGGTGAAGGAGAGAGGGCGAATGATGAGGAACTTGTTCTTGATCACGAAAATGGATAGCTACAGTAGATTTCACGTCACAGGCTGCAGGGAACGTCGTGACCCTCGTAAACCCGGGGCGGAACCCGCAAGACTTTCGCCGACCACAGGAAGGGGACGTGAAGGGTCGAGGGGATGGTCCTGCTACCTGAGATAGTTGCATCTACTGCAGTAGTACCTAGCAGAGAGCTCACCTTCTGCTCCCTTGCCCTCGTCCTCGTCGTCGTCATCCTCGTCTTCGGCGAAAACTGCCCACCGGTTGGTTGACGCTGTGGGGGGGGGCTCCTTCTTCTTCTCCCTCCTCCTCCTCGCTTTTGGCACCATCGGGGAAGAAGCGGGTGGGTGGCGAAGGGGTTGGTCACAATGACTTGGCCGACGGTGGTGAGGGCACTAACGATGCTGCTGCCTAAAGAGCCCGATCATGCTCAGGCCAATCTTGCTACAGGGCGTTCTGCCACATGTTTGACTCCGACGGCACACTGGTGGCTGCGGTCGGCCTCGTTACAAACGGTATCTTCCTAGATTCCGTCGAGAACTCTTGAGTACGTTGAATGATTCACTCGCTTCGCTACGTACGACAGGTGCTCGCCTGCCCGTCTACATCGCCAAACCGCTAACAGAGCAGTATGTGGATACCCCACAGTATCAGGGAGCTGCGTTCAGGGCCCCTTGGCGACAAGGTGTGATTTGAGCCTACAAAGGTCGGTTGCGATATTCATACTTCGAGCAACAATGCATGTACTTACCCGGTGCTGCTGTCGCCTTGGCCCACGGTGCTGATGAAACATTCCCCTGTCGCGGGTCACACCTCCCGTCCTGCTTGACCTCCTCCATGGACCGAAGCATCGCCTCCTCCATGTGCCGCAGGCCGAACCCTTCCTCGTCCAGCTCGCTGGCCGTGGACGCGTGCGAACCCTCGGCAACAAGCTGCTGCTGGGCTTGAGGCCCCGTCTCTTTCCCCTGCGTTGCTGCCTTGCGGGTAGCCTCCTCGACCGCCTCCGTCTGAGCAGAATCCCTCGCCATCTGCTCCCTCGCCGACTGCAGCGAGGACCGACATTCCTGACAAGCGCCGGAAAAGGGTGAAGAGTGGAGTGTTTCTTGCAACCTTGAACACTGGGGGAAGACATTGTAGCTTAGACTATGCGTAGAGGAGCATGCTGTTAGCATAGACTAGTCTACACATCAGTCATGCAAAGTTGTACTGTACAAGTTTCACCGAGAGATGCACAAATCATGCTCACCACCGTATCGTCTGATCATCACGGCTGTGCTCTATGAGGGCCAGTTAATCGGTGTCTGTCGTGCGTGCGGCTCCCTTCTACATTGTGCAGTAAGATACTTTTCGTATCAGAGCGTGCGCGCACCTCGTATTTTGCACGACAAGTAGCCATGTCACGTTCCGCCTTTTCCGTCTTTACTTCCTCCTTCATCAATGCGGCGTTTAGAGAAAGCATCCCTAAGCGCTGGAGCTGTAGGGCAGGGTTGGAAGGTTGGGGGCGCGGGCAGGGGGATTTGTGGCCGGCGACAAACGACGCCAGGAGATCATCAGGGGTAACGAAACATGCCTATGTACACAGTGTACCAATATGTGGCTTCATGACTAGTTTCTGCTGAGCTGAACAACGCAACAAATCAGAACGTGTGAGACTCTTGTCACAGCACTTACCTGGGTCTGGACGTTGAACCGGGCTACCACCTCGGTCATTTTCTGCAAGTCGTGCTCGGCCTGCGCCAACGCCATGCTCGCCCTGTTGGCGTCTTGCCGGTTGTGGATTCCCTCCAGCTGGTACTCGTAGCAGGCCGAGCGTGCCATCTGTAGACGAGCGCGGTGTACGGTATGCGGGGGGCGAGAGGTTTACTTGCTCTTTCAATGTCCACGTGGCGAAAGTTGAACGTGTCCATGATATGTACAGTAGTGTGCTACTGAATACTCTACAACACAGGGAGAGTCGTGCAGAGGGGAATGGAAGGTGAAATCAGAACGTTTGAGACGCTGTCGCAGCACTTACCTGCTTCTCGGCTTCCGTCCTTTTTAACAGCTTCGTCCTTGTCTGCAGCTGGGTTTTGACTCGCGCCGATTCGGCGCTAGCCCTGTGGGAGTCTGCCCTGTTCTCGACAACAGCCAGCTGGAACTCATAGCAGGCTGAGCGTGCCGTCTGCAGACGAACGCAGCGTACGGCATGCGGGGGGGGGGATTCTTGAGACACATATGTGGACCATGCACGCCGTTGCCTAAAACATCGAAACCACAACGGAAGACAAAGTCCCGCTGACAAAGAGTTGATTTCGATGGCACAACCCACTTGCAATCTGTGGATGAACGATCCGCAGGGCGGGCGCGGAAGGAATGCGGTGAACTTTCAACACCGTCTATCTGTGATAATGAGAAATGGACGTGAATTGCCGATGGAAGAGAGTGTGTTTCGATAGCACTGGCCGTATCGGCCCGGCTTGGCCTAACGTGTATGCTACGGCAGCAATGGAAAAAGCACTTACGTCTCTCTGGGCTTCGAAACGCGTTGTCTTCTCGTTGGCTGTAGCAGTTTCTGCCCTTGATTCCTCAACGGTGCGCACCAGGGCGGACTCACGGTCCGCTTGGTGCTTACCCCACCACCGCAGCAGTATCACCATGCTCAGGACCAGGATCAGGATCAAGACCGTGAAGGCGACGCCCCCCACGGCCATCTTCCACTTGTAGGCCGCGAACTCTAACTCCAGCTGCTGGCGTTCTGCCAACTCCTTCGCCGCCCGCCGGTACCCCGGGAGCAGGACCTTCGCCTGCGAAAACATGCCCGCCATCTTGCTTCCAACGCTGGGATTGGGAGGGGATGGGGCAGAAATGAGCGCGAGCGGGGTGGTCTAAGCGATCGTTACCGGTGGCTAGTTGATGACTTACGTATGTCTTTCTATCTCTCTCTTCGGCCAAACCATCGCGAATCCCGCAACAGAAGCTTCGCCAACGTTCGCTTCGGCACACTTCTTCCTTGGTTCAGCGTGTTCGAGACAGTTGTCCACTTATGCACACTATAGACTAGTATGCGAACGCCTTGAACGCGAACCACATACAGAGGGTACGGTGATAGCTTGCTTCTCTCCATTCTCCTTGGAAGACTGCTTGCGGTCTACATACATACCTCGTTTCAGGTCACCGTCGAATCAGTTGGCACAAGATGGAACCACTTCGACCGGCGGCTACCGTGCATGCTCTCCGTATGCGCACACCACCTCTCTCACCTGAATGCCGTTGCTATCGCCCGATGCCGTAGTAAGTCGATTGCTTGGGTTATCGATTGCTTGGGTTAGGCTGTGGATGGCTGTGTCAAGTGGGCTAGGGGATGCTAGATGGATGTGGCTAGCACGGGTGGATCTTTATTCTTGGGACGGGGGTTGAACCGGTGATGGTTCGGCTGGTTAGATGACTGCTTGAACCGAACGATGGGACTGTCAGTTTCCTGGTTGAACCAAGCACCAGCTGGACCATGGCGTCACTTCACAGGGTAACTATCGCCGAATGAACCGTATTGGTTGATATCCCTTCCGAATGGTCCAAACCTGTTGTGCTCGTTAAGTTTTTGGTGGTGTCACCTTCGTAACCGTATTCGGTTCCAGTCTCTGCTCAGAACGTCGTACTATCGGTCGCGGGTTAGAGGCTCTGTGTATTGAGATGTTCGCTGGCACGAGGGATGGCATAATGGGCTGCGAGGAGTTCAGCGAGTTCTGGTCTGAGCTGTTGCTATTCGGCATTTCATTCCCTTGTGTTCCTGCTCACAGCAACGTTCCTCGCCATAGAAATATCCCGACGAGTGCTTGCTGATCGCATCGAACTTTTAAGTACTGCTTGTACGAGGAAGGCGGTGATGAACGCTACATGCTTGCGTCTGTTGTGACCTACTTCACCCTCCGGACCCAAATCACCCCCCATCTCGACGGGCGGCCAGTTCCGCATGACTGGGATAGGAGATTATTTTGGCTTTTTCTTTGTCCTGTTATTCACTCAAGAAGGCCTGTAGTACTGATAAATTGCGGTGAGAGGACGGAAACGGACTGATGAGGATTGGGTGGGAATCGTTCGTGCGGGCGGGCGGACTGGGGTCCTCGGGGGGACACGATCAAGATATGAGGAACAGGGTGCTGAGTCATTCTCTAGCGATGTATGACTGCATGCAGCTTCGAAACTGTATGCATGTCTTCATTGATCGTGGAGGTTCATTGGGCTCTTCGAGTCTAAAGCGTGTCGTCCGCTGCGAAAACATGTTCGAGCTTGGGAAACGTCACTTCCTCATGGAAACTGGCAGCTAATTCGCATCAACACGTGCTTGACTTTCATCTTGCATCAAGCCTTGGTTCACTATGCTCTGATGAGCCGCTCCGGAGACGGCAAAGTCCGGCCGTTCTTTAGTGAACCGGATGCCTCAGGCGGATTCTTCGGGTGTGGGTGTAGATCAACCCAGACGACATAATCGGCGAGCGCGACCTGAGTTCCTGGATGCATCGCTCCCATCAAGGGCTCCGAGCAACCCTACGCTGAAGGGCTTGCTATTCTGCACGGGTCGCTCGGCACGCGTGCGTAAATGAAAAAACATATCGCATCACCCCAAGCATGGAGACGCCGAAACAGGCCAAACCGCCACGAGACAATAAAAAGAGCCGATTCTGTCAGCGAGGGGAGGACACCGCAACTGATTTCTCGCTCCCTAGGGCACCGATCGAAGCCAAACCGGTCAGGGCGTGCTCTCTGTTCACTCAGCCGGGGTAGATTTGCTTGGCAGCGCGTACTCTCAATCGACGGAGAGAGGCATGCGCGTGTTGTCCGTTGCCTTTCGAACTGTGGTGTTTTTTCTGGCCTTTTTTTTGTCTTCACTTCAAGTCAGCGCTCACAGCACTAGTGTATGATAGTAGGGCCGTTTGTACTCCAACCCGTGGTCTCACAGAAGGACCCCCCCTCCCTCTCTACCCTCCCCTCCTGCGGTACATCGTCTTCGATATTTTATACGAGAAGAATTCAGCACTCTCTTCCCTCTGTGTACACACGAACTGGCGCTATCCAGTAGGCCAGGAGCGGAAGCGACAGAAAAACTTTACTTTGCAAGAAAAGCTCGCTTACGCCGGGATTCGAACCCCTGACCTGACCTCCAGAAGGTTTTGAAGACACCAACTAGGCCACCGGGGCGACTGGCTGCATAACTTGAGAATAGACTAACGTGTTGAGGGCCTGCAAACACTTTTCAACAGACAGCTTGAGCACACGCAGACGACGATTTCGAATGATTGGGTGAACGCGCTGCTGAGAAAATCTACTCCCACAGAGAGCGAGGAACAGATAGCACGCCCTGAACGGTCTGGCTTCGATCGGTGGACCGTGAGCGAGAAATCAGTTGCGGTGTCCTCCCCTCTCTGACCAAAAGCGGCTATTTTTGCTGTCTCGTGGTGTTTTGGTCTGCTTCGGAGTCTCCATGTTTTTTCCTTTGTTGTCTTCACTTCAAATCAGCGCTCACAGCACTAGTGCCGTTTATTCCAACCCGTGGTCACAAAGAAGAGCCCCTCTCTATCCACCCCTCCTGCGGTACTTTGCCTTCGATTTTAATGCGAGAAGAGTGCAGCACTCTCTTCCCTCTGTGTACACACGAACTATAATAATAGCTCTTTTTACCTTGGCCAAGAACGGAAACGAGAGAAAAACTCACTTTGCAAGTAAAGCTCGCCTAGGCCCTAAAAACGAGCAAAATCGAAAAAATCAAAATCAGAATCGAGATCTGATTGGTCAAGTAACCCATACCTCCTGACGACGCCCTTTGATTTTCTGGTAGTTCCTCTCGCTGGGAAGTTCCTCTCGCTGGGAAGATACAGATACATGATGATGCTTAGCATCTCCGCATCTATCTGGTGATTGATATTTGCTTGCTCCTTCGCTCTCCTCTTGACTCACTCCATCTATCTTTCTGTGGGGTATTTCTTTGGACTCCCCAAAGCCATCATCATCAATCATCTCGTTGGTACGAACAACCCGCATGACAGCATAGAATATCTGCACGGTAATTTCTTTGCTGCCGCGGTAACGATAACTACCTCTGGTGTCTCCTTTCCGTTATTTGTTCAGTGAGGTGCAAATGCTATGATCGCGCGCGGCCCGCAGATAAATGGGGTTTCACACGTGTATTGGCGGGCTTCGCCCGCGTAATAAAAATCCGAAAGGTCTGTCCTGGTACATCAAAAAATTGCCGTCTACTCTTGCCATTCCCTACCCAGAAGTACGAAGTGCTACAATAGAGTACAGACTGTCTATTTTTCGTCCACAATATTCTGGGAGCTAGACACCTGTCGGCAGCAGGCTCTTACGTACCAACCGGGGTAGCGCCGGAGGTCCATTGCATACCCTCCCGTGGTGCTATTGCTTTCATTACTACCCAGAAGGCTCTTCAGCACGGAGACGCGATGTGTACGTGTGCCGCGTGGCTGGTGCGGATAGAATTCCACCTCGAAGGCCATCTCCATTGCCTTCTTTCGTTCGGAATGTACTATGTAAACGCAACACCCACATGCGACGTGTGTCTCTCTTTCTCAAACTAACTTCGCCTCGTTTGGTCATCACGGTATTTGGTTATCATCGCTCGCACTTGTACACACCCTATCTATGAACTTGCCTCTCCAGCTGAAGCCTCTTCATCAACTTTTTTTGGCGTGGGCGTGCATGGGATTGAATCGAAAGCTGGTTGAAACAAGCTATAGCAGAACAATCTGGCCGTTTTACTATTATATAGATTATGCCGCACACACAACCCGTCTCGAGCGACTGTGAGGCCGTGTATTCTGGGACATGGCTGGCCTACACTCTGTTCTTCCCTACTACTGTACGCAGAAGTACTGCTGTCGCGTACCGTATACTGCGATAAAAAGACTGGTTTTAATTATTGTCATCCTAATCATTCTGGGAGCTAGGCACCTGTAGGCAGTGGTGTCTGACGTACCAACCGGGGTCACGCCTGAGGCGAAATAAATGGATATCCTCCCGCGGTGCTTTTGCTTTCATTTGTTCCGAGAAGGGTTCTTCAGCACTAGTGTTACGTGCATTCACAACTTTGCGAAAGGTCTAGGTTTCAGTCCAGGAGAGATTCAAACCCACAACCTAGAGCCAAACTATTATCGAGGTTACCATCCGAGCCACTCACCCACGCCCGGCAATACCCCCGCGATAGTCGACATCACTTCCGCAAGCGCATGCAAGCGCATGCATTGGGCACAGGGCGCTCGAACTCGGCAGCGAGGAGCTACTGCTCGAGACAGACGGAAACACTGGCGAGACCACAGACACAGCACTCAAAAATGACAACGGCACTTGTGACGGGAGGGAGACAAGGCAGCAGATACATGTAGGTCACGGTGAAGGGAGTGCGCATGACGGGAGTGAACCGCAGCCGCAAGGGGTGTGTTCTAAAGTCTTCTCCGTGGAAACGGTCATGTCCATTCTGGTGACGGATAACCATGGAAGCATCCCGTGCAAGCTTGCACAGAAGTTCTTCGCGATGCCTTCCACGAAAGCTGGTTGGGGTGCTTCCATGGAAGCTGATGAAATACAGCTTGCATGCATGCGCAAGTCCCGACAATGACTTCCATGGAAGCCGATAAATGCGGACGACTTCCATGGGAGAGATATTCGAAAGAATTTTTGACTTGAGCGCTGTGTTCTGATCCCGTCTTCTCTGGTACGTAGAGATCTCCTCCGAGCTGCACTTTTCTACAGCTGTACATGTTTGTGGTACTTGGATATGAGTCCGATCCGTGCTTCCTCTGTGGGGGATACGCGTATGGGAAGTATGGGTGTGATGGGTATGTATGCGGTTGAGGCCCAAGTGCGGGGCCTCCGGGGTGAGCACACGGCGGTGTGCTCCCGACACTTGCCTGAGGGGCTTGCGTGTTGGATACCAGCTTGCCTGAGAGGCTTGCGTGTTGGATACCAGGTTGCCTGAGGGATTGCGTGTAGGATATAATACATGGTCCTTTTCTTCACCTGCTGTTCCTGGGATAACGTAGTACCCAGTCTCAACACCACAGACCGCTGAAGGCGGCAGTGCAACAAACAGTATATGTAGAATCAAGCAATAGTGGCAACAGTAATTGGAGAAAAAATCACCGCGGCCGAAAGATAATGGTGGCATGAAGCCGACTCATCCACGCGCCAAGAGACAAAGAAAGCGAATCACATCCTATTTCCGATAGAGTCGATGAAAGCCATAATACCTTACGAACAGACGACACTGGCTCGTTGCCTCGCTACTTTCAATACTGCCCATTGGTCCTCACCTTGTCGATTGGAGGAGGATGAAAACTATCGTAAATACCACATTATTTTCTGAAACCGTGACAAAAAGGGGGAGTGGATAGGGCACAGGACATGTGCGTTTCGATTCAGTCACGAACGAAAATATCAGCCCGAACCACGTGCTCCAACAACGGTCTTCAATTCAGCACGACAAAAACAGACTCGACGTCATATTCGTATTCTAGAAGCCGATAACACCCGAAGTCAATTTCGTACTCTAGAAGCCAACGACACCAACTACGATCAGGTGCAAAGCTGTGTGTGGCCTATCGACCCCGCCTCTCCTTCACACAGTCCACGCCCTGATAGGCCAGAACTCGTGAACCTCAGCGGTCAACCCAACGCGTGTGCGGTAGGTATTCGTCTCCCAGAGGTCGCGAGAACAACTGCACTCGGAATCAATCAGCTGAAAGAGAAACCCCCTGCACCTGCCCAGAGGCGTTCCCCGCCGCTGTGGGCTTTCCGGTGGACAGCATGATCCGTGTCATGCGAAAAAGTGGTGGTGCCCGTTGCCGTTGTTACCTGTGGCGAACGCGATGTCGGCATCCTTCAGATTCACCTTCCAGTACTTGTACACCAGGAGGGCCGAGTCCATCGTCGACATCCAGAAGCGGCACATCGACAGGTACGCTTCCGTCTCCTGCGGGTTGATGTAGTCAGTGACAAACGTTTTCCATGCGCACGCGGGAAAGACAGAGGAGAGGAAGGTATGGAAACCCACTCGAAAAACGAATGAAAAACGACCAGAAAAGCGAGTGACCGTGCTAAATGTCGGAGCCTTAGCCTCGACGCCGAGACAACATTCAAATATGTGTCGAACTTGCTGCTGCACACTCGTACCGCAGAAACGGTTTGGCACGGAAGTAGAAGAAACCAAAACAACAATATTTGCATTTAAAATCCCGGCCTTCTTCACCGCCTTCCCATGCGGACCACCAACGATTTGTCTTGATGTCGCGCACGGATCCAGGGTATACTGCTGTACTTCTCAACCAATACCTGCATCACAAGAAGTTCGTGGTGGGCGGTTTCCCAGCCAAGCAGGTTGTTCTCGGCAACGTCCTGAACGCCATGCACGAGACCGCCCGCAGCGATAATCACAGATACAGACAGTCACACCGTGGTGACGTTAGTGGACGGGGGCAACAATGGGCGGAAAGGGTAGACCGGGGGCAAGCAACAATGTCGAGTACCAACACCGAACCCCCAGACCTGAGAACGAATGAATGAAACACCGAAATGTGAATGAACGTTCTGTGAATGAAGGAGAACCGACACTCGAATTGGCGTTCGGTGCAGCCACGACCGGCGGGGAGCAGGAGGAGTCCTCTAGTCGGCGTAGCACACCCACCGGCTGGCACGGTAGAATCGCTACTTGATCGACCTTGGGATAGTCTCGGAACTCCCCACAGTGAAAATAGTGCCTTGGTTAAAATGAGCGCAAAGCAGCGCGTGTCTCCCTCACGGTGGTAGTCCACAATTAATTTTTTCTCCATCGCCCGGGCGCATTGTCTTCGAGGCAGGGGTTGTCCTATCGAATACAAAACGAACGCGAGAATCGATCAGCTGCTATCTCACCTTCGTGAGGAACATAGATCGGATGGTGTGCACACGGCCGGAATGCGCAGAAGTGACCTATCAATATCATGCCATATCGTTTGCGGGTAAGGGACAGAATCAAAATACCACGGTCGAGTTGGATAACGTCAGTTCACACGCGGGTGAGCGCAGGAACGAGCAGTGCGGTAGCCAAGTCTTGGACGCCGCATACGCCCTTTCTGACCCAAGGCGCCACCGAGGCCAATCATAATAGAGCGGTAACGCACGAATGGGAGGTGGGGGGCAGCGGCAGGCAATAGAGTTTACTGAAGCATCACTCAAGTGACTGACGTCATATCAAATCAGTCGAATGAATGACGTCATGTCGACGACGTCGACCACGACGAACCGCATGCTGGTGGCGCCAAACGTGGAGAGAAAACACCCGCCCACCGTATAACAGATATCACAAGCAAAGTGAGTGAATGATCTAGACCACCACAATGTGAGCATGCAGCTGTGATACCTCAGATCGTGCAGTACAATGTTGTAACGGCAGCATGTGGACATGGAAACATTTTGGATGAAGTTGATGTTTCTAATGTCTCACCCCTGACCGAAGTCCTTCCAATATCTTCACTTCGTTCCGCAACCGGCCCTACCACAAGCAACGGGAATGTTGGAAACGCCCATGGTTACGCATGTTGCCCCGAAGACCACCACCGTTGTCCCCGCAGCCGATTGTCGGGCACCGCAGCAGCAAACGAGTACCAGCAGCAGCAACAGCAGTAGCAGTAGCACCATCGGGAACATTAGCAACAGTAGCAGTAGCACCATCAGCCGCAGTACCCTTCGCAGCAGTACCATGAGCAGTCGAAAAATGATTCTAGCTCACACTGGGAAACGGGAGAAAAACAAATCGTTCGCGGCCAGTGTCGCTCACCCCTAACAAAACCAAAGCCACAATGCTCCCCCTAGAAAAATACCCCCAACTTGCCCGTCGACGATTCAGAATTGAAACTCCCTCCCGCCCTTCCCAAACAAAACCAGGTTCAACGCAACACACGCACTGCCGCCGCTCAGTCTAAAACGTATCAGTCGGTTTTATTTCACAACGTGGGTTGGTTGAGACACGAGCAAAACAAGAAAAACTACACTACGCGCATGAACAAGCAGGATACCTTGAACAGCTTGAGCTTGCGGCGATGGGAAACGGACAGAGGGTGGTCATTCGCTGGCAGGCACATCGTCAGCCAGGAGATCAAGCGGTCCATCAGCTCTCGGAGTTCTGCCCATCAAGCATGAAACAAATCGAACCACGACACAACAAAGCAAACAACGGTAGGGGGGGCGGTATGGTTGGGCAGGGGGGGCTCGCGCAACATCATGTCACACGACGAGGCGCCGTCCGTGTGGGAAGACCCACAAAGGTACTTGCAGAACGCGCTCCTCTTGACGCTGGTCTGCAGCGCGCATCAATACTTGTGACTTTTGCGGGAAACCCGGGGTGGCTCATATCTTCACCCCCCGTCAATTGAAAAACAAATCCATATATGGTGCATGATTCAAGAGAGGAACGCCTCGCTGTTTCCACGGCCACAGGGCCCGCTGGCCACGATCAACAAAGGGAACACATGGCAGGACCACACGGCTAGGTTTAAATCCACTTCGCATGGTAACGCAGATGTGCGACACCACAAGAATACAGCTACGAGTAAATGGTGCGAAACCGCGGCCACCGGAGTAAGCAAAAATAGGCTATCCGTCGCGTACTGCTGTCAAGTCCAAGCAAGACCCTAATGGGTTGTATCCAGACCGGCAATACGTGCTTTGCGCTCTTTCTGAGTCGGACTGAATGTACGTCTCATTCACGGCAGCCTATTCCATGATATGGTATTCGGAAGTTTGGTCCTGATGATGAGAGCCAACGGGATGTGACGTAACGCTGCACACCGACTACGCAAGAAGGGATCAACCAGTGTTACCGCGGTTGTACTCCGTTACCGGTGGGCGACAAGCGCGACAGCCTTCGAGTAACGCCCACACACGCAATCAATCGTACCGAGAAACACAAGAAAAGCCGCGACGCATTCAAAGAGAATAACAAGAACAACGATGCCGAAAATTTACCATCTATCAGCACCAGGCATTGGTGAGAGCACTCCTGGATCTGCCCCGCTCGATTCCTGCGCATGATGAGGTCAATAAACCCAAACAAATGAAGAGAAAGATAAAGGGAACGAGACATATGATACACATGATGCAGCCAGCCATCGAGTACGACACAGGTCAAGGCAAACCTAATCCTGAAAAAATGCCAACAAAAACACGACACTCAAATAGCTGGAGGACCGAGGTATAGAGAGCCAATATTTCCATCTCCCGAGGGAAAGTTGGTTGCCCGTAAGTCCACTACTTGAGGAGTTGGAATGCCACGTTACGAGAAGGGGGGGCGCACGTGGTAGCAGGTAGCGGTGCATCCAATGCGCACATACGTGATGTTGGCTAGGACGAGCACAAATCGCAACGAAATAGCGAAAATATGGTAGAAGTTAATATGGCCTGCAAGGCCAGCCATGATCTTCGCTGCTTCTTGCAAAATGAATTGTCAACAAGACATATCTGCCAATGAGCCTACTGCCTTCGTTCTTCGACGGTAAACAAAAATATTCAGGCTGCTTGCCACCTCAACCTGTACGCCGTTCTGCTTCGAACTAGGTGCGTGCGATGCTGTGTATTTGCGCGATAGCTGCTCACTCCCGCTTAGGAGCAAATGAACGTCCAGCATGCTAGGAAAAATGCTTGCACTCACAGGTTTTCCTTCGTGCGGGTCATGAAGAAGTCCAAAACCTGTCGGCAACAAACGAAGCGACGGCGACCGCAAGCGACAAATCAGCACACCCGAAACATCGATAAAAACCCACGACATCGGCAATAAAAAAACTATCTGTGGCAAAGCAGAATGTCGTGACCTTCGGATACACGAGTGGGTGTGACGAGTAAAGCACAGTGTTGCAGGGCCTACGCGAAGACTCTTTACGGCTCCCACCTCACGTGGAGCAAGCGCACTCTGGTGACACAGACGGCCACTACAGACAAGAGGGGAGTTCGCAGTGCACGGCCGTGGTACCGTGCAAGAGAAGAGCAGTCGACGAGTAGCACGGAACACCTCGCCAGCGAGCCCAGCGCACTAATTACCACGAATGCCTTGACACCACGTGCCTCACCTTGCCGGTATATGTACCGTTTACGACCGTACGCAAGGCAAAATCCATCCCTCCACTTTGCTCAAAGCTGTCGTAGCAGGCGAAGACAAACATCCGGAAAAACCAACGGCTGCCCTTCAGCGCGACATGACACGCCAAAGCTTGAATACGCTAGGTTAGCATCGAACAAGGTTGGTGTTCTTCCCTTGCGCATGGAGCAACAGCTGGCTCCGACGTGCATCCAAACTAATCTGAATGCCATGATGCGCGCGGCAACAGACGCTGCAAGCTCCCCTGACCGTCGTCGCCAGCACCTCAACCACAAGCCCAAAATGTTAAAACGCCAGCCAACAACCCCGCACGCGATACAGGCCTGGCCCTGTCGATCGCATGCATAAACCAAAGCAGCAGACACTCTCCATCCTCTCCAAACCGGCCGCCAGCACCAGAGCAGCTGCTACATTGTTCTTTCACCTTTCTTCGCCTAGCTCTTGCAGTATCGTTTGCGTCGACAAGCGTAAAGATGCTGCCGGCAGGCGAGAACCCAACAAACGACCGGATGGATCGAACACAGATGGGGAGTAGGGTCCTTAACCGGAGAAGGAGAGGAGTGTAGAACAACTAGAGGGAGGAGGGGAACGCCGGATAGCTAACTCACGCGAACGGGGGAGGTGATCGGACGGGGTGGGTGTTCTCGTGTGTTTTGATTTGCATACAGATCGGGTATCATTCCATCGAACATCTGGCGATACGGGGACAACAACGTGGAAAAGATGACACTTATTGTGCACTTGGTGTTGTCGAAAGAAGGCGCAATACATCCGTCACCTCCCATCAAAGCCAGACGAGCTAGAGCTGCATACCTCTCGTAGTCCGCTAGCCTCTTCTCCCGCAGGCCTGGGAGCCCCGCCATGGTCTCGTGCACATTTCTCTCGTATGTCTGCCAACAGCAGCAAGTTGGTCACGCCCAGGTTGAAGTTTGCGCAGCCGTCGAAGGGACAGCAGTGTAGTACATCGTACTCTAGCTTTGCACTCTCGGCGCATGTACATTTGCCCGACTGACCACACCACTGCAGAACTAGTGAGGGCCGAGAAGGCGACCGGGAGTTTTGGCGAGCACTTCGGGCTCTGGGGACGGGCTACTGCTGTGATGGGCCTGATGCTGTGATAACCTACTCTGTAGCCCCCACACTTCCGACGCAAGATTTGCTGACCTCAGCAGAGAGCGATTGAAGGGAGCTATTATAGTGACGGCCGGCATTCCTAAGGCTGAGAAGTAATAGAGAGAGACGAACATGCATATCCTCCTGCCTCGTCCGGTGGGGCGCATGCGAAAGGTCCCGACGTCCCGACACAAGGATTGCATAAGATACCACACCCCCGGACCGACTTTGCAAAGCTCGATAGTTCACGACGAAGAGGGTGCCAAAATCACACGACGTGTTTGGAAAGTTTTTGACGACGGGGTTCCCGCGCCATCATTGTCGGCATCGTGTCTGTTTTTGCTGCTGAGTAATCGAGCGTTGAAACTCGGTTCAAGGCGTGTGTTAAGCATATCTTAGGAAAGCTATGCACAGCAGTTGGGATGCGTTGTTCAACCTTCCTCTGAATCTGTGTAACAAGTTGGAGCCAGTGCAAGACCGATGTGCGCGTGCAGCTGTTCAACAACACAGCAAATAAGTAAGGGTCGGACGTGGAGGACTGCATGAAGATTCTACCCTACATACTACGCTTGTGCAACCATTCGTGTTATAATCGGTGTTGTTGTCACACGTACCATGTACGAACCTGCTCTTGCGTATGCATAGTCTAGGTACCGTATGTCGGAGAAACCTGGATCCAAGAGGATGGATGTGTTCTGGGCCCCACGACCAATCTCACCTTAGGATCGCCGTGTGCCTCCGTCAAGGACAGCGAAAGAACGCCACTCAAGAGATCTTCTTCTCCTCCTTCCTCGTCCATGGTCTGTTGTTCTGGACCTTTGCCACACGCGACCTGGGCGACACATGCATACGCATCCCACGCACCCTCCTGGGGGCTCCGCAGAATTATCCACCGGGGTACCAAGCTCCTGGCGGGCTCTATCTTACATCCGCATCCAATCGTTGTGACCGACATACGTACACAACACACAACAATGCGGCTGCGTTGTTCGGTCCTGCTTGTATTGGGCTCCGCCAGGGGCCTGGTAGCGAATGCGAGATCTGAAACATTGTCAGTAAGGCTATGGCAGCCTCAAACGCCGCCCCATGGCCACAACGAGGGTGCACCGCTCGGGTGGGAAAATAGGGGTTTGACTCGTGCCGCCTTGTGCTGCCGGGGGGGATCAACAGCAGCAGCTTCCACATCGGCAGCAGCAGCAGCAGCAACAGGAGGAGGAAGGAGGGGAGGGGGGTCATGCCTTGGAAAGCAGAGTACTGGAAAGGGGGTCGCGAAGAAGGGGTGGGGGCAACTAGGACGAGCCTCGTCATCAAACGAGCTCATTAGTCGGCGAGGTGTGTCTTTTTGCTGCTTGCTTTGATTACATTAGCCTGCTGGGTGTACGTGTGTCTCCTCCCTGCAGTCGCGAACGCTACCGCCCATGTTGTTTGTTGCTTTCTCCCTGCCATGGCGTCAGGGACAGCAGTGTCGCTGCCCCCCTTCGTCTGCGTAGGTGTTGACGTGATGCCGTTGTTGGGTTTTTGGCGTCTTGAAGTGTGTGATGATATGCCGAAATGCTGCAGGAGGCAGGTCATATATATCACCGAACCATCACGAAGAACTACAGCAGTAGTTCTACACCAGCCGCCATCATGGCGTTCCTCCTCTGTGCCGCGCGTGTTCTTGTGGGCCCGAGACTCTTGGAGGTACGTTCACGCTGGAACTGGAACAGCAGGCCAATTTTTTATCATCGATACACATGTACATTATATTTCGCGCAAAATCTCCGAAAAATCAGAGAGGCACGCGGCAACGGCGGTTGACGTGTACGACGTGGATTGGATACGTCACATACGCATGCATACATTTGGCCCGCGTGGGAACATGTCGCTTGATAATTGCTAGGCTATATACGATAACACTAATACTGCTGTACTGCTGTAAGCTGGGCTTGTCCCCGGATTTTCGGCGGTCGGTCAGCGGACCGGAGTTTTGCTGCACAAGTTGGGCAGTTTTTTTTCTGCGTGTCCGCGCGGGGGGCCTTTGCTCGAAGTCGGTGTCAGTGAACCTTTGGGACTTGTACGGTATTACTGCTGTTGCAATCAGCTACTGCTGTGACGGGATATGACACATGCGCCATGTACGTGTTCTTTTTAGTCCAGTCTCCCACGCAGGTAATGACTACTGCTGTGAATGTCTTCAGCACCCAAGGACTGCTATCCCGGGTATCTGGTGGATCATCTGTTGCCGAGTTACTGCTACATTGTATGCCGTATGCATATTTGTTTGAACAAGGGTTTGGTTGTCACCGAGGAGATTGGCTCGGTATCCTTACGCGGGAGCGTGTGTTCTTTTTGGGGGAGGGTTGCATCACCCCCCGCGCGCTAATTGGCAGTCAATCTCAGCAAGTGCGTCTATAAAAGGGCCAGGTCATGATCTGGGATCTCGCCCGCGGAGGTCATGGGGGAAGCTAATCTCTCTACTCTACTCTACTCTATGCATACATAGCTGATGACCTCGCCCAAGGGGTTTAAAGAAGAAGTGCATGTTCCTCACCTAGGCGTTTCGCATTGGGTGGTCCCAAGGAACGTGAGGGCTCCTCCGGCAGCTAAGGTAGCCTCGACTGGAATTTCTTCGGAGGTCCGGATCCAGGAAACCCTTCTTGATTTTCCTGGATCCGCACCTGTGAAGAAATCACGGCTGAGGCTGCCTTGGCCGCCTGAGGAACCCTTACGTTCCTCAGTGCCATCGAATGCGAAACGACCAAGGTGAGAAACATGCACTTGTTCATTACACCGGACCTGGGTGTCCTTTCTGTGTAGGCCCTTTCTTTTTTGCATCGACTGACAAGCCCTGCAGTCAATTTTGTCTCAGTGCGGCTATAAAGGTTCTATAGGCCATGATCTGGGATCTCGCCAGCGAGGACCATGGGGGAAGCTACTGCTGTAGGATGTCTACTCTACGCGTGTTCTTTTTGACGCGCGCTTTCCGGGTAGTTTGTTCTGTTTTTTTTGTTTTTTGGCCAGCTCTGTGTGTCCTTTCGGCGTCTTGTGTGATTATATTTTCTTTGGTCCCTTCCGCTCGGACACCGTTGTACCCCTTTCGGCAAAGTAATTGATGCATCAACGATGCTACAAAGCACGAGGTACTAATAAGTTTTCATTCCTAGAGGAATCCAAAGCATGTGAATCATGTAGCTTCCGAGGAATGTAGGCGTCTCGATTGGTTGATACCTGCTAGATAGTCGGAGGTGTTTTCTAGGTACATAGTACCACCATCTGTCACCACCGAGTTTAAGTAGGTATGAACCACCCCACTCTGTCCTCTGTGAAACTCGGCTTGTACGTGGGTATGTACCACGCCCCGCTGTCCATCTGTGCACCATTGTTTTCATTTCTTGAGGTATCAAGTATCAAGGGCTATCATACGGTGCCTTGGAACTCCGTGCCAAAACCGTGTGCAGTAGAGTGTGCTTCTACTACTACTGTACCTCAACGACCGCGGCGGGAACAAAATATTTTTCGGAGGTATTGGTACGTAAGAATGTTGTTTCGTTGAAGGACTGACATGTGCTTGAGAAAACACTCGCCTGTCTCCCAACACAAGGAATTATCGCGACAACGTCCCATTCTTCATGCATGTGGCCTTGAGGGGACGCATAAAGTCTAACGGTAGATTTGAGGCTTCTTTCTTGACCTCGTTGTTTTTGACCTGTTTCGGAACGAAAACGATCGTCAGTTGTACGCAGGAGTTCAGGGTTCATGCGCTGTCTCGCAGGTACAACGTCGTTCGAAATGCTCGAAAGCACTACAATACCGCTGTATGCATTCTGGCTGTTGAGAAAGATGGCCTCGCCCGAGGGGTGTAAAGAAGAAACGCGTGTTCCTCGCGTTGGCAGTTTCACAATCGAGGGTGACGAGGATGGTGAGCGTTTGTCCGGCGGCCAAGGTAGCCTCGGCGGGGATTTCTTCGGAGGTGCGGATCCAGGAAACCCTATACTTGATTTTCCTGGATACGTGCCTCTGAAGGTTTCCCAGCCGAGACTAGCTTGACCGCCGGAGGAACCCTTACGTTCCTCGTCACCATCGAATGCAAAACGACCAAGGTGAGAAGCATGCGCTTGTTCTTTAAACCGGGCCCGGATGTCCTTTCTGTTTACGGTAGGCGTGTTTTTTTCCTTTTGTATCCACCGGGCTACCCTGCAGTCAATTCAGTCTCAGTGCGGCTATAAAGGTTCTATAGGCCATGATCTGGGATCTCGCCAGCGAGGACCTTGGGAGAAGCTACTGCTGTAGGGCATATACTCTACGCGTGTTTTTTTTTGTTTCTCTCTCGGGTTGTTTGTTCGGGGTTTTGAGCGATGTTGGGCAGCTCTGTGCCCCTTCGGTGACTGTGTCGTCCGACTCGCCATTCGACACCTTTCGGCAAAACTTGACGCTCATATCTAGTACGATGTTACAAAACACGAAATACTAGCATATTTACGTTGCTAGAAGAATGCACAGCCGTTCGAGTTATGTCTGATAGCTCTCGAAAGAATGTATTGAAGGCTGTCTCGATTGGTTGATTTGGTACTTGCTAGATACATTTAGAGGATTCTTTAGTACCCCTCTGTCCACCTGTGCACCATTGTTTTCATGTCTTGAGGTATCAAGCATCAAGGGCTGTCATACGGTGTCTTGGAAGTCCGTGCAAGAACCGTGCACAATATTCTATTACCTCAACGACCGCGGCAGGAACATTGTACAGGATATGTTTTTCGAGGTAGAAAGATAGAGAGATGTTTTGTTGAAGGACTGGCATCATTTGCAGATAAAACTCGCCGGTCTCCCAACGCAAGGAATTTTCGCGACAACGACCACGTCTTCAAGCATGTGGCCTTTAGGGAACGCATTAACTCTACCAGTAGATTTGTGGCTTCTTTCTTGGCCTCGTTGTCTTTGATGTGTTTCGGAACGAAAACAATCGACAATTCTACATGTACTTCAGGGCCCATGCGCTGTCTCGCAGGTATAATGGTGTGTAGCCGTTGAGAAGGATCATCTCGCCCGAGGGGTGTAAATAAGAAGCGCGTGTTGCTAGCCTTGGAAGTTTCGCATTCAATGTTATTCAATGTTTGCCAGGATCGCGAGGTCTCCTCCTGCGGCCAAGTGGCTGCAGCCGGGTTTCTTCGCACGAGCGGATCCATGTGCCAAGAAGGACTCCAAGTAACACTTGTGGTTTCATGTTTGATCAAATATACAACCACAATTGTTGCCTGCTGTCTTTCTTGGCACATGGATCCGCTCGTGCGAAGAAACCCGGCTGCAGCAACTTGGCCGCCGGAGAAACCCTCACGACCCTCGCCACCCTTGAGTGCAAAACTACCAAGGCGAGAAACACGCGCTTCTTCGTTACACCCCTCAGACGAGGTCATTCTTCTCAACAGCTATAATTCGTTCCAGTAGCGTTGGAGCATTTAGACCTAGGCTTGTCGATCGTGTTCGTTCCGAAGCATGTTAGGCCAAGGGAGAAGCGTCAGATCTAGATGTTGTGCGTTTCCTGCTGCCCACATGCATGTACGAGAAATTGATCGTGATGATTCCCTGTCTCTGGAGACCGGCGATATTTATGTGCAACACATGCCAGTCCTTCAACAAAACGCGACTCCAAGAACAACTAAATGCTACACAACTTCACGGTCCAAACAGTGATTAGATTCGCCGTCCAACAAAACTTCTTCCCCACCCTGCGTTGGGACATAACTGCTATTAATACCATGGCGTTTTTCCCCGCACCACAGGAGGAGAAAACGTGGCTTCCCCACCGGACTTGGCCAAGCAGGCCTACCGGACTGCCCTTCTCAGAACGGCTCTACTCGTCTGCTCCGGTGAGCTAAGCGGGGACGAAAGATGCGGACGCCATGCATCCCACTGCTAGTCGAAAATATGCTTCGTGTTAAAAGTTCAAGCAACGATGGTCCATCGAAAGTGTGTCAGCTCTGGTTCCGGACATCTTTCTTTGTCGACACCTTGAGGGCAATTTTTTGGAGCGCTTCTGTGGGCTTGGCCCCACTGCCCCCCGTGCACCTCTACAACACTGAACCCCTTTGAAGTTGTACAGTAGTTGCGTTTGGTCGCGTCGTGTTTGTGTGGTGAGCGCCGACCACGCCGAGAACAACTAGCGAAGGTGCACTCAGGATAATTGTTGCTTCCTGATTACCCTCGTTGACCCCTTTTGGGCTGCCTGTCGGCTATTTTTGGCGAACGTGTTGGTCAGCAGTTGTATGCAAATTGAAGCAGCTTGCCGCCATGGCCGTACGTAGCACATGGATGGGAACCGCAATCGAAAATGGTCAGGGACAGGAGGGGTACTTTTTTTGTTCTACCCTAAAATATCTCGGAGATTGTCTCTTTTCCCCTCTTCGATCGTCGCTGTAACTCCAATCTTCATTATCAGCCCCCCCCCCCCCCCCACCGCCTCATATCTCTTCTATTTAGTACCGTTGATCGTGACTATGACTCTGTTTTAGGGATGAGGCGCCGTCCCAGCGCTTGGAGACATATCAACATCTGAAAGGCTACCGCAATCAGTGCTTGCGTATTCATGTCCCCCCTCTCCGCCTCCCTCGTGCCTTGAGCCCCTTCCAAACATCCTCCTCTCTCAGGTAGACCTCTCCCATGATCCTCCCCCCCCCAAAAAAACGTTGGTGCTACAATGTACTTCCTATTGCCTTTGTTTCAGCGGGAGCTTTCGGCATGGGCACTTGGGTCGTGAAGGGGAAGACTTCCGCCCTCGAGTTTTTCGCGGGCTACATCGTCGAGCAGTCCTTGTCGGTAGACAACCTCTTCATCTTCATCATGCTGTTCGACTACTTTAAGGTCCCTGCGGAGTTCCAGGTGGGCAGTTTTTTTCCAGGGGGGAGGGGGGGGGAGTGTGAAGTGAGCTGCTCAGTGTGTGATGAGTGAGGCACGGGAAACCAACGGCGATTCCAGTTGTTTTTGGTCAACCCCTTGTTATTTCATGCCCAACATGCGGCATTTTAGGTATACATTGGTTGCGTAGTTGAATCGAAAGGATTTAGACTAGCCTCGAGAAGAGTGATCTGTGCAATACAGCACCTAACCAGTAAGAGAAAGAAGAGATTGAGTGGCAGGAGCACGGCAGCAACTGGACTTGAGAAACATGCCTCGAGCCCTCGCCTATGCCACACTTGAATTTCCGCTGCTTCCGTCTTTGTTCTCTCGTTCATTCCTTCACTGTCGGTGATGTTGATTGTTCCTTCTGCAAACGGTGCGCTCCTTCCGTCGGTGATGTGTGAATGGATGTGCGGCGGAACTATCCATATGTATAGTCGCGCGTGTTGAACTGGGGAATCATCGGAGCCGTGTCGATGCGGGCGATCATGATCGTCGTTGGCGTGGCTGCGATACAGCGATTCCGGTAAGTGGAACTCATACTTGCAGCCTTTCAAGTCCGGTTTGAGATGCGCTGTACATCGATTATGAATCGCTTGGTTTGTGTTTTGCTTTGCGTTGAGGGGGGTCCCGGATTGTTTTCGGAGACCCTCTGTTGTTTTCCCTCTTGACGACTTTTCATCTCCGTCCCTGGCCTGCACTTTGTCAACGTCCTAACGTCCTAGGCTTGCCTAGCACTCCTGGGTTGTGCATGTTTTTCTCTGGTTCATTACATAGTGTCAGTCGCACAAAGGACAAGATGCCCACCGAACCCATCTCGTCTTTTCGCGCGTCATGATATTTGTTTGTTTCTGTCCGCCGACGTTTCATCAGGGGTGTCATGCTGGTCTTTGCCGGCATCTTGGTGGTTTCTTCCTTCAAGCTTCTGATGGAAGGGGTTGAAGAGGACCACGCGGATAGCTCTGCTCTCGAAGGCAACATGGTGCTTCGAGTCGCGAACTGGATGATGGACTCGACCGACTACTACGATGGGGAGAAGTTCTTTACACTGGTGAGGGCTGACGTTACCACCTGTCAGACCGGTTTTGAATGCTTGTGCTCCTGCAGCTATTGCCCTTAGCATTGGTAGTGTTGATATATGAAGTAGTGCACACATCATGCACTCTCCTCCGAAGGTGTGATGCTTGACATGTCGTGTTTGATAGATGTACGATGTTGCTCTTGTACGCACCACCCAAACACTTTGCAGCATCGCACATGGGGAAAAGTCAAGGCCCGTCATCCCCACAAGATCGTCGGTGTGGTTCCACGTTGCTTTGCGTTGCGGACGCCCGGTGTGATTCGTTTCTCGCAACTTCCGTGATTTTTTTTATTCCGTTCTCCGACGCGTGCAGACGTCCACGTCTTGAGGAACTGGATTTTTTCTTGTTTTATTTGCCTTTTCCTTGAGCAGGGCTGCTCGACTGGTGGTGTGGTATTAGGAATGCATGCCTTCAAGTACAGTTGTGCTGGTGTAGGACGACACAGGCCAACATCCCGTGGCCTTGACGGATGACATGCTCGCTTCAAGCACCTCGTTGGAAATGGCTGGCCTCCAATGGTAGCCTGTCCCTCCCATCTCTCTGACGGTAACATTCGTGTTGCTCGCGATTTCGGCTTGGACGTTTTTGCAGGTGGACGGCGCCAAGAAGGCCACGCCTCTTCTCCTGTGCCTGATCTGCATCGAGATGACAGACTTCGTCTTTGCGGTGGATTCTATCCCGGCCGTCCTTGCCATCTCTCAGGACACGTTCATCGTTTACGCGTCCAACGTGGGTGTTTTGGTCGTGCTTGATTCGCGAGATTGGTGTTGTGAGGTTGTGTTTGGCGCTTACGCTCCGTTGGTGTTGGTGCTGAATTTACCTCATTCGTTTTTGGTTTATTGCGGGGTGTTTGCTTTCGAACACGTCTAATCAGTTTCGTCGATTTGTGCGCCCTTTGGTAAACAGCTGCATACCGAAGGGCGATGCAGTTGTGTTGTGATGGGAACAGGCGAATCTCACCCATTTCTGGGAGTTCTATTCTCGTTTTTGTACGCTTCCCCCCTCCCCTCCATCCCTTCCCTCGTTCACGCGTTGTTCTGATTTTGCTCATTGCTCTATCGGTGCTTTACGTAAGAGGTTTTTCTGCTTCATATCTCGGCCGAAAAAATCTAAAATATTAGCGTCAGAACCGAATTATCTCGCACATTCTCCTTACTTGTTGTCGGATTTCGAAATGTTCCGAATTTGAAGAGGTATCCCCCCACGGTTGTCTGTAGTCACTGAAGTGACATGCTGCACACCTTTTGTAACACTTTTGTACGCGTGATTTCCACAAAGGGCGCGTCGATGTAGATGACGCCCCGTTGTCTGCATCGCTGGAATGGCCTACCGCACGCCTCTGTACTGTACGCTTGATTTTCACGAGTGAAGGGCGGCTCGACGTCGTTCACTCAACGCCCCCCCACTCGCACCTCCAGGTTGTAAGAGTTGTGTCCACGAGTCACACGTCCCATCCCGACTTCAATTGTTGACCTGCAACTTCTATGCAACAGGTGTTCGCCATCTGCGCCATGCGAAGCATCTACACCCTCGTTAGCCACGCCATCTCCGACTTGCCGTACCTCAAGCCTGCCGTGGCCCTTGTGCTCGGCTTCGTGGGGGGCAAGATGTTCGCGGAGTTCTTCCACTACGAAATTGGCGTTGGGACCTCGCTGACAGTGGTGAGTGATGGTGTTTGTTTTTTTCTCGTTTCCTTACCCTCCTTCCCCTCATCCTTGACCTTGACCTTGACCTTGACGTGCGTTGCTCCTCGGATGCTTTCTGCGTACTACCGTAGTTTGGTTGCTCGTCTGTCATAGCGTTCCAATTTCAAGCCTGCCGAGTGCCGAATGGGAGTCAGGCGGGGGGTTGGGGAACGGGGGAAAAAACGGGGCTCAATTAATTTATTGTTTTGAAGCCGAATGCGTTGCTGTTTTTTTAAATGCGCGCAAAAAAATATAGGCGCCCTTCTCATTTGTATAGATATGTTGGTATGGGCGCTGTAGCTGATCCAGGCCCCTTTAATCGCGGTTATTACGCTACTCCAGTGGTCCGTCAAACTGCTTTTTTTCAATGAAACTCTCGCCTCTCTCCCCTTGGTTGCGCCTTTTTTCAGGTGTGCGGCTTGTTGGCCATCGGCGCCATCGCCAGCGTGATCTCGAACAAGCGGCGAGATGCCGCCCTCGCCGCCGCCGACGCCTCCGCGGTGACCGGCGGCGGCTCCTCCGGGTTGACGTTCGAATCATTCTCAGCTGAAAAAGACGGCGGGGAAGGAGGGGGGGCGGGAGGAGGAGGAGGAGGGTTTGCCAGTGACGCAGCGGCCGCATTTACCTCTGAAGCTGGTGGGGAGGAGAGCACGCCCCCGGCGGTGTCAGCGTCGGCAGTGGACGAGGAGCTGGCGGGGGTGCAAGACGAAGCGATCGCCGCTTCGAAGGCCGCGGAGGACGCGGCAGCAGCCAAGGCGGGGGATGCCGCCGACGATGCGGCGGCAGCGGCGGAGGCTGCGGGGGCGGCGGCGTTGGCCGAGGACGCCGCGCCCGTCAAGAGAGGCCTGGTAAAAGGAGCTGCTTTTGGGATGGAGCCGGCCAAGAAGGCCGGGGGGGATGCGGAGGAAAAGGGCCTCTTTGACGGAATTGCAGAGGGCATGGACGGCGAGGGATGACGCTTAATTGGGAAAGTAAAACAAGCGCCGCAGTCTTCTATGTTTTAAAATTGGCTTCCGGGCGCAGTAGACTCCAAAAGAAGGGATGTTGGAAGCGAGCGTCGTATGCATAGGGCTAACAAATTTGGCGTCGTTTCCTCTTTGACCGTTGGTTGTTCTCGGGGTGTTCCCCTGAAGCTTTGGTGTCCTAGATGTGAGTGTCGATCATTTTATCGAACGGCAGGTTCTGCTGCTGCTATTTATCCTCTTGATGAGACCCATCGTCAGCCATTTGGTCCCTTCCTAGAAGCAAGGTTCTCTTTGCGTTCGTCTTTTTTTGTCTTCTGGCCCTTCCTTCGCCCGAATTGCTAGTCCATGTAATGAAAGAACCTCTCGGATGCGCAAGAAAATGCGGTAGTTCATTGCACCAACGGCGGTAAAACTACGCTTGCTTGTTCGGGGGCGGGGGACTGATTTCCCGATATTGCCTTGTCTGCTGCGCAGCGTAACATAGTGACATCCGCGTCATGACCGCACTAATTGGCGGTGTCAACATTGAGGCGCATTTGCAAGCATTGCATAGGACCTTGATACACCTGCACGTCTTTCACATTTGTAGTGTAGATCTTGGTTGGGAGTGGGACGCACCTGGTTGAGTGGGCGGCGGGAGGGTGCCGCACGAACAGTGATGCGATCATGCGATATCCCCCCACAACGGAGGCTGTTTGGTGGTTAGATTGTCCAGAATTTTTATAAAGGAGCAGCCGCTTTCCTGACAATTATCCCAAATGTCATAAGCCGTATGCTACGTGTCTCCTTAGAGTCGCTTCAGTTTCTCCTGCTACTTCGACGCAGGCCCAGCCGTCCTTGGCGGGAGAAAGACTGAACGGAAAGTTGCTTGAACCTATGAGCCAGAGTGACTCGTTGTTCTCGTCGCGCTCTGCAGCTCGGGCGGTGCTTCACCGTAAGTGTTCCCGATAACAAGTTTTTTTTTCGCACGGCTGCGTGAAGGAGGATGGGCAGTGCACGTTGTTTCTAGAAAAGGTTCTCCCTGCAGAGCAGGAGTGCCGCGTATATAATAGTGGTGGTCCCAAGAGCAAGAGCGAGGTTTGATTTTTGCCCAGTCAGTCGTCACTGTTCGCTTCAACGACGGTAGTTTTGGACAAAATTACGATGGACCCGGCGTGTGGCGAGTGTGCCCAGCTCTGAGACGATTCTACCGCATTCTCGAGGCGAACACAAATCAGACGTGAGCAGTCATGTGGCGCGGTTGTTGGTGTCACGGAGCTGTTTCTACATCATTCTTGATCTTTACATGCACATCTCCGTAATTTTCTTTTCTGCCGGGCGGTCTGACGGTCGATCGTCAGCATCTACTTGTGGAAGACGCGTGCTGCTGCAGCAGTTTAGTGCGCTGTGCATCCTGCCCTGTGCGAGTACCTCTCCTCCATTTGGTGTCCACTGGGAGCATGTTATCCAACCCTCACCCCGCACAGTCGGTGCTTTTAATCGAGCGTGGCTCTTTCACAAGGATACGCGAAACCGGCCTCAATGAAGTAGAGGATGTGGTCCGCACACCCCTAGTGAATTAAGCTTCATTTCATTCGAAGTGGCTCCTCCGAACCCCTGAATGTGAACGCGCTCCATGCTTGCCCGTTCTCGTTCTAGAGGAGCGTGTTGGGGGGGCGCCAATTGAAACGTCAGAATTGTTGGATGCCCGAGCCCTTTTCGTCTAGATCCAGCATGACGCTGTCCGCGACACCGGGTGCCTGTCCCTCAAGGGTGTTGGTGACTTCCCCCCCCATCATTTTTCTACCATTTCTACGCCCTCATTCTCCACCTGTAGGTGGCGTCTTGAACGAGAGCTGGATTTCATCCCTGCTCGTGAGCGCTTGATGTCCACGCACAAAACGTTTTAAAAGTGTACGCGAGTGGGTAGAACACTGGTGAAAAGAAGGTGGTAGGGATCGCAGATCCAGCAGGGGACGAGTCGAGAAAGCGAAGAACACTTCACCTCTGTGCTTTCTGACCTGACGGCGGTAGAACTTCAGCCAAGCTGTTGCCGCCAGCCACGAAACAACTGTAAGAGAAAGCGTGATTCGAAAATGTTGCCTGGTACAACACGGGTCACTCGCGCGATGGCTCTTTGGAGTGTACAGTACGACAAAGGCATCCACCGATCTGTGCTCAAGCCCCCCTGTCCATCAGGCTCCCACCCGCTTCGTAGACATTCCGGCGAGAGAAAAAAATCGCTCAAACACAAAGGCTGATCTCCACTGCTGAAAAAGAAGCGCATATTTCCCCGGTGGGTCATCAACCAGTTCAACGTCTGAGAGCGCATGGTAGCTTCCACGAAGCACCCTCGCTCCAGCGTTCTTGGCCCCCCGCACAGCCCTGAGGGTCGCCTGAAGGCGAGATTCTTGACTTGTGCTGCCTGGCCGCAGTCGGTGCCAACTCAGCTGTCTTCCAGTTTCATTCTGAACTGCACGGCCGAACAAACCACCGATCGCGAGAGACGACAGAAGCATTGATCCTTCAGCAAACACACTTTCACAAATCACCTCCACGGCAAGATTCTGCGGATTGACCGTTCGGGAAAATTCGCATACACGGGAAACGGTTTCCATCATTCTGCCGCCCTCACAAAGCTAAGCTCGATGGATCCCTTCGCTTGTGCAGGAAACCAAGCCGAATAGGGGGCCGGGTCCGCGGCGTCGCCTCTACCATGCACAATTACCATATGGCGAGAATAATCATCGACGTACTTCCTAACGTGGGGGGAGGTGAGTTTGGTAGCACAGATGGGCAGCCGCCTGCGCGGCTGACACGCCATGATGCAGACGAACATCAAAATATGGGCACCAACATCGAAGACACCTAAAACTGCCGTGAGTGAAACAACGCATATCTTGGTCCTATGGTTCGACTCTTGACAACCTTTGCTGGACTGAAGCAATAAATTGCAAGCGATTCACAGCCAGCCTTGAAACGATCACCATAGAGATTGCATCGCGAAAGACTACACCCGAATGAAACCATCCTTCACCAATTTCCTGGTAGGTGAAGTGCGACATCTCCTTTTCGTTCAGCGCCCAAACTAAGAAAAAGAGATGCCGCATACAACGTGCACACGCAGCAGTAGGTTACCTGTTCCATCTCTAGCTTCCTCTCGCTGTAGACGATGGCATTCTTGCTGGACTTCTTGGTGGGGGTAGGGGATGCCAGGTAGTCGTTCAGGCAGGTCAGCTGCGCCAACGCTTTTGGGGAGCCGGGTCCAGTCTGCCAAATCACAGCAAGATGCATAACACACACCGCGTTATCGACCACAATGTACGAGTGTTGGCCTTAGGGGAGGCAAACATGCAGGCAGTCTACCGAAACAAAGACGCTCAAGGGGCCAGCAAAGCATACAGCAGACCCCTGCCCTGGACGGCGGGACTGCTGGATTCAGCCCGTGGAATGAAGAAGAGACGACGAGACGCCAGCCACATACCCACGACAGCATGGCCAGCATCGCGGCCCCAGATATCCGTACCTTCTTTACCCAAGAGCAGATGGGGCAGGCCGAAGCGTCGTGCACGCGAGCCTGAAAATTCCGGACGAAGAGAATCACCAACGGGCCAAAGGACAGCGGATTATCTCGTGGAGCCTCGTAGGATGGAGCGGGGGACGGGATATTTCACACCTTCGACGTCAAACGCCGTGCAAATGAATCATTACGGATAACTCTGTGAGTAGAAATGGAGCAGGTTTCGATTTCCGTCAGGCCTAGACCAACGCCCTCTCATACGTATGCGGAAGAGCTGGCGTATTGACCCAGCCGTTGTTCACACCACCTCGGCGTCTGCGATGGGATAAATGGGAACAATAGATGAAGCGAACACTGCACAGTCTTCTTTACACGCGCGCGCTCCAGACTGACGCAATAAACTGTTCGCCCCGCCATGCTGTTCCCTTGCACGTCACCTGGCAGTGCTCACGGCCGAAGTAGATGAACTGAAGGTGCAACTTGGCCCACGAGTCTCTTGGGAATACGGCCATAAGGTCCTCTTCCACCCTTCACAAGAGAGCGTGAGGTTAGGTACGGATGTGCGTTGGGACGGGAAAGCACGGCAATGGCGTAGCTGGTTTCACAACCGCATTGAGAGCCGGGTGAACACGAAACGAGTTGGCGCCAGGCTAAACTCATCAAGCTGAACAACAATCAACCATGAAACCATCCCTCAACGACGAGATGCACCAACAGCCAAGTACGCCGTTTGGTGGTCGACCACGCCTCTCACTTGCTGGCGTTCTTTTCATTCTTGGTCAGACCCCAGCGAAGCGCCAATCGGTGAATATGTGTGTCCACAGGAAAGGCGGGGGTGTTGAAGGCCTGGACCATCACCACCGCAGCAGTTTTGCGCCCTGAGTCGGCATTACGTTTACGGTGGATTAATCACGCAGATGTCACTGATGAGCGTTCAACGGCACAAAGCTTGGGAGCCTTGAGTGTGGGGAAGACTTTTTAGATCGTGCGCGGCGTACTTAGCCAACTGAACCATCCGCTAGCCGCAAAATCAAGTTCAACAAAGCGGCTCAAGGAAGAAGCACACGCGAATGAATCGCATTGCAAACAGACGACAATCCATCGAGTTGATACCAGGTTAGACATCAGCGTGGGCTGTAACGCGTAGGAGGTCCAAGGGTAGTAGGAGTAGCAGCAGCGGCCGTCAACACAACAACCACGCAAGCCTACAAACGAGTGTCACGCTTCGATGGACGGTCTACCAAAAAACAAAACACCCGATATTCGGAACAATACTTACAGGGACAACCTATCTCAAACCCTGGAACCACCACGTACCGACGCCGGGAAGGCTCTGGAGGCCCTCGAACGTCTGGGGAACCTTGCCGTCGAAGCGGTCTAGAATCTGCTGCGACAGCGCGATTAGATGCTTCGCCTTGGTGGGTGCAAGTCCGACGGATCTGGCAGTCAAGCGGCCGCGCAACAGGAACGAAGTCAAAACACTCAGCAAACTCTGTTGTTCCAAACAACACGGCAACGTGCTGTGCTGTGTGAATTTGCCGCAACATCAACATAGTGAGATCCAATCGAAAGTTCGAAAATATTGCCCGTGCCATCTGACCCAGTATTTATGTTACCATGCCATCGAAAGACCGTCGCTCGTCGTATCTATCGGTTTCGCTCAAATGAAATGTCAAAGCAATTTCCGTACCTGATGGTCCGTTGCAGATCCTCATGTGCCATCTTGGACAAAGACTGCGGATTGGGCGCCACCCTGAATAATTCCTGCGTCACCAGGTTAACCTAAACGGTGCGGTGTGTGATCGCAGCAATATCAAGCACGAATCCATCATACGTCGCATTGCCAAAAGCAAGTGCAAAAGCCCACTTCCGTGGAAGAGTGCAAGCGGGGTGAAACGTTCGCGTACCCGAAGAGCAACGTCTTGTCTATATAGAAAGGCATCTGGCGCAGTAGGCCCAACATAAAGGGCCTGCCGTATGACCCGTGGTGACATTAAAAGCCCACACGGAAGCCACTCTGCTCACCGCCACGAACAAGTGACTATTCGGTACGAGTCAAACTATCCGCAAAACGCAAGAGAAATAAAATGGTCTCGAGTGCTTCTTATAATACAAACTTCATACAATCGCATGAACAACGCCCGTTCGAGAAATACAGGAATGCGTTCAAGTGTTTTACCCTGAGTGTGGAGACGAATCTGCTGGATAGGTACTTGACTAACTACCCTTAAGGGTTAGGGTTAGGGTTAGGGTTAGGGATATAAATAAACATGCTTCCCAAGAGGTTAAAGAGCCGAAAAGGCGGCGTACCTGAGCATCGGTGGTCTGAGCAGAGAGTAGCACCCCGCAAAGCAACGTGAAGCTGTCCTGCCCTCGGAAAAGGAGAACGATCAAAACGACAACGGGTGAGTGGCACATGGCAGAGGACTTGCAGGTGCTAGCAAAAAATACGGTAAGGATGATACATTAGTGGGGCACACAGCACGTCATTTTCTCGGTTAGAGCACATCTCGGCTACCACATCACTGCTCAAACCTCCTTGTGTCCGACGTGAGTCAGCCTTCGCAACAACACAAAAGTCTGCCCTTCAACAAGGGCCATTCACGAGTTCTTCAACGCGCCCGCCACGCTGCTCTAGATCAAGGCACCCTGCGTGCTCTCGACAGTCACACTTTGCGGCGGCACCTAGAAGTGGTGCTACTCACCATGTGGTTGATCGGTATGGGCGGGTCCGGGTAAAGCTTGTCCATAATCTGGATTATCAGCGCCGCCTTCTCCGCCAAGCGCGGCGGAACAGCCCTTTCCCGAACCCCTTCCCCCTTTTCGATCTTGGTCTTGGCCTTCGTCCGGGCCTTCTTCTTCCCCTTGCCCTCCTCGGACGCCTGCGCGCAAACTTCGCCCTTGGTGGCGACCGCAGCCCTCCTCCTCCGGGGTTTACAATCCCCGTTCGTGGAGGCATCGCCCTTCGTCCTCCTCTTGGCATCTGACGGAGGTGGCTCTGGGAGTTCGAGCGCGCTTGTCAGCTCCTCTTTCTTCACGGCATTGAGTCTGCCGCTACTCCGGCGCTGGGTACCAGCCGCGCAAACGCCAGTTGTCGCGCTTGGGGATGTGGCAGACAGCTTCGGATATTTTCCGGTGGCATCGCCAGCACCTCGATGGCGCCTGCTCTTGCCGCCCGTCGTACAACTACCTCCGGCGGGGCCGGCGACACTTGCTGCCGCCTTCCGTTTCCTCCCTCTCACGGGAGGGGAAGAATCAAAATAGTGAGACGTCTCGGAGGGCTCGGGATCACCGCTGCCTCCGGCGGAGGTTGCGAATGTCGTCGAGCCGCCTTGATTTGCGTTCGGCGTTTGCCGCCTGATCGATGACTTGGGCTCGTCTTTGATTACACATGTTCCCGTCGGCGGTGAGGGGGTGTCAGTGCCGAATAGCTCGTCATCGAGCTCTTCCTTCTTCACAGCACAGAACCCGGATCGCGTGCGCCGAGCCATACGTGTGCCTGCTTGCATAGGGCAATGCGCGGACGAGTAAGAAGCGTTCTCCTATGCCATACATACGCATAAAATAGTGTCTCAACGAAACCCAGCGATATCAAACGCGGTCCGCACGCACAGTAGTGGGTCCAGAGCCTCTTGTGGTCAGGTGCGCGACGATTCGCAGAGGGCGTACATAAAAGCCTTTTCTTCCTCCGCGTTACACTGGTGTCTTTTTTCGTTGGAAATCATTGGTCTCGCCAGCAGCGTACCCGACCTCACACGTGTCTCATTGTCTCGGCGAATAAATGCCGGGCGAACAACGGCACCACACTGCTGTTGTTCGAGATTTCTACTGCATGTATCCCGAGTAAAAATCGTCCCTTTGCCCATGCAATGTTTTCACACCTGTGCAGATACAATAGTCTACTGCTGTACTCTCACACATACACAATTTTTAATAGTCCTCTCGACGGCGGGCGTGTCTGTCTGGTGCGGCATGGTGGTGGTCACTGCTGTACAGGGGTTCAAATGGACGAATCATGTGTCGGGCCATCTGGCAACAAGTGCCTCAGAACCACGCCAGGAGCGCGGCGTTGATTGAGTCATAGTCCAGCAACAGCCTTATTTACGATAGCTTCCACCACCCCAACCCCACCTGTGTCTCCTGGTGCTGCCCGTTGGCGTTCTTGTGTGGTGCTGGGTAAACCAACCACGCTGCGCTTGTGTGTGTGCGCGCGCGGCGGGGGGTCTGGTGATGGCTGAACGGCAGACGTGGAGGGGAGGGAAAAGTAAGCGCTCTGCTGGCGATGTCGCGGAGCCCCGGCAAGCATCAAAAAGATCGGCAACAGCAGGTAAAGGGTAACATATGTCATGATGTGCAAATGGATAGTGTTCATGTTCATATGCGTGCGCGACCTTATGTATGCGTCCCCGTACCTCATACGGTATCATGCCTCTGTGCCTCACACACACAACGGGCTTGTCGGGGGGATGAGACACACACGCAGATTTCATCGTCTGGTTCATTCGGCACGAGGGAATCTCAAATTGCCCACAATATGGCGGTGACAGCTAACCAAACGAGAGAAACAGTAAGATACGACCGTGGAGTCTTCGTGACAATAGATCTTGTGGAATGCTATTGCGAACATGCGCGTATAGGTACGCAGAGTGATCTTCCCTTTTTCTCCTTTCTCCTTGTGCTTGAGTCCTCGGGACGCGGTAGAATTGAACACGCTTCGAGACGTGGGGCGGCACGACAAGAAAGCTCGTATCGGATATCGGAAGATTGAACGTGTGGAGCATTGGGATGATGGGGGATTCCATGCGAATCGACGACAGCAATAACACTAGAACATGGTGGAAGCATTGACAGTCGAGCCGATTCGCACTTCCGCCAAGGAATGCGCATCAGGCTGAGTCAAACGAATGTGCAACAGATTCCGCCGCGCCTACAGCAGGGTTACGGTTCCGAACGAATCGTTTTTCCGCCGCGCATGCGTAGATGTACAGCAGGTCGAGTTTCTCCGCACCGCGCTCTATTCTGGCAGCATCACTGGCATAGTACACACGTGCACGTCCAACAGAACCGCTGTACGTTCTCCTCATGAATATGTGATCAAGAGAATTGACTTCGCAGCAACAGAGACGCGACGCCCCTCTCAGCTGGCAAAGGATGGATGAAATCGAACACATCGAAAACAGCGATGAGGGCCTCCGCGATCCTTCCATTGCCGATGCACCTCTCAAGAAAGGGAAGAAAAGAACTCGCCATAAGGCAACCAGAGGCAGCAAAAGACGGCCGAGGTCAGCAAACTTGCTAACATCAGCGGCAAACAGCAGCAGCTCAAACCGCCCTGGTGTAGACGCCAAACTTGGAGACGAAAACACCGAACGACAGCGACAGCAGAGGGAGGGGTCGAGAATGCGTGGCGATGGCCAAAGGATAAGCAGGAACGTCAATTCCGCGTCAGCCCCACAGCTACTAATGAGGAATACCACCCCTGGTATTGCTGGTGATAGAAAACGCGCAGATGAAAACACCACCGGTTCCGTGCACGAGGAAGGAGGAGGTCGGCGTCTTTTTGGCCGGAGAAGAACCCCCTCTGCGGTGAACAATGTCGACGGGGTTGATGACTTGGACGTTGAAGAAGAGGGAGAGCTGGAGAAAGCACAACAAAGCATCAAGGATACTACTCGGTCGTTGCAAGAGTTGGGGCTTCAGAAACAGGAAATAGAGTTGCGGCACCGACAAATGGAGAACCGCTGCACGCAATTGGAAGGTGCGTGTGGTTTGATATTCGGGCTACTTGACTGCCCCCACGGTACCGTTTTGCCTGCAGCACAGTGTGCTTGCTTTCAAGGCCCTTGGGGTCTTCTCTTGTGAGGATGCCCACAGTCATTTCTAGCCTACGTCTTTCTTCATGGTTGGCACTCCCGTGCATCCCTTATTCCTGTCCGTTCTACAATAGTCGAGTTGAGCTCTAAGCAGAGCGAGCTGAAGTCCTACAAGGCCGAGGTTCGTGCCAAGATCATCGCCGTCGGCAAGGCGGAGATGATCCTCAACGAGGTCTGCCTCGCGATAGCCCGCAGGGTGGGACGCGCGGAGGGGACTCAGATGTCGGACAACAAGGGCGCTATTCTGATGGAGGTTTGCTGTACAACGATTAGCGTCCACCACGGTTCGACTGTGCAATACTCGAAGAATAGTCTACACCCATGAGAGAGGCGGAACACCTGCGGTTGCAACTTAAGGCAACAGAGGGGTCAAAACTGAGAGCCACGTTACGTATGTATGTATAGCTCTCGTTCTCGCAGAACGTGTCTTTACCACCACCGCCACCACCAGTACACTACCACTGCCACTTTCCAAAGGCACCGACATCGTGTGCTTGTCTCACTCGCTGACCACCGATGAGTTCAAACCGCAAACATACTTCTCGCGGTGCCCCACTCATCATTCTTCCACCCACCTAAAGGTGCACAGAAATCCAGCGGAGTTCGCCTCGCAAATAAAGAAAAATATTGTCGCCCAGTTTTCCAAGTGGGACATCGATCGCGTGGACTTAGAGGCGTCGGCCGAACTTGCAAGGGAGAAGGCGACCGATGCTATCCAGGTGATCCGAAACCTGAAGCAGAGTAGTCAATAGCAGCACCAGATTAAATTCTTTCGGATTCGGTCCGGGGCACGTACGAATATGGATTCCAGCACGTCAAACTACAAGTCCAGCGGTAGAACCAACCCGCGCGACATGATTATAGGTTGGGCTCATGGTGCCAAGTTTCCGCGCTCACAAGTAGACAGTGAGGATGGGGGTTGGAATCCTGGTCACGACAGCCAACCAAAATACAAGATATCAGTATCACGCTCAGAAACGCTCATATTGTGCTCATACACTATTTAGTTGCTCCATTACAAGGCCCTATGTTCAAAGGGCCACATGCATGTCTTTCGTTCAGTTATGTTGATGCCCAGATTCCGGTCGATTGCGGGTGAGCGTAGCATCCAGATTCCACAATAAGCCAAACAATAGTGGCTCTCTGCTCGCACTCGGGCGTCAAGCTATGTACCTCGGCGAGCTACCCACGACGGTGCCTTCGTATGTACAGCATGAACACTTAGGGCTAGCTTCTTCAGCCCGCAAAAATCTGGTACTGTAGCTCATCGGTACTTGGACGATTTTTGTCGCAAGGTGCACGAGGCCGAGCGCGCCAATCTCTCGGCACGCACGGAGCTTCTCGAAGAGAAAATTCGCCAGATGGAGGTCGACGGCCAGCGAGTAGTGGCGGAAGCGGAGAGCGCCGCCAAGGACAGGTACTTGACGTAGACATTTTCTTTGTTCGTGTGGGGAGCTGTCAAGGGAACAAAAGCGTACCCTTTGCGGTAGCACGTGGTTCTTTGGGCTGGGCGAGGCCATGTCCGAAATTCGAGGGAGGGAACAAGGAAAGAGGCCGGGTAGTCAGCCTTCTATCCTGAGAGCGTGAATGATGGGCATTTGACACTTCGGGGAATGGTTTGGTGCCATTTATGGATCAAAGAAACGACAAGGAATCCTGAGGGTGGTGGGTATTTGCCACTATGTCCGAAAATGTTACCCTGATGAAGTGCCGTTCCCGTTCATGCCCCTCCGCCTCCTATTGTGCGGCATCTCACACGTGCGGGGCCGGTTTCATGCACTGCTCGTACTTGCATTTCATGAACACTGCGACACCCATCTACCGGGTGGTATCTAGTCACGAAGAAGCCCTAGCCGCGTCTGCAGCTAAGAGTAAACTGACTCAAGAGCTCGAAGCAGCGGCAGCGCGAAACGAAGAGCTTTGTGAGACCGCCAAGGACAAGGAACAGGAGTTCCAGGTGTCTCATGTTTAATTCGTTGCTACGATTCCCTTCAAGAAACTATTGTAAACAGCGACGAAGAAACAACTTCGCAACATGCGGTTAGACAGCAAGATCACCCAATGCGTTCGTAGTCCCCGACTTAACGAAAAGGCAAGGACCCCCACGTTCGGTTTAGAGCACCTAAGTGTTTTATGGAAACATGCTGGTGCATCGTAAACTGTCTATTACCAACAGAGACTATTGTGAAGTCGCCTGCGCTTGGTTGTCCCTGTGTGAGCCGAAGACACATTTTTTGCACCCATTCTGAAACCTCTCTTTTCGCACCTGAATGACTATTGTTTGAATGCTGCGCTTGTATCCAGCATTTGAGACAATTGACACCACGGTTCATTCCGCCAATATGTCGTGTTTATCCTGGTGAGGGTGATGGTATAACACTACGTTTGTGCCTGCAGGCCCAACTGGACCGTTTTATGGAGTATCCGAAAGCGGCCGAGAGGATGGCGGAGGAGTTAGAGAGGTGAGGAACAGAATAAATCTTGATCACGCCGACTTGAGTGCATTCAATGATGTGAAAATGTTGTCCATGCAAGGAATGAGACATGGTGGGTATCCTTCAGATGGGCGATGGGCGTTTCACTCCTTAGGCGCTAACCCCCATGCCGTAGACGTGCTTATCTGCCTAGATCTAAGCATCTCTTACTCTTGTCTCTCATAGCTTTGTCCAGTTTCAAAGCCCGTGATGGATTGTGCATGATCTGAGGAAAATGTACTGAGGTTTTCAGGGCACGTATTGCAGCACGGTGGGCTTCTGCCGTGAAATCGATACGGTGAACACCAACAACCGTGCTATCGAGTCCTACCCTGGACTTCAACGTACAAAAGCCTCCACTGAAACCCCGAGCATACACCTCTGATGAGGCCACCAGGTTGGATTCATTTCTTGAGAACGAACGATCTGCCGAAATGTACTCCGTGCTGCTGTTGACTCAGGTGCAAAAAGACTGCTCGGCGAGAAAAAAACTTGATGGTCCTGGAGCGAAAGGAATTTCGTCGACAGCTGCACATGTTTCAGAAGTGGCAGACGGAGAACAGCAACTTACGGGAGAAGGCCAGAGCCCAGGAGATGCAGGTATCCCCTTCTCTCATCCGAAAGGCATGAAAATCCGACACCGAGCATCCAGCTTTCGTTCAGAATGTTGTATATTAAGCTCGGAATAAATCTGGGGCCTGATGGGGATAAGGTTCCATGAGTGACCACCTTGTCTACGTTACAGAAACGGTTGATGAAGCGCCAAGTGACCTTGCGCCCCTTGCGAAAAGGAAGACAATCCGCCACACAGACATATGTTGGTCTTTTCAAGAGTAATGGTCATTGGGGGGGGGATGTGTCTGCTGCAGGTTTTGCAGGAAGTAGTTCCTCCGCAACGCGGTGAGCCTTGTCCCCCTTTGTCATTACCATAAAGCGTTGCCACAGTTCCTCGTTCCTGCATGGTCGTCACAGCTAGCTTTCGGGACGAATTCCGAAGCATTGATGCCATCGAGACGCCACACGTTAGTCATGTCTTTCGTGGCAATGGACTGAGGTTGGTTCCCACCCTCCCTCCTCCTCTCTGATGCCGAAACCGGGGGGGGAACTTGCCCAACATCAAAAGGTCGTGGCTCTACGGCGCCAGCTAGCGGTGACCGAATCGGGGTTGGCCGGGAGTGCTTCAACGAGAAAGGCGGTGATAGGGGGAACAGTGGATCGCTTGCAACGAGCAGAGACCGCGGCAAAGCACCAGGTGGCCAACAGTAGCAAGACGAACTTCACGCAGATTTTCGAGTCTTCGTCGGAATGATCTACATTGGAAAAGACATACCTATTCTATTGTGTTCGAGTTCATAATGAGGCGATCAGAACCTTGGTTTTCTGGCCTGGATTTCGGTCGAGATCCGGTCGGTTATCTACAGAAGACAGAGAACAAAACTGCCATCGCTCGGGGATCAGCGCTTGGCCCTGCCATCTTCGGTGTCGAATTGCCGAACGTTGGTTTCATCTCTCGAAACGGTCGCTTCCGTTGGAGGCGCTCAACCGTGTGTGTTTGCGGTGGTTGTGTGACAGGTTCACAAGTACCGAGAGTTGGCAGGAGCGCGAGGGGTTCAAGCTGCGCAAATGAAGACGGAGATCTCTTCCCTCAAGGCCACCATCAAAACCCTTCGACTCAAGTAAGCGAAACCACAGTAATACATGCGTTCACCCCGCTTGCTGAGGGTAACGGTGATTGTTTATTTACTAAGGCACGATTTAGGGCCTAGGCCCCACATCGAATACCCTAACCGATAGGATTTTGCTCACCAGTTCCCGTCTCTCTGACGGCACCAAGACAGCGCCCTTTGTCGTACACGGTTCTCGGCGCCTCCTCAATAGAGAGCTCGCACAGTCTAGACTATCCGAGGGAAGAAACAAGAAACCGCAACAAAAGAAGAACGTTGGCCCAGGTTTTTCTCTGACTGCCACCTTGCTGTGTGTACGCGGCTTCATGCCGCACCGAAAGGCTCGAGCCACCCGCACACGACTCCTACGAAACGGAGATAGCCAGACTCGCGAGGGTCAACCCCGAAGTGCTGGACATCCAGCAGAAGTCGGGGCTAAGCAAAGAGGACATGGAGGCCAGCATGGCGCAGCTCAAGCTTCTACGGGAGAAGGTGCGGTCTCAAGCACGTGCATCTGCATACGAAAGAACACTGTTGGGGCTCACATCCTGTTGCTTCTCAACACCGTCGAACTTCGTTGCATCGAAACCCTCCATGTGCCCTAAATGAGAACCAGGTGTATTTCATCAACAATTTAAGTAAGCCATACGGGAGATCCCCCTCCCCCTCTTCCCCCTCCTCGACCGGTATTCCATCTGAAAAAGTGGGAGGGTTCGGGCCAACTATAACTCCCCCGGAACGTCATCATGAGCGTGGAACGGTTCCGTGTTTCGCGCTTCCGACCAAAAAGGGCATTCACGAGAAAATGAAACTTCCCCGTTCGGCACACAGGAGGAGCAGAAGGATGCGCTAATTGCGCTCGCGCGGGAGCGAGACGAGTTCGCGTTGTGTATCAAGGACCTCAGAGCCCGAAACTCTTGGCTCGAGAAACAAGTGCTAAAGACCCCGGACGCGCTCCGGTAAGGAAGTCTGGGAAGCGGGATGAGAAGATATCACCGGCTAAATCTTGGCGTCACAGAATGAGAACTTTCGGTGTCGAATTCTATAGGCCGATATCCTTGTTGTCTAGCGCTAAATACGCGAACAGACCGACCGGCGGAAAAAGATGGACTTCGACTGGCCTCCCTATCCCTCGCGCCTCTTTCGTCCCACGATTTCTTACCTTCTGAGCCAAGTTGATTAGATCACCCGGTCCAATGCGCACAACGCGTGAACACGAAAACTGGCTTTCATGGATTTTCAGTTTCTGCCTACACGATCGTGGCCTGTTGGCAAATGTTTTGGTTGTGTCGTCGTCCTCATGACTGTTGCCGTTGTCATTGTCGTTGCCTTGTCGTTGCCGTCATCGTTGTCGTCGTTGTTGTTGTCACATGAAACCCGTTCTGGGCTCTCCCACTCCTACTCTTACCGGCAAGAAGCATAACCTAACATTGGGTGCGGTTTGTCGATGGCTTCATAGGTCTGTGGCGGAGGAGCGTGTGGCAGGTGCGGCCCCTACCAAACGACCCGATAATTCCAAACGTGCGGAAACGTCGTCCAACCACGGCTGGATGACCACTCAGAACGGCGGAGGCCGAGGGATCAAGAATCGCGCAGCCCCCGGTAGGGAGAACGAGGCCGCACCGAGGCTGGAGAACCATTCGTGGGCCCAGCAGGGTTCCGGAGAGGCGGGGGTAGGGTCAACGGCAAGGGTCAGACGAACAATAAAAATGCTCGAAGATTGCGACTGGTGAGTGTGGGTGTGGGTGTGATCCGAATGAAAACAATTGCCCATGTGCCGTTGAGCATTTGTGCCATGATGTAATTTAACCCCCGGCGGGGATGCATTGAGGACAAGACCCCTAGAGAAGATTCGACAATTTTTTGCAGTTCACCGGAGATTAAACGCACCGAGGACGCTGCGTAACACCTCTCCGTGATCCCACCACACCCACGTGTGTAGTTAGTCTAGGCACATTGTCCCCCCGCCACTGACCCTCATCCTCCTTCCACACACCGCACTTCGACGATTGCACCCTTTCGATGTGCAACCGTCAAACGCAAATGTCCTCGGCGGGGCGTCTCGCATCGAACAATGCACGATACAGGAGTATCGAGAAACAGCGTGAGCGAGAGACCAGCGCCACCAACAATGTTAGTGCCCTACACGGTGGTGGCGGCGGCGGCGGCGGTGGCGGCAGAGCGAGCCGTGGCCCTGTCGCCGTCGTACACGCCGTAAGGCGGACAACAAGTCGGAAGCGGCCGCAGTCTGCACAGGGCCTGTGCCGCCCACCAACCTCTTCTTCCGGTGGCAGTGATATTGGTAGTGGCGTACCAGGCGTACCGCTACGCTGCTTGTTCCCGCGAAGGGGAGGGGGGCTTTCCGCCAGGGGTACGTGAGCTGGAAGACACAATATAAACGGAGATGAAAAACGGATGCATTCACATCGCCCCCGTCGATAGATTGCCTGGAAAAGAAAATACCTTGTAGAGGCGAGCACTGCTCTTATTCAATTCGGCGCTTAATTTATACTTGAATACAGAAACAATAGGCCCTTGCGACATGACCAACCCACGCTAAACAAAGTCTCATCATGTGTGAGTTCACTGCGGAGTTGTTCTCCGGACATGCGATCACGACCAGGAATGAGTTGTTTTTTTTCGCCAATCTCATGAAACACGCATCACTTCCCTATGACGGCGAAATGGCTTCAACGACCTCTGTGGAAGTGGTTTATCCCGTACTTCAGTACTAGGAGAAGGACTGGCTCGAACACGCCTATGTCTTATTAGTACGGACGCCGTTTGGTGGTGTGGGACAACAGTACGAAAAACAAAAAAGATGTAATATTTGCATCACGATGTCGGGAGATCTACAAAGTATCGTTGCCGCCAAGAGCCGGAAGGGATGGCTGGGTTTGCCCGTGACTAACGAGCGAGGAGTCCCCTTGGTAGAAGTGTAGCTTGCCTTTGCATTTCGGTTCCACTTGAATGCGGCGTTGCTTTCATCATCGATGTTTCGTATCCCGTTTGAGATTATCCTGCTGGAGAGGGGAGGGCGGCGTGCCGGAATGTTTCCGTAACTGTTGGCGATTACCCACTCAGCTAATTGGAGGCAGCGGTACGGGGGTGCAGTGAACGAAGCACGCAGAACGAAGAACGGTCGGAGGCAATGCACGACGTGAAACGGCAAAGTGAGACGAGGCGTTCTTCTTCGCTAACCTGGTAAAGATGCCGTGATGCTAGATCAACCGGCATGGTTTTCGAGCACTTGTGGCTCAGGCCCCCTGAAGACGCGAGTTAAGAACCACCGGCTCAGTGACCACGTTCCGTGGGGTTGAACCAGTACCCACGATCAAAGATGACACTCTCGCCTACGTGTTGGGGGTGACATCTTGAAAACCCGATCTTGCGCGAACATGTAATTCGCATCTCTACCCCCCCCGAAGCGCCCATCCAACTAAAACACAGCGTACGAGACAACAACGAACACAACTAGAACAACAACAACAACGACCACAACAATAACAACACAACCACAGCAACCGTCGCAAAACTTTCAATGCCTAAAGCATCGTCCGTGAGACGCAAAGGGCTGAACAACACAGTATAATAGTCATGCCGCGTAAGACTCCACCGGATCGTAGCTGCCAAAAGATAGAAGAAAATCAACTCTAAAAGTTGTGAGAGAGAGAGAAACGAAACAGGGATGTTGACCCCAGAAGACCGAGTCCGGCAACAGCCTCCACACCCCTCCCCCACCCCCTTACCCGAGAGCAGCCTCAGAAAAGCGTTCGACGCAAATTTACATGTATCGCACACACATGTTTAATGCAAAAGCACAACGAAAGTATCTTTAGACGAATCAGATCTATCGTAGGATTGGTTGCCGCTGTGTGCGATACTCTACACCACACGTGGGAAAAGTGTTGCAAAACGTGTAAGTACCTCTCCCATCTGTCTGTGAGCTCTCCCTGGACAGCGCCATGCTCACGGCGGGCACGAAGCGTGCTGTCGAACAGAGCCAAACTCACAGACCAATCCCCGACAACACCCACCCAATCCATCTCCAACCCCCTCGACAAGTATAGCTGATGCCGAGTTCAGGCCATCTGCCCCCCCCGCCCCCGCCGCCGCCCCCCGCAACAACAGAGAAAATACACAAACACCAACCACATTATTACAACTCATGCCGTCGGTTTTTCTTGCTCTGTCCACGTCCACAGCCATGGGAGGGCTGCTGGTGCGTTCTTCGCTGCAACGCTGCCCGTCTAAAAGCACGACATCCCATTGGTGATGATGCCCATGCCCTGGCTCGCAAACGCAAGGACAACGACAAAAAGTAGACAGGCTGGTCACGCACACACACACCAATCAATCCGCCATTCTTGATGTTGCGGCAAGCTATACCCCCCGCCGGTGCAAGGCCATCCAAACGCACTCCTTCTTATTGACATGCAAGTCGGCGATTACCGATCCAAGGGAAAATGATAAAATAATCGCGACCTTCCGACTTGAGACCTACCCGTACTCCGTGAGACACATGTCCATGAGCTGCCGGGGGATACCCGCCCGATACCACAGCGTACCATGCCCCGGTGTTCGATGCCAAACCCTGAGGCCAAAAGCTAAGGATCGGAGATAGCCCACTTGTGGATCTTGGCTGCACTTCGGAACGCCGCTTTCGCACGGTCTTCTGAGTACGGCTGATCACAAGAAACATGCCGAGAGGGGGAGAGGGGGGTGACACGTAGTTGGAGCACCGCCGTTGTTCAAAAATTCGAAATACGGTTAGGCAGACAAATCGCTGGGGCCGAGAGGTTGCTGAGAGCATTCGGTAACGTAGCGTGGTCTTTCGGTCTTCGGTACCGTATATCTCATGCATTGCTCAGGGCAGACACTTAGCCATGGGCCACACGACTGTCCAAAATTCAGGGCTGGAATACCGTGCTTGACAGCGGGGCAGGATGCGCGGGGGCTTGGGGAGAACTCGGACCGCCTTTGCGGTGGAGGGAGCGCAAAAGAAGTGTTTCACTCTGATACAAACGGAGTCACGACGGCAGTGGCGTTTTGGTCAGCCAATCTAACATGGCTTCCCTGCCAATGGCAGCTGCTTCGTAGCATAGAACCTCCGCGGCACTCCAGACACGATGCGATAATACTGCAAGCGTCTATAATAGCATGCAAAAAGAAGGCACAAACAACGGTGCGACACATCAAGTGATGCTACATCAGTACGCAGATCTATCGTGGCGCCACGCTGCACGGCGGGTTACGGACTGACAGTCCCGTGCATACCTGGGTGACAGAGGTAGCGTCGAAGTCGATCCTTGCTTTACCTACCACCATCTGGGCTCGGATCTGCACCACCACGCTCTCGATGTCGTTCGTCGGCGTCCACCCCTGCACAAACAACAAAGACACGACAAAGAAAACGATAGCAAACACCACCACCAACAACAACGACGATGACAATTCTGAGGAGGCGGGAGGACAAAGCACATCACAGGTTGAGCGAACACGCACCAACAGTGTTTGGCAAGGCGGGCAACACCACACGTGAAAGCTTCGCACGTATCGTGCCATACGTTGGCGTTTCTCGATTCAAAGGACCGCCGGGTTTGAAAAAATTAGTGTATTACGAGAAAGCGGTCATCAAAGTAGTAGCACGTGACGGCAACACCAATACCAAGAATGAAATCACCAACACCAACACACATCAATACTGTCACCCACCAACACCGAACAGTGCAGCGTTCTCAATCGGCATCGAGACCGTCGGCATGAAGGAATGGGATGAAGGAATGGAATAAAGGACTGGAACTAAAGAAAAGAATGAATGAATGAATGAATGAACGAATGAGTGACCGGAGTGTAGGGGAGGTTTGCTGCCGGGAGCCTACCCTACAGAACGTTACAGAACCCCTACAGAAAACTTCTGTAAGTTCTGTGGCACTTTCAATACTCTACAGAATACCTCCAAGAGTTCTGTGCAACGAAATGAGGCTACATACCGGGAAACAGGCGAAAAATAACTGGAGAAAAAACGATACAAAGGATAAAAAACCGTTACCGTTCTTTGAGTTCTGTACAGCCTTCTCAAACACCCGTTTTTTTCTGTTTGGTGCTGTGACCCTTCCAATACCTACCCGATACTTCTGTGCGTTCTTTGAACACTTGCGATTCCCTATAGAAAGTTGCAGACCCTACACAACACACCCTTGGATGGAGAAACGAAGGAATGTACCAAATGAATGAAATCAAGAGACTGGAACAAATGAACCAAATGCAGGGACGGAATTAACCAACTGCGACGAACCTGATTTGTGAGCAGCTCCATGCAGAATGCCCCGTCAATGATGTACCCGGTGGACCGCTTGAAGCGCGGGTAGACGATGTGCACGAACGGTGGCGAAAACGGGTAATCGTCCTTAAACTTCATCATCAAGCGCACGTGGTCCAGGTGCTTTTCCTTCTCCAACCGCTTCATGTCCTGGGATGGGCAAAGCCGCGGTTTGCCGGAACAAAGTGGTTGTTCGGGACAAAGGTTTCTGTGAGGACGTACGTATTCCCGCCGACTAGTGCACCACGGAAGTTCGTGCTGGTCGTTGCGTGAGGGTAGTGCGAGCAATACGCAACCTCTATCCAGTCTACAGCGATTCCTCGACGGCCGCCCTCCAATTCCCGGTTTTCCTGCATCAGTAGATGAAGGCATCTCTCCGCATAGTCAAAGCTCAAGCCGGGAGAGTTGGATCGAATCAACAACCAAGACAGCAGCAACAACACAACAACAAAAACAACAAAAACAACACAACAACAACAAAAACAACAAAAACAACAACAACAACAACAACAACAACAACGCTCACGAAATTGAAACCCACCAGGGGGCATCGAGGAACACGGGATCGGAGGTCAGGGGACGAGGGCGGGGACGGGCATCAACAAACAAAACACCTTATGGTGCACTTCATGCGAAGAAACGTCTCTGCCCAAAGGGCAGTTCGCTGGACCCGACGACCGCAACACACAACAACTACTTGAAAAAATCAGAAACTCAATCTGGGGGTATCGAGAGTATCATCGGCGTGGCCCCTCCTCATCCATGATGCGGGGGCTCCTAGTTATCTTGCAGTATTGTTACCTATATTGAGAGGCATACCTCTGCCAAGGGGCAATCGCTGAAACCGAAGAGGTTGATATTCCACTCGTGCAGCGCGTCATCGTTCTTTAGCTGGAGAGAAAACCCGAGCTTCTTCGTGTCCGATCGCATGAGCCGGGACAAGTCGCGCATCAACCGCGTGTTTGCGCTGAACGAAAAACAGTTTTCCCACCGGAATGCGACGAGGGAGTAGTGAGAGAGAGAGAAGAGAGAGAGAGAGGTGAGAGAGAGAGACAAAGAAAGAGAGAGACAGAGAGAGAGACAGAGAGAGAGATATATGAGGGGGAGAGGGGAGAAGCTGTGTTCATGGACATAAGGTGGTAAAAAAATCGCGAAAAAAACACTATACTTCGAAGACGACGGGAAAACGTGGTATTCGCACGAGTACCGATGCGAGGGAGAGGCGAGATAAATATGAAAGTGGGGAAGAAACTGTGGTCGTGGACGTGGGCTGGCACAAAAATCGCAAGGGTGAACCTAACACGCAAAGCGTCATTGCGAGAGCTCCTGGATTCGATGCCACGCTTTGCCAGCTGAATACCTCACGGCAAGTAGATGGGTGCCAGACTCGGATCCATAAAAAACGCAATGACTCCACAATTCAACTCTCCATCCTTCTCTCCCCCCTCACAGAGCACCGCCAAATATAGTGTATCCATCGGCCCATGTGGAATAGCGACGACGGCCAGTCCCGTCACACGAGGCTAACGCTTGAGGCTGGTCAAGTCACCTCGCTGCTTTGCTCTTCGCTCCCGCCCCGCTCTTCGCCTTCCCCGACAGCATCTGGCTGATGTCCGTGTCCTCAAAAACAGAGCCGCCTTCCTGAGTCGGGAATGACCTCTGTTGTTGGCCCCACAACACCGTGTGTTGTTTTCCAACACATTGATGAAGAAGACAGGGCGCATGGCGGTCGCAACGGGCAGGTACCCAGCAGGGTGGAAGGAAGCGCTCGGGAATGTCAGTTTTAGGGTCATTTGCGAATCGTCGGAAAGCGGCATTCCCGTTCCTCCTGATGCAACATTGGCTCGGTTTCGAGTCCGCAACGTCGACGAAAGAACGTTTGCGATATCACATGCGCCACGCAGTGCAATCCTACTTTTATGCAATACTGGTACATACTACGGCAGCGTGGGTTGGGCTCCTGGTTCGGCCACAAAACTCCTTCAACATCGGCACAGAAACGAACAGCAGCAGAGCCAAACAGTGACAAACAGCATTTACACAGGCATTCGTTGTGCGGGTTCCACAAGACTCGAGAAAAAACTGTTACGTATCAAGAAACAGGAAAAGGAGGCAAGGAGAAGGAAAGACGGAACAACCACGGCATCGGGCAAGTGGCCAGACAACACCACGGAGCTCGCTTGCTGTGACTTCAAGACCAAGCGGCGAAAACAAGATAATACCCGCGAAAGTAGGAATTGGCAGACATGCCTCCCTCGCGTTTGAATATGATCAACAACCAAGACTATCACAAAAGCCACCCTTAAGAAGCACAAACCGCCCTGGAAAGATGGTCAAGTAGATGGGTTAACACCAGGTGCAATCAACCGGGAGTCGTGAATCCAATCTACCAACGAGAGAGAGTATGTGACCGGTGAGTACCTTGGCCTTTTCGTCGTCCATCTCCATCTCCATCCCACCGTAGTCGTACTCGTACTTGTCCTCTCCGTCCTCCTCGTCATCGCCCTCCCCTTCTCCGGAAATGCACATGTACACCTCCGCCGCCGCCGACATCACCTCCTGTTCACCAACGCAACCGGACGATTAAATGGCCTGACATGGATAACGCTAACAACGCTGTTGTGGGACAAGTACTTGCTGGTCCAGCCACTGTCTATTCTCCGCAAGGCACATGGCATGATACTGTAAATTGATATCGAGACGTGGCGACGGTTGCGCGTATCCTGGCAACGTTTCGACTAAACGCCCAAGATTGACGTGCTTTGGCAGAAAAGATGTTACGAACGGTGCTCGGTACGGGATAAAACTGGAAATCACATGTCTTCAAAATCGAAAATATCATCTGCCCTAGGATTCCTTGGGGTTTTTCCCCCCTTTCATTAGTTCATCTGTCTCGACAACGGGGAAGGCGCCCTAGCGCAAAATCGCAGAACATACTACTTTACACGCTCGTGTAGGAGTCTCCCCAGTCGCACCCACGCCTTTTCGGCTCCATGAAAAATAGACTCCCCACTTCGGTTGTCAGATTACAGTATCATCTGGAAACAAATTACTCCTCCAAGACATGTCGGTCTGCGGCATACGCCCCGGGTAAACAGCTAATTTTCGGCCTAACGCCATTGGGCGTGTTCGCTACATCAAAGGGTAACACACCACCCCAGAGAAGCATGTTCGGTGTAGGAGTTATCGCTGGGAAACAAAGGTCGTACTTGCTTGGTGGGGTTTCAACCGAGCCGCCCATTTTGTTGGTTGTGTCCTCTTTTTCGTGTCTGAAGGACAACATGGTTCCTAGAAGACACAGACCTGCCCTTCCCGACGGTAGAGCAGTCGTTCTGAGTACAAGCCCAGAGCAGCGACACAGAACGCACGAAAAGCGACACTGGGCGAGGTAACAAAAGCGGAAGTTGCGTGTGAGTTCGCAACTCCCGTACCTGAATGCGCCTGGCCTGAGCCTGAATCTCCTCGAGGTTCTCCACAAACAGCCCGTCCAGCAGGAAGGGGTGCACCGTCGACACGCAGAACGGTCCCCTCCCAGGAACGCCGCTCAGCGTGAAAACCTTGCCCTTGCCGAGGTCTAAGGTGAGGACAACACCTCCGTTCTCCTCCTTCGTTGACACGAAAAACGCCACAGCAGAGGGGCAGCATATTGTAACCATCGATTGGTTTTCTTTTGGCATGTGGGTGGTAGCACAACGCATCGCTCCATGTAGCAATATGAGCAACACAATCCGCGGATGGAATGCCACACGACGTGGCTCATGGTCGGAACGCGTCTCTTGTGCCATTCGCACCCTGTATGTTTTTTCTAAAAACGTTCATCGGTATGTATTTAGTATCGTGTGTGCAGGCATGGGAATGTGTCCAGGTACCAGGCGACCCTTAAGCACACCTGGCACACATATGTACTAAGCAACTGCGAGCAGCTTGATGAACGTCCGTGCGTGCATTTTCCCTGAAAGCAAGTGGGGGGCATCGTGTTTTGTCAGCGTTGCCCTCTACCATGGTACCGGCAATTGATGTACCACGGAGAGAGAGAGAGAGTACAACAAAGCGATCGCCCTCGTTTTCTATCACCGATACTCAGGACTAGCTTTGGATAAGCTACCGCAAGAGTCGGAGAGATGGTGCCCCCGTGTTCATGTTTTTTTGTAGCGTATTTCTCCACAACTAGGAGGGTGCGAAACCAATCGATACCTCTCAGGAAAGCCCTCGACGACATGTTTCCAAAACTACCCTTTTCGGCAGTGATACCCCCCTGGTTGTGGAGAAATACGCTTATACAAAACGACACGGGGGTGCCATCTCTCCGACTCTTACGGTACTCGCATTTGCTGGTTGCAGCGTACAATACGGCAGCGGTCGTCCTCTTTTGGGGGTCATGGGTATCCCCAAGGGGGGGGGGGGGTGTACGTGCATGCCGTACAATGCATTGACCTCGCATCGCTACAAAGCCGGGGATTCACCGGACCAGGCTCTCACATCTCCAAGCGCGAAGCGCCGTGAGGTATTCGGCGAGTCGCATGAACGGTACGCTGCATAGGGCTAACAACGTGCTTTTGCTTATTTCCTTGCATACGGATGACAGCTGCGAATGGCTTCATTTTTCTGGTGCTTTCGCTTGCAAGAGGCAGTTATGAGCACTGTGTTAACCGCCTCGAGGGTGCTTGACCAATTGCGCGATCACCCCTTCGCGCGGAGTGAGGGTTCTCGACCCCGCAAAACATAGTCTACTCGACCACCAATATAACCGGGTGAATAGTGTTGCCGCGCGCCTGGATGAAATTCGACGGGCCAGTGGGATCAATTCCATCCGAGTCCAACTGCACCATACACAAGCACCTGACACTAGCATATTGCCCACATCATGAAACCACGGACCGCGAGAAGCCTGAGATCATTCGACATTGTATCTGCCCGAATGAACCCATATTGGTACTGCTGTGCCTCTCGCACCTCTCACGGCTGCCAATACACAACAAGCGGTGTATGGCGTATGGATACACTCACGGGGAGGTCGACGGCTTCAAGGACTGCGCTACTACCTGCTGTGTTGCCATAGGCTACGGGTGAGGGACGTCGAAGCACACAGCAGTGGTCTATTGGAAAAGGGGTACGAAAGGATGTCTGCTGGTTCCTGTACAGATGCAGAGAACGATCCTCCGAAGCTCAAAAGAGACATTTTGAACTCGGCACAACTCACCCGGGTGGAGGAGACAAGCTTCATCCCTCGGTTTTCCGCTTCCACAGCAAAGTCGATCTCTTCCGTGCCCACCGCTGTCGACTTCGGAGCCGCCGCTCCGGTCTCCATGGCGGACGCTCCGCCTGTCATTGCCGCCATCCTCAGTGAAGCCAGGTGTATGTCCAGGGGTGGAAGTCGCGCGGTGGAAGTTTGCTGTGATCAAAGGGGTGCGGCGCCGAACAGTGCTCTTCTATTTGCGCTATCCCTCTACCCCCCCCCCCCCCCTCTCTCCGATCTCTTCGCGGAAGTGGTGATGAATGAGGAGCGAGACGCAGCCTTACAATACAACAGGGCCGCTGCAATATATACTAGCTAGATCGAGGTGTCTCAACCGACTGCCTCTTGTGTGTGGTCGTTGAAAAAGAGGGTGAGGGGTATTTCAGTTTGCGGAACCCCCAAGAGTGGGCGACGCGGCATCTGTCTGATCTCTCCACACACATGAACACACACACACACACACGGCCTGCTCCAACTGTAGCCTACGTGCGGTGGTGAGCGCAATCTTGCCCACCTACCCTACAGTTATAGATCTATAGGTTTGGTTTCTGCTGCTTTGCCGGCAAGGAGGACATACTCTTAGTACATGCGGGGGAACTACGGTCGCAGTCCCCCCGCACATCGTAACATGGCAGCAGCTAGCAGACGATTGTCATTTCGAACCCTGTTGGGGGTTGCTCTTTTGTTTGGGCTGACCCTCACCATCCTAGCGGCTGTGGCTGTGCAGTCGGAGCCGGCGATTCCGTTTGACGGATATGGGCACGTGATACTTCGGCAGGGAACCCTCGAGGCAGCTCTCAAGGTGACAAGAAACGTGGTTGAAGTTGTTGCACGAGCGCCCTCTGACGATGCGTATTTCTGCCTAGGCTTGCACCACACAAGACCCCCAAACGATACGAAGAGAAGAGATGGGCATACATGCACGAGCTGCAGCCGACCGCCAAGCCCCGGGTCAGAACAACAGCGCATCTCGCTCTCTCTCTCGCTCGCTCTCTCGTTCTCTCTCTCTCTGCATGAAGATTCTTATCTTCCCATTTCCAGGTCGTGATGCGGAAGGTCTGGTCCTCACAACCAACATGTAATTAATCGGTTGAGGCAACCGCTGTGTGTGTGACACACTAATGCCCCTGCGCCCTCCCGCTTTTGCCATTCCACGGGGTGGCATGCTTCTAGACTTTGTACTGCTGTAGCGTCTTCGAAGCCATTTGTGTCCTTCACGCCGCCCAACATTGCCCGCTGAGACGTTGGATACCGTACCCCACCGAATACCACAGTCACTTTTCGTGAGCAGTTTCTCGTTGTTCCCGTGGCAGGTGGAAGTTTACCTTGACCTGGCATGCTCGGACTGCGCCCTAGCTTGGCCGGTAATGAACCGCGTCGCCGAGGCCTACGGCGACCGGACGGAGTTCTTGTACCGCCTCTTCCCGCTGCCGTACCACAACAACGCCTTCAAAGCCGCAAAGGTAAGACAGCCCACCTCCAAACAACCGCGAGCCGTGGAAGCCGGGAGTCAGGGTGAGACACGTTCCACCCTAGAATCGCACGCAGTGACTCGTCGTGTAGATACATAGTGGGAGCAGTATTTCGTGCTGAAAGTCGGACAGCCATGCTTAGACGACACGGGGGAGGGGGGCGGGGGACACATAAATGTTGACGGGAAGAACTCGGGTGTTGTCGTCGTAAAAGTCGTGAGGGGGGAGGGGATATGAAGATTTTCAGCTTGAGCAGCACGTCTTAACGGCTGACCCCCGGGATCCCTAAGATTGGCAAGAAGCCTGGTGAAATGAACTTGGGCGAAGGACGTGGCGAACCCTTAGCGTTGCACACGTTGCTATGGCGTTCCTTCGCAATGTACGTTTCGTGGGCAGGGCTTTGCACTGGAGATAAGTGGGCGTGATGTGTGTTGGCCATCGGACACTCGTTTCTCCTAACGTCCATTATGTTCGCTCGACCCACCCCGCTCGGTGTGCAGGCGGCTAAGACCATCCAACTCTACTCCAGAGGCAGCGAAGACGCTTCGGTCGCATCGTTTTTCACGGAAGTCTTCATTGGGCAGGATGAGATCTCGAACGACTCCACCGAACTCATGACACAGCCTCAGATCGAGGACATTTTGGAGTCTTGGGCCACCTCCTCCTCGGGCATGAGCGCCGACAACTTCCACATGTGAGTGAGGGGGGAAGTTCGGGGTTACCTTAACCACACGTAGTGCTCAGCGTCTGTTGTCAACTGGTACGGCCGCGGAAAAGATCCCCGAAGAATGAACTTCCTTTTTGACGCCAACCCGCGCATGGCGACCGCCACGCTCTTTCGGTGAGTCCTCAACGGCGGTGACCAGTGCCTTTGGGCCCAGCTCCATGTGTCAACGCAAGATAAATGTGTGAGCTGATACTTCCACGTACTCGCTGTATTTATCTCCAACTCTGACGTGTCACTCCTACTTTACAGCTTGCGTTGTGACTTGGCATTTGAAACCATGTGCTGGGTTTCCTGCGAGTTTTCGTATGACTTCAATACAGCGGCACCGGACACCGTTCAAGAGGTTGCCCTCGCAACAAGTTTGGGCTGCATCATCTAGGTCAACAAGAAACACGGTGTTTCACACGAACGTTTCGAAATGCGACACTTTCTGAGGAAGGAACGGATTGCTGGGCTGCAGTATTGTATTGATGCTGCACGAATTGTTGGGTGTACGATAAAGGGACAATCGAGTAAACAGTTTACCACGACGCCCACGACGCCCACCCCTCTCTATTGTATGTTGTGTACCTGCCTGGGACTCACGTCCAGTCCAGCCCAAAAATACATGCAACGTGTCTGATGACCACACATATTCTTGGTTTTCGCGGCCCCGCCAAAACGCGCAGGGGCATGGCCGACGCCGAGGTCGAGATCCAAACGCGAAATCAGTTCAAGTACGGCTGCCTTCATGGTGTGGACGGCACCCCGCAGGTGTATATAGGAGGCATTTTGGCGAGTGGGTTGGACGGGGATGCCACGTTCCAAGACTGGCAGGACATCCTCGACCCTCTTCTCAGTAGAACGTCGTCGGCAGTACCATGGTTCAAGGGGTGGGCTGCTCAAAACGCCGAGTGAACAGCATTCTGCATATGTACATTGGAGGCATTTTGGCGAGTGGGTTGGACGGGGATGCCACGTTCAAAGACTGGCAGGACTTCCCCGACTCTCTTCTCAGTAGAACGTCGTCGGCAGTACCATGGTTCAAGGGGTGGGCTGCTCAAAATGCCGAGTGAACAGCACTCCGCAGGTGTATATACGAGGCGTTTTGGCGAGTGGGTTGGGCGGGGGTGCCACGTTCAAAGACTGCCAGGACTTCCCCGGCCCTCTTCTCAGTAGAACGTCTTCCCAGTGTGGTTCAAGGGGTGGGGCTGCTCACAACATTGAGTGAACAACGCAGCCACATGCGTACACGCCTGCCGCACGGTTTCCACGGGAAAACCGCCGCAGGCAAGATCGCGCGGTTTTCATCGAGGTTAGACGTGGCATCACGCTCACGGAGTGTTGTATTTTGCATGAAAATTTCCACTGTATTCCAGCAGCGTGTGTGTACGCGTCGTATGAAACAATCAAAGTCGTGTACTTGTACGCAAAACAAAAAAAACACGAAAAAAGCGCCCATGGGTAGTCAGACGCCGACTCCTACGCACTCCGGCGTCTTCGCTGCTGAATCTACGAGAAAAAACAAATCTCTACCGTTAGGGTACCTTGCTTAGACCGAGGCCGACGAATGCACAAAAGATGTAGGCGACAGTCAACGAAAGGAACCGACAGCAGGTGAACAAAAACCGACCCTTTCTTACAGCCGCGGCGAACCATTACGAGCGCTGCTGCTTGATCTAATATACACATTTCACGTCTAGTCGGGCCACCGGCTTCACAACCTTAACTTTAAAAGCGCCAACAACAGTCTTTGCTGCAACCCTCTTCAAACACAGACCTCTCTACGCCTCTTCCCGTAACCACATAGCAAACATGCACCCCGTAAAACGACAACCCCTGAACCAAACACAGCAACGCCCGCTCCACTACTTCCCAGGTGACGACTGTGTCGAGAACACCCGCCTCCAGTCGGAAGGCGGCTTAGGTCAGGAAACTTTCTTCCTGCTTCTACACGCCTCAAAACGACAACATTTTCCTTTACAAGGGTGCCCCGAACATTCTCTTCTCTTCTCTTCTTCATTTGCATGGGGAAAAAATATGACCGCAAGCCGGGGATTGCGAAGCGATGAAATCTACCACCACCTAACAAGGTATGAGTAGAGAGTAAACGGAGAACAAATTAAAACGACTAAAACAATACAAGTAGCACTAGAGTATACTGCTGTAATACATCGACAGGGAGATGAACGAACGACCAAAATTCCACCCGCGTTTACATTCTGGCGCAGACTTCACCTAACAGGAGTCTCGAGCCGAACCGGCTTCCCTACATCTTTTCGACATTCCGGCCACCACGATCTTCTCCAGCACCCCCGAAACAGATCGCCGGACCGCTGTTTCAACGCCAACGTCTAATAGTGGCCCATGAATATGTCTATGACGACGCGCGTGAGGGTTGAAATCGAGGAGATAGGCTAGTATCGCCCACGTTCACCGCGACGACCATATCCTTCGGGAAACGGCGCTGAGAACGTGCCACGACAGAACAGCGCCGCTCAAAGGCGGTCTTCTGTTTGCTTATTCCGCAGGATGAGTTTCGGCGATGAGCCCCCTCTCCTTGAGGGAAGTGCTGTACGCGTCCGCCATTTCCTGATGCCAAATTCCAACCTGGGCCATGCCATTGTCATTCGCCTGTTGACGTCGCAAAATAAAACCACACGGCGGGGGGGGAGGAGAGATGTCCTCAGCATGGCAACATCGCTCGCATCACAGCGAAAAAAACATGGGAGCACTCAGAAAAAAAGAATGCAACACAACACGCCTCTAGAATGAAGCGTCGATGAACAGACTGCCAAGTTGAAGAAGGCAGGAAAGGAACGGTGAGGCTGGTGTCAACCACCCTTTCTCATCAGGAGTTCAAGAATTATTTTGATGCGCGAAGTGAGTGGCTGCACACACTGCTGATCTTGTCGATTGTCACCTGTTCCGTTCCAAGACATATTTGGTACATTCTTCCCGTGGCCCATTGCTTAACTCGCGAGCTTCAAGATCTGACGCTCGGCGAGATGAACGAGGGAAAACATATCGACGCGTACAGCCCCCCAACTGCTGTACGGTATTGTTCTGGATGATTGTCTACCAACCAGGCATACAACATTGCACTATAGGAGTATATTTTTCTCATCCCGTGCTGTGTTTGAGTACAAGCCTCCGGGTCATTGTGAGCAAGGCCCGGGGGGACGTGAGGGAGCAGGGGCCGCAGCGAGTCGTTGTCGTTGCGGCGGGGAACGTGGGCAGGGGTCGTCCTTCGAGCCGCCTTCGCGGCAAAAGCATCTAGTGTCGGAGGCCAGCTCTCCTGGCCCAGCACTCGGTTGGGTCCACGTGTTTGTGCGCCGTGGATGGTACGGCTTTCCCGGTGAATTTCCGCCATGAAGTTGGTGCAATGGAGGCGGCCACGCCTCAGATGCGAGATATGGCAAATTGCGATATCTCGCATCGCAGGCGTGGCTGCCTTCACTGAATCAACCTCATGGCGGAGAGGCCATCGTGGCCAGCGGGTGGAGCGCGGGGTCTGCCGCACTACGGCTTACATGGTGAAATTTCCGGCGTGAAAAGCCTAGGTCTACATCGGAAAGGCTTCAGCTTCATCGGGTTTGTAGATCTGATGATGCTGCAGTGATGATATCTCTATCACCAAGTTGGTCCAGTGATGGCAGTCACGCCTGCGATGGGAGATATCGCAATTTGATCATATCTCGCACCGCAGGCGTGGCCGACTTCGCTGCATCAACCTCATGGTGGAGAGGCCATCATGGCCAGCGGGTGGAGCGCGGGGCCTGCTGCACTACAGGTTGCGCCGTGAAATTCCGGCGTAAAACTCTCCCGTCTACATCGCAAAGGCCTCCGCTTCATCCGGTTTGTAGTTCTGATGATGCTGCGGTGATGATATCTTCGTCATGAAGTTGGTCCAGTGATGGATGGCAGCCACGCCTGCGATGCGAGAACGCGAAATCTTGCATCGCAGGCGTGGCCACCTTCGCTGCACCACCAACATCATGGCGGAGAGGCCATCGTGTCCAGCAACAAGACAAAGCGGATGGAGTGCGGGGCCTGCTGCACCGAAATTCCACCAGGTATACCGTACCATCCAGGGTGCACACGCACGTCGACCCGACCGAGTGCTGCGAGAGTCAGAACAGCTTGCTGACGACGACACTGGCCGTACTGTTACACCTGCCGTTGCCGCGGAGCCGGCACGACGGACAACGCCCAGCGCACAATCCTCGTCACCAACGGCAGCCATAGTCATTCGCTGCGGAGATAACGGCCTCACGGTCTGCCGCGCCTTCAAAATGGCCCAGAGGCTTGAAATCCAAAAGAAACCGTACACACTCTGACGATAAGGGAAAACACGGAGTATCAGTAGGCCGGCACGACCAAATCCAAAGTTTGCTTGCTATCGTTCCAAGAAAAAACTAGTCTTGGGAACGTTTCCTGCGAAAAAATTCAAGACTGTTTGCGTCGCGCTACGCCGCTTGTACATGACGAGGGTGATGTTTCATTTCACGCAAACTGGCTTCTTCGTGTGCCCGTGGCTGCAAGCTGGTACGTATCAAGTACACGATTCACGATCACTTCTAGATGTTTCTTTTTCATCGCCTCCACCAATGGAAAGAAAAAAAAAGAGGCAATCGTTCACGGCCGTGTAGGTGGTCCACTTGCAACCACGTGCTGGTTACGAAGGGTGTGTCGCTTTCCTCTTGGTTTCTGACGAAAAAGAGAAAGCAAGGCGGGCTTCAGATTCCCAAGCCTTGGGCAGTTCTAACAATAGAGCACAGACTACGGCACGCTAGGTAATTGACCTAACGACACCGGTAGCATACAGCGGAGCAGTGGCAGCACTGCTGCCCGTTCCATGTGCCACCAACAAGAGCAGCAGGTCTTGTGTAGCACCCCCACCCACCTGTTGCATGATGTGGAAGGCGGTGGCCTCACTCAAACCGACCACCTGCACGAGGGACCTCGACACGTACTCGCGGGTGTTGCCGTTGTCGTTGAACAGCAAGACCTTGTACTGCCAATGTAGTACCAAGGGGACACACACCGCACGCAGCAGAGGCGGACATCGTGACCAACAGAACAAAGAGCGTGTGGGTCAGGGCAGGGGGCAGGGGGCAGGGGAAAACTGCGGTGTGCTCCTCCAAAATAACTACCATATTGCACACGTAGACGCCTGTGGTGAGGGCCTATTTACCATGCTAGAAATACAGAATAGCGCATCGCTGAGCGTCGAAGCATCACGGGAACCTCAGCACGTCTGTACATTAGATCCAAGTGCAGTACACGCACTCGTATCGCCGGTCTTGTGCAGGGACAGAGCAGTGTCGAGATTATTTACGTTTCACTTGTGTAAGAAAGTTGGCACGACTTCCCTCATCAGCGAGACTACATAATACTGCCGCACGGGCGTTTTGCCGCAGCCGGGCTTGAAAAAATAGGCTGGAATCGATAGTAGGACCAAGACAGAGCGTCGAATATCCGTACGTCATCATACGTCATGGACTCGAAAGAGAACTATATTAGTCTTGGCTGGGGCGGACATGTGGGTATTCTTCTCAGTCGCAGAGAATCATTTGAAATCGAGTTGAGGCGTCGCCAAAGATATGTGAAAGTGGCAGGTCCAAGTTTTCTTCGAAACAAAGACCATCATCAACCTCGTTGAGCTCAAAAAGCGACATTTGGAGCACCGCTCGAAAAGACTTTCGCGGTTACGCAAAAATCGTGACTTGTTGCTGTTGTGAACATTCCATTCCCTGGCCGGTACCAAAAATAAGCATCCGTCCTGGTCCACTGGCGCGAACGCCTTCCGCGGCCACAGGCCATCTACCCACCCCCCGCAAAGGGTTCTACTACTAAACTGCTGTATGCACACGCTGCACACACACTGCGAAAAATCAAGACTGGGGGAGGAAAGAGATTCAGAAAACACACACTAATACTTGTACGAGATACAAGTCCACGAGAGAAAGAGCGGGAGAGACGGCTCGAGGTTCCACCCGCTGTGGTGCTGTACTATTTACTGCTGTGGCGGCAAGTAAATTGAGCCGTGGAGGAGCGAGGGAGCGAGGGAGGGAGGGAGGGAGAGGCCACTACAAAAGCTCTTTACCTTGTCCTCGGGTCTGATGGACGTCTCGAACGAAACCTCCTTCTTGTCCAGAACTCCGATGGAAGGCCCGGCGGTCTTGATCTCCGGCATGGCCACGCCTGCCGCCATGTTGAGGGCCTGGCACGCGCGCCGTCGGCAAGAAAACAACAACAAAACGAGCCATGTGTGAGGAACTGCTGTACCGAACTAATACGGTTAATGGACGGAGGACAGGCTGTCCGCTGTCGGTGTGCGCGTGCGTGTGATACAGTAGTTTTGCACGTGTGTGCGAAGAGACTTCCCATGCTCCTTTTTTACTGCTGTGATGCTGCCTGATGCTTGGGTGGTGACCATTGCGAGGAGATTTTGACAATGGGTCAACCTACAGAGTAAAGTCAAGCAGTTCGGCGAAAACAACAACCCTCACGTGTAACATGACGTGGCGAGAGCGTGGTCCCTCGGCCAACGTCTACATTCCCGCCTCCGTCAGGGTAGACGAGAGTTGTGCCCAGCTCTTGCCTAACGCTGCACTCAATTTGAGTGGAAGCATACTGGCGTTCTATGCATACCACACTCCGTACATTGTTGTTGGACAACATACATACAATAGGTGTGGAGAGTGGAGAGGGTGAGAGCGGGTGAATTCCATATTGAAGTTTGATGCCCTTGTCTAAAGCACAGGCTCGCTAAATTATCCGATGTACGCGCAGCTCACGCCCGAAGCAGTTGACACAAAGCGGTTACGGCAGGAAAGAGAAGTGCTCGGGGCTGAAAAATTGCAGAAGCCAAGCCTACGGGTCACGTTTTCAAGATAAAGAGCTATGGGCGGTGGGGGAGGCTCTATCTCACACACACGAGGAAAAAACACGTCAGCGCCATCAAGAACAGCAGTCTTGACTACATTTTCATGGCAAAAACAGCACAACAGCCTGAAATCTAGATCAGCCACGTAACATGAAATTCGCATCGCTTGTGCGCAACTAGAGCCCACTCCCCCCCCCCCGACTAGGCAGGAGTACGTCCTCCTCCTGTGCTTCTCTTACCGAGATGGGTCGCCCCGACGCGGCAGCGGGTCTCATGGCGGTCCATGCGGGAACAACGAAGGCGGTTGATGCGGAGGCCACCAGGGCGAGAATCAACACTTGCAGTGGGCGGAACATTATTGCTGTGTGCTTGGGGGTCGTCCGTAGGGCGTGCGCGATCGAGAGGGGTTGTGTTTTGCGTTGAGCTTGCGTCAGGGGCGAGGGCCGGGGAGGGGAGAGTTGTTTGGTGCTGGTTCGATGTACTCTGTGTAGTTGCAACGGGGGTATGGATGACTTTTTCGAGGGAAGAATGCCTCCTTCCATATTTTTTCCTGTCGGGCCACCTCCCGCCCTCCCCCAAGCCGTCGAGCGTTGCGTCAGCGTACGTCTGCGCCGTTACCAGGGCACGAGTCAACAACAACCCGTTCGAGAGACCCCCCCCCGAGACAAGACTAAGCTTGTGCGACCTTCCTCCGTGACCCATATAGGCCCGCGTCGCAGGCAGCAGGCTCTCTTGTGTTGTAGCTCAGCTCCCCTGATCAGTGGGTGTTGACGTTGGGGCAAATATGACCTCTCGAAGCAGCACAGCGCTGGCCGTGCTTGGCCTCCTGGCGGGGTTCGTAAACGTAGATGCTTTCAGTCTGATTCCTGCGGCGCCCGGGGCGGTGTCCTCGTCGGTCACCCGCGCGAAGACGGCGGTGGCCAGCCTCGAGCCTCCGGCGAGGAATACGTGGCGAGCAAGACATGGTCTCTCAATGAGCTCTACTTCGTCAGCGGTGGAAAATGCAGGAGCCGCGACCGGGGAAGTTGACGACAGCAAACCCCCTAGGGCCAGCGTGATGGACGAGTTGGATGCTATTCTTGGCGACGTGCAGCAGGTGAGGGACTCGCCATCGGATACGTGCGACAGGGTGCTCTCTCGGGGCCTGCGTGGGTGCTCGTAAATTTTGTCTGGGTGCGATGAACCTGTGGGTCGATGGCGCGCCCGTTTCGGCGCGCCGCAGGTTGACGTTGCCCTCGCACCCAGCCAACCAATGCACATCGAAGTCGGCGATCGAGACGCCAGCAGCGTAGCTTCGTGAGTTTCCCAGGCCCCCTTGCGCAGCTTATGAGGCTGCTGTGTTGCGGGGTGGTAGCGGTTAGTGTTGTCTCCTGCTGTGGTATTTGATCTCCTTTTTTCGGGTGGGTGGGTGTCCACGGACCATTCACCCTTTGATGTACGCATGCAATTGGAAATCACACGTGTACACAGCAGCCAGCAGCAGTGGCACACATCGTGCGAGCCGCACGTTTGTGCACTTCCCCGAAGACATCAAGTTGGAGCCCTCTAGGATAAGATGAAGTGGGTGCTTTCTTGGTTCAGTTGTAGTCGGCAGCTATGCCCTTTGGTGAATGCCCAAGAGGAAAGGGCCATCATCATGTGTCCCATCATCATGTGTCGCTGTCTGCATGTATGTGTGGACTACATACGCTGGTCTGACTCCATCTCCGAACATAGAATGTTCAATCTGGCACGTACCGAGTGACGAGCTCGCCCCAACAATCACCTGTTGAACGTCGCCCTGTCAGCACCACCTCTTGGCCTCCTCGAGGCTCCATTTCGGCGATGTGCCGTTTCTAATTGGTCGTATTTGTACATTGTCGCGTTGCAAAATGTAACTTGTTGGGTCCGCCGTCCCTTCCAACCTCCATTGCGAACATGGTAACTGACTGGAACCTTGGTTACTGCCTGCGCCAAGACTACACGAGCGTCAGCAGTGACATACGTAGCCTGCATGTTGGCACACCCAGCAGTTCTCCTCAGCCCCTCCCATCCCTGTCTCAAGCTCCCATCGTTGCATGATACTTCGCAGCACTGCATTCCATTCCGGATGCCCCTTCCCTTTCCCAGTGCTTCTATACCCCTCCCTCACCACATGTGCGTACCCCCCCTCCCCCCCCGCCTCCCGACACTTTCGACGCCTTGGACTGCTTCAGGACTCCGGAACCAAGCCTGCCTCAGGCGGCGGCATGGGCGCCGCCGCGCCCCTCGACCAGGACCTCGATTCCCTCCTCGGGTCTGCAACTTCCGCTCCCCCGGCGACCGCGACGGTGGCAGCACCGAAGAACAGCGGTTTGGATGACCTAGACCTCGACGATCTGCTCGGCCCGGGAGCGAACTCTGCGCCACCGCAGCGATATTCGGGCGGGGGCACGGCCGAGGGGGGAGGGTCGTTCCCCGCCGCGGGCCGCGGGCCGCCGGTCGGCGGCGCGTCCTCGGACGGGCAGCAGGCGTGGGGTGCGCCTGGTCAGCAGCAGCAGAGGATGTCGTACAGCGGGGAGTTTGGCGCGGCGAGCGGCAAGTACGGCGACACCGCGGCGCGGACGGCGAGCAAGGAGTTGAAGGGGGACCAGATGGTCTCCTTGGTGGAGGTGGGGGAAGAGGGGGCGTGCCCCGTGGAGGAGAAGGACGTGGACCCCAAGACCGTGGCCGCGCTCAAGGCTCGCGGAATCGAGAAGTTCACCCCCGTCCAGGTGGGAGAGCGACGACACGGCCGGTTCGGTCTGGTGGTTACATCGTACATATGACGAACTAAGCGTGTTCGTGTTGAGTGTCGTTACCGTATCTGCCCGGGCGTCTTTGCTGCGTATAAGCTTTTTTTACGCCTGTGGGTATCTCGATTGTTTCTCCTCGCCGGGTATTGGTTCTAATTCCTCACGAGACACGGAAGTTTGTTGTGGCACGAAATGCTGGTCGGCAACCCTTGGTGGCGTTTTCGTCGCCGAAGCAACCACCGCGTTCTCCAACAGATGACAACACTCACAGCACCGAACGAGTGAATACTCTCCTCACGTGACGATTGTTGTTTTCCCCGCGCACAGGCCATCACGTACGACCACATCCTGTCGGGGCGCGACATCATCGGCAAGTCCCGCACCGGTACGGGCAAGACCATCGCCTTCGGCCTGCCGGTCATCCAGCACCTCGGTCGCTTTGCGGAAGACCACCAGCAGCGCACTTACCAACGCGGCAGGTCGCCCCGCTTCTTGGTGGTGTGCCCGACGCGAGAGCTGGCTCGTCAGGTGTGGTGGGATTGATTGGGTCTACGGGGTTGGTATCAATTTTTGTTGTTGTGATGGATTGGGTTCGACTGCTCTCCTCTTCGTGTCGGCCAGCCTTGTTTCGTCATCGCAGCGTTGGGTCTTCCTTTCGGTGCTGGCTACGCGTGTACAAACAGCGTAAGCCCAATATTCCCCCACAAGCTTTTGTTGGTACATGATGGCGCGATGGTTGGGTCCCCTTGGAAGTTCTTCTTTGTACACCATACAAGCATCCTTTACACCCTCGGCAAGGATTACAACAAGCACTACGTCTGTGTTGTGTCTGAAAACTCTCTCACCCCCTAACGGTAATCCTCCTCCCGCGCGTCGCAAACACCGCACGCCAGGTGTACGGCGAGCTGGAAACTCTGGGCAGCACCTTCGGCCTCAAGGCCGATGTCTTCCACGGCGGTGCCGCCTATGGTCCCCAGATGAGGTCTCTCTCGGACGGCCTCGACATCCTGGTGGCCACGCCCGGCCGCATCATGGACCACCTCCAGAGGGGTGCCCTCGACCTGTCGGACGTGCGGCACGCGGTGCTGGACGAGGCCGACGAGATGCTCAACATGGGGTTCGCGGACGATATCGAGACCATCTTCTCGTATGTCGACGTGAGTGAATAGCAAGGCTGAGTTGTGGCGTTGGTTCGGGGGGGGGGCTGCAGTTGGTGGGCATGCCTCGGGAAGTTTTGTTTTGTGTGGTGGGAGAAAGAAGGGTTTCGCGTGAGCTGGGTGGTGCTATAGCATGGCATCCAATTAAAGGAACGCCAGGTGCTTCGCACGACTCATCGTCTCCTGTGATTGTCATCCATGTGACCGAGAACAGAGCTTGTGAGGACAGCATTCGCATGCAGATTCGTCAGGAATAGGATGTCAGAATACTCTGCACGTTTTGCCGCGGACGGTGGAATGCCTGCTTAGCTATTCTTGTGCGAGTATGAAAACAAGTTGTGGATGATGTTCGCGATCGACTTTTTGTTTTTATGGCGGCAGGTGAAAGAGTGCCAGGTGCTGCTGTTCAGCGCCACCGTGCCCAGCTGGGTAAGGAACATCGCCAACAAGTACACGGCCAACCCGCTCACCGTTGACGCCGTCGGCAAGCACGTGAGTACGCATTGTGTCGACGATGTTTGTTTGTTCACCGCGCACCCAAGGTGATTCTCTTGACCGATGTCCCCGACGTGCTTGAATGGAGATTGTTCCCACTGATATTGCTGTTGCTCTTGTCTTCACACCGAGCACCCTTCTGATCTGTGTCAAGTTCTTTCAATTCCGTGGTACTTGTAATCAAGCTGTGGGAGCGAATTTTCGTGATTGCATACGATAACATGAGTGCCGTGCTCACTCGTCTTGTTATCCGAGAATACAGGATACGGCACGTGACAAGAAGCCCCTTCTGTCTTGTACTCTCACCGATTTTCCCGCGAAAGGTCGGGTCGCTGAGTAGGAGTCGGCCGACCGCCATCACCTTTTCGTAGGACTGGCAAAGAGCCCGCTGCTGGGCAGAAGCGATGTCGTAAATTTCGGCAAGCACCTAATCCCGCGTCCTTTCATTTTTCATGACAGGTGAACAAGCTGGCGACGACCGTAAAGCACCTCTCCATCGAGGTGTCGTCTCGGCATCGTTCGAGCATGCTCGAGGACATCATCACCTACTACGGCAAGGGCTCGCACGCCATCGTGTTCACCAACTCCAAGGCGGAGTGCGACGAGCTTGCCGACGGACAAACTTTCAAGACTCTCACGTCTCAGGTACACAGGCAGCGACTGGTCCTTTGCTTCCGACTAGCCCACATACACTAGTGAGAGACGTGCAGGCGGGAAAGGGTGCATATACCTTTTTTGTTGGGTTGTGCTAGGGTGTGTGTGGTGCCGAGGGTCAGACAAACCATTTTCATTGAGTGGGCATGCAGCCGTCTGGAGGCACACTTTGCTGTAGAACGACGCAACGGGACAACCGCGTCACCATTCACAGCCTTTTGGTGGGGAGGATGACGATGTAGTTTGCCGTGGAGACACCCCTCCCTTGCCCGTTAGACCCGAGATCCACTGACAATGGCAGAATCACGTCCCCGACTCGGGGCACGAACATAACAACGCTCACTCACTTGTGTAACCTGGCGCCCACCCTTGTATCTTTTTTTTTTTTTTGTCGCAAGGTCCTCCACGGAGACATCTCGCAGCACCAGCGCGACCAGACCATCAAGGCCTTCCGCGCCAAGGGCTTCCAGGTGCTGGTAGCAACGGACGTCGCCGCTCGCGGCATCGACGTGTCGGACATCGACCTGGTCGTCCAGTACCGCCCTCCGCGCGACCCCGGTAAGGACAGAGACAAGAAGATGACAAGCCATGCGCACCAAGTTTGCATGGAAGGCGTGTAGGTGTACCAGTGACTGGCTGCGTTTTTGTGCTCGGAGTCCGCGCGTTGGTTGATTCTAGCGTCCTGTGAAAGTTCTTTTTGTGTTTTCTTTACTCTCCCGTCACCGTCGGGCGGGGTTTTTGTGTTATTCTTCTTGTCTCTGACGCGTGTCTTGAGCGTCGCAGTTACAGTGAGGCACAAGTCTTTCGCTCGCCTATTCTCTTTTTTCGCTCTTTGCCCCACGCCCCCTCTCTCCTGGTCGGCCGACCTCTCACTTACCACCACAGACACCCACCCACCCTGCTCCAGTCTCCCAGACCTTTCTCAAGCCGTGCTTATTCTTCCTCTGCATTGTCGTCTCTCAATTCCTTGATCTTTTTTTTTTCAGATTCTTACGTGCACCGCTCCGGCCGCACGGGAAGGGCCGGGCGCCCCGGAGTGGCGGTTACACTCTACGCCGAGAACGAGATCCGCGACATCCGCAAGATCGAGCAGGGGGTGGGCCAGGGCTTCCGCTTCGAGCGGGGAGCGGTGCCGTCCGCGGAACAGGTCATGTCTCTCGCGGGGACGGTCGCCCGCGAGCAGATCAAGGGGGTGAGCGACGACATGGTGGACTTTTTCAGGGAGTCGGCGCAGGAGCTTCTCGCCGAAGAAGAGTCGGAGGTGAGTGAGAAGAGCAAGGGCGCTGCTCGAGAAGAGAAGTGTATTGACAAGGAGTTGGAGGTTCCGGCCCGAGGTGTCGTGTTCGGGACTTGTGACGAGGGGGCTGGGTCGAGAAGGTACAAGTATAAGGCTTTGGAGTTTCCGGCCCGTGTTTTGGGACTCGCGTGTCATGCTTTTCTTTCTGGGTCTCCTGTGCGTCCGCGGCCTCGATGTAGGTTGTAGCGAGCGGTAGCTGGTGCGATTACTTGCGACAGGCAGCGAAAGCGTGAAATTTGGTCACCTGCGTTGTTGCCAACCCCCCCCCCGCGCGCGCAGCAAGAATCATCGGCCTTTGCTTGTCAAGTGTTTTCTCTCGTACGGAGGTGTGTTCTTGGTTCTTGTGGGTTACGGTCCTCACGGTATATCTGTTCGCGCTCGCGCCCCTTGGTGGAACACAGGACAAGGAACTTCTGCTTGCCAAGTGCTTGGCGGCCATCGCCCGCAAGACCCACGTCACGGTAAGTCCAGATAGAGCACGGCATATCCAGGGTGCTACTCTACGACACATCCAATGCTTCTTGCGCGACTGGTGGAACTAGATTAGTTCATGACGCAGGACTTGCCGTGCCTCGTGCAAATGTATTGGCTGAACTCTCCCACAAGGTACACCTCATGAAGTTGTTCGTATTCCTTGGTTGCCTCGACATCCGTCTCACGCCACCTTGAAAAAAAAAATCTTCCTCGTCGATCACCACAGAGGAGATCCATGTTGACGGGAGAGCCAGACAAGGTCACCGTCCAGATGGTGGCGCCCCGCCAGCTCACCTCCGGCGACGTCATGTTCGCTGTGGGCAAGCTCGGCCGCGCGGCGGGCTTCGAGCCGATGGTTGGCAGGATCGCCATCGCCAAGGACCCCACGACGGCGGTGTTCGACATGTCCACTGAGGCCGCCGACCAGCTCGTCAAGTTCAGCAAGGAGCAGAACTTGGAGAGCATCGAGTTCAAGATGTGCCCCGTGCTGCCCGTGCTTCAGGAAGCACCGGTAAGGAGGCGTTTTTGGGGTTAGTTTTGAGGGCAGGTTTCGTTTTTTTCCCCGCGGTGTTCGGCTGTGTGCTCGAGGAATTAAGGGGCAGCAGTAATTCGGGCAATCACGTTTCACCTCTCACCACAGCAGTCAGTTTTGGTCTCCCAAGCAGTTCGAACAGTACGTCCCGAATGGGATGCCCTCGTTCCTGTGCGGTGCTTCTTTTTTAGGTCGCCATGGCGACATCAGACATGTTTCTTTGCCCATCAAAGCCATGCCCTCCGCTATCGGCTACGTCCTCAACTCGTCTCTCGATCGTGGTTTCCGCGCCGAAAGCCTCATTTGACAAAAAAAATAGTGTACTTGACGTTTAGTGCTCACCTGTTGCTCGTTTCCATAGTACTCAAGGACCAACCTTTGGTATCTATGTAACTTTGCAACACCAACGCCTGTCGTCTTGCTGTGAAGTTGTGGACGGGCTTCGCCAGCAAAATTGTCCCCAGACGCGATGCATTTTCACTTGTTTCTATTCCTTTTGCACCGAACACCTGTCCCGGACTTTTGTTTCTAATCCTTTTGCACCCCAACGCCTGTCCTGAACAGGGAGGACGGTTTGGTGGAGGTCGGGGAGGTGGCCGCGGCGGGCGTGGACGCGGACGCGGCGGCGGCGGCGGCGGTTACAGGGGCAACCGATCATCGTACGGCGGTGGAAGGGGTGGATCGTACGGTGGCGGAGGGGGGTACCGCGGGGGCGGAGACAGGTAAGAAAGGACATCTGTGGACAGGGGGGCGCAGGCAAGCCAAGTCCTCCCCCTATCTCTTCTGTAGTCAAGTGGCCGCGGTTGTGTGCGCAAAGTGGCTGTCTGCGGGTTCTCTTGGTCTGATTATGGGCTTTCGCGGTGAGGTCTATCCCGTGTGCAAGTTTTCACGGCCCAATTTTACGGGGAATCTGTGAATAGCGCGATCATGCCGTCTGTGACTCGCACCGACTAGACTACTCACCTCCTCCCTGTTCCTTTTCTTGAACGCATAGCTCACTAGGCCATCCCTCCATGCACTTGTTCGTTTCTCATGTCGTCGTTCCCCTCCCCGACATTTCCCTTTCCCTTTTGATGGACTTTAGAAACGGTGGATACCGGGGCGGGCGATCATCGTACGGCGGTGGCGGCAGCGGCGGAGGCTCGTACGGAGGCGGGGGCGGGGGCGGTTACGGCTCGCGCGGCGGCGGTGGCTACGGTGGTGGTGGTGGTGGAAGCTATGGAGGAGGCAGCTATGGCGGTGGTTACGGATCGCGCGGTGGGGGGGGAGGCTACTCGGGCGGTGGCGGGGGTAACTCGGACTGGTAAATGGCGCCATGTAGTACGGGGCCTTTTGGGTTGATTGTTGCTTCGGTGTTGAACCGCAAGTGACAAACCAGGGTGATTGATTGCCCGCTTCGCTGGCGGTTGTAAGCAGACGTTGCTGCGCAGGTTACGCGAGTACGAAGAACACCGTGATCCCGTGCCGTTGTATGCATATTGCCATTTATGCGCTCGGGCCCGGACTCGTGGGGGACGAGGATGTTGGTGGTGGACAGCTCAAAATTTCTGCCACAAATTGTCCACGTTTTTGGACCTTGCGGTGATTTCCGAGAGAAATAAAGGCTCCAGCGTGGAGGTCTTTCTTAGCATTGGTGGTCTCTCTGACGCCAAGGAGTGATGGCGGTTGGTTGGAGCCTGATGAGAGTTCGAATGAGACTGGCTCGGAGTGAGGGGAGAAATCTAAGCGATTGTTTGCCATCCTTGAGAAGCTTGGATTTTTCTTTATTTTTTCTGTAGCGTTTTCTGTGTTCATTTTTGGGACTTTCTGTTCACAGCCAGTTTTCGCCCATGAGGTATGCTAGATACTATTGGTCAGTGATCGCGAGGCTTTGGGCGAAATTGGGGATTGGACTGTGTGTTTCCCGACCCAGTTTGTCCTTCGTTGTTGATGGTGGGTGGTATGAAGCGTTGTGTAAAACGTAAGACCGATTTGTCCTTGTGCTCGCGCTTGCTTGGGGACGTAAGAAGCCTCCTGGTTATTAACTTCTTTTAGAGAACCCTAACTCTTTCCAAGACTAGTATAGTCCCTCCCCTCCCTCGACTTGCATTCCTTTTGGTGGCCGACCGTGGGGCGTGCTATGATGTCTTTGCCGCTTTCATCGCCATGTGGCGTGGAACTCATGTCGCCCGCGTCCCAGCACCAACGAACGTCGATTTGTATCTCTTTTTAGCTTCGATCGAAACCATCGTTGTTTTGCGCGGCAAGGCCTGTCTGTGCTTGTAGACCCGGATCCCCCATCCCAGGTCCTACCAGGAGTTGGTAGAAATCCCCGAGAGCAGCAAAACAATTATCAAGCTTGATCAAGTTTCACGTGTGCCAAAAGCTTTGCACAGTTCGTAAGGGGAGGAAGGCAGTCGCAGTTGGCCCGGGGTAGGTTTAGAGTGACTCGACACGTCGAGTAAGGAGGCGTTTGTTGGAGCAAAGGCGACATCCATGACGGGGTAGATTTTGATGAGATACAAAACAATGGCGCAATAATTGTTTTTCGTTTTTCATGTTTATTTGTGAGGGTATCATAGGTGGCTGATATCCTTGTTTTTCGTTAGGTGCGTGTATGCATACAATATAAGGCGGGATGAACGAGCCGGTATGGAGAAGTCGCGGGGAGGGAGGGTGTTGTAGAGAAGCCGCGAAGCATGAAACTTGGTCCTGTTTCTTGACCTGATTGGAAGACGGATGCCAACAACTTTCGTTGGTGGAACTGAACATGTTGAGGACGTCCTTCTCGACGCCCTAAAGTTGTAACCCGTAACGAATCACAGACCACACTGCACGACATACGGTGCAGCCACTGCTGTACGAGCATTTGCGTGAGTCCCTTCTTCTAGCGTTGGGAACGGGGGACACCGGAGCATCGCAGCAACGCGAGCATGGATGACCATTACCATTACCAAAAGTTCTGTTGTACTGGCACGAATCTCGTTCCGTGCAATCGCAACCTCTGTCAAGACTCGGACGGCTAAGCAACAGAGAGAGAGGTGGTGGGGGCGTGACACTTGTGATTCTTGTTTTCCGTTATACGAACAAAAGTTGCCGATCTGCTACCCTAGACGAGCAGCAACCACCCCACCGTAAGGCCTACGAGACACTGGACTGGATTACACGCCTTCACATGTTCTAGGGACTCGGGCCCCCTGCTTGTCCTCTGATCACAAACTGCGCTGATCCCTCACCATTCACAACGCTCAAGTGCTTTGACGCGAGATTCATGGGCCCCGTGGGTCGTTTCCTGATCGCAGGCTGAACCGCTTGCTATCGGTGCTATCATACAACGCGGAATGACGTCCGTAGTCTTGCGTCCGAAACCAGCTGCCAATCAAAGGATGCCTCTCCCCGCCTGCCGCCGTTCGTTCCCGCCGCCTGCGCACACAAGACCCTCTTGCGCATCAATCATCCTTTTCCGCAAGGCGGCACGACTCGATCAAGTCCTCGAGCTCGAGACCCCCGTTGCCCCCGGTGCCGCACGCAAGGGTCCCCATCCCCACATCCGCGGGGCCCCTATATCGCCCCATCGGGTCCGGCACCATGTGCAAGCTGGACGGCACGCACCGAAACTCGAAGTCCCTCCCCTCCCCCCCCCCGGCCAGCGTAATCCCCGTCGCTCTCTCGAGAACGCCTGTTGCCCTTGTCCGCCCCCCAGGCGGCCCTTGCTGCGAGTCACTCGGGTCATTGCTTCGCGCTGCAACGGTTCCAGAAGGCGTGGAACTCGCCTGGTCTCCGTGTGTAGACGAGGGGTCGAAGTGTATCCGCATGGCAACCCCCGGCGGGAGGGTTTCCTCTCCTCGGTCAAGCGTCGGCGGGCGTGGGGGGAGAGGGGCGGCCAGAGAATCCTCGGACCAGTCGAACAGGAGCGAGTCCGTCACCCCCGAGAAGGGGTTCATGTCCAGGAGCCACACTCGAGAGCGGTTGTCCACGTACACGTCCGCCACGCCTGGGCACACGTGTACACGTCGGTCGTGTGATGGGATCGGCATCGGAGGGTAGAAAACATATTTTAAAAAAAGTCATCGCCGACACCACTCGGGAAAGGCCAGCAAGCCTCCAGCGGTCGGTAGTGCCCCTGTTCCCCTGTTCTGTTCTTATCTTGCAAGTGGCGAGTGGAAAAGAGAAAGCTGGCCGGGGGGGCAAGAGGGGGTGCCGCTAGGGGAATGACAAAATCGACTCTTGTGTATATTTTCATGCATGCGACGATGCCCTACGCGGGACCTACTACGCAAGGTGCGTCTGGTGAACCGAAACTCTTCGGGAAAAATGTGTGGCCAACCCTCGTGGTTTGTGCTCGATACAAACTGGACAACTTCATTTTCCTCAGCGCTCCGTCCCGCTTTGTAGAACTCTCCAGACGGCGCCAACAACATGAGCGATCCTTCAAACGTGTGTGCCATCTCATTCTTTCTGAGCGTTGATTTATTGCGCATTTCGGTATGTGATAGGACGGGATACAGAGGAGGAGGCCCACAGAGGGCTTTTCTTGTACAAGAAACTCTTCGGCTTGTTGGGCAGTCACAAATGCACTATTTAGTATGAGGTTCAAGCTAACGCCATGACATCCTTACAGTCAGGGTCTGCGAACTTCTTGCACACTTCCGCCGCGAAAAATTCCTCCAGCAACGTCGACAGCCGGTCCGCCTCTTCCTCTAGAAACCCGTAGTAGCTCGTGCAGTCTCTTTGGCAAACACCTATGGGCCAAAGGTGTCAGATATGGACGACGTCCAGCAAAGAGAAATACGTTGTCCGTCGTGGCTGTGTTCCCGAGATCCATTCCGACAACAGTGTGGACAACAGCAGCCAGTATTTCCCGGGGCTAGTGAATGTTGGCGTAAGCTTGTGTGTTCAATCTTAGAGGCTCAACGACATCGAGGGACATTGCCTCATTCCAACAAAGATTAGAGAGATTTGGAGCGGGTTCAACGCTCACTATTTACGGCCTCGACGCCCACCAAACCGACAAAGGAGACGAAAAGAGGGTAAAATAGCAGAACACACACAACGAAAGTGATGAGGAACAACTCCATATTCCCTCGTACACGACATGATATGATAGACTCACCCACAAGCCGCCTCTCTCTGACGAAACACCGGAAGAGCATGGAGGGGTGGAGGTTGCACCACTTCCGCAAGACCAGCGTAAATGTTTCCGGTCGAGATATGCTCGAGCCCGTGCACGCGTCAAACCTTCAGCACATGGAACGGCGCAAGCCACGAGTCCGGTACGTTCACAGTTGATGTCGTGGGGGCGGAGATATCTTGGAAACTTTCACACGAGGTGACCCCACCTACCAATATTTTCAGCAAGAAACTCTAAACTACCGTAAACCGGAGCATGTCGGCATCTTCAAAGTCGAGTACATTGTCACGGGAGGCCCCCACGTCAATTGGACCAATACGGGTGTTACCAGAATAGTTTTTGCGTGAAGACAACGACAACGACGACGAAGAGGACAACAGAGAGAGAGAAACGCTCGAACAGGCCAAGGGAACACCTCAAAAGAAAGCACCGCCTTGGAACGTGAGTGTCCACGGATGAATAGATAACATGTAAATTATCTACATGTACCGTCAGTCGTGACCAAAGACAAAGTCCCCCGCACACTCAACGCCGCGAAGAAAACTTAGCAGCCCTAACGCTAACCCTGCAATGCGGCAAAACCCAAATTGGGCGCCGAGGTAAGTCAAGCCTTGACTAGGATCGTGTTACTTGTAGTGCTATATGCTGTATGCACTGCGGGGGTTTCCAGCATCGAGCGACCAAAATCGTAGGTCACCCCACCGTAGAAAGCTACCTCAGGTGCCATCTGCGGCTGGCACGTTGTGACCGGTGGTCCAACCAAGTCCTCCCATCCGATCTATCAATACTCTTATGTACGGCTCCACGACAGCGGCGCACGATTGCTCAGCAAATCTACACCAGATACTCCCCTGGTGTGCGGTCACCACCACGTAGGTGGCTCCTCGGCCAATCAGTCTGCTCAAAAAAGGTGGTGCTGGTGCTGGTGTGTTGGTGGTGTAGGTCTCCACATGGAAGGGTGACAAGACGCATACTCACGCATGGTTGAGATCATGCGAGATGAAGGTGGAGCTCTTGATCAGGCAGAGCACGTCCCCTGGCAGCTTGCACTTTAGGCTCCCTCCGTTTACCCACGCCGCGTCCTAAGTGTACCGGTGGAAGAGCAAGTACCGACGCCGTCAAACACACAACACACAGTGACAGTGACACACCAAAACCGTGCTATTTCGCAAGATGCGCGAACCAGACGCTAACTTGAGATTGTCTCTCATGAAAGCTATATCCTCGTCGCATGCTGGTGCGCAGCTCATTAGGGTGGTCTACGAGGAAGCGACAACAGTAAGCGAGCGAACCGAGACAAGCAGACACACAGACGGCCACACCGACAGTCACAGGCAAATGAACAGCGATAGATGCTGGTACCAGCAAAATCGTAAGACTTGCCTTCGGGCAGCTCCAGTTGAGTTTGGGAAACACCGCTCCCCCCAAAGAAGCAATCGCGTCGCTCAGCAGCGCGTGAAGGTCCGGGAAGTCTGGCTGGTTGTCGTTGAGATATGGACGGAGCAGCAGCAACAGCACCACCAGTTGGTTTCGGTCGGTCAGGGAGCATTGAGTTGTGGACGGATCAGGAAAAACAGGACACGTCCGTGGTTTGGGAACATCTTTAGAGAGTATCACCGGCTGACGATGCGAATTTTCAGAAAGCATATGTAGTACATGCCTTCTCCACCGTCATTACCCCTTCACCTGGCCGCCTCGTACCCTTGTAGTAGGAAATCAAACCTGGGTTCGCGTATCATGTACATGCCCCCATGCACCACACAAAAATACGACTGGTCAGCGCGTTCGGTTAAAAGCGCGCCCTTTCTACCGTAGTTGCGTGCAGATACGATATTCCAAACGCCCGATCAACACCATGTTCCGAGAAACCACGTCCCAAGAGCTCTCTCTCTCTTACCCTATCTTGTTCATCCTCGTCTTCGTTTCCCCAGTCCACCTCGTCGTCGCTGTCATCCCGCACCCCTTCCCCGCACGACATCTGGAAGCCCTTCGGCAGCACCACGCCATCCTGCTGGAGGTACCGCACCACATCTTCGGGGAGCTTCAGTACCACGCTACGCGGTGTGCAGTGCTTGAACACCGGATGCCATCGACCGAACTGGCAGTTCAGGACATGCCCCTGCGTAGGCGCCGGTGACACCCCCGACGGTTCGGGCGTTTCCGCTGCTGCTGCTGCTGCCTCGGTGTTGTTGAGTTCCTGCACGGCGTCTTCGCTCGTGTCGCCCGCTCCGACGTTAGGCACCATCACGCTACGGTCGGACACGCACGGATTCGGGCGGGGCTTAGTTAATGAAGGACGCTCCCCGAGCACCGGCTGTTGTACAGCATGCATGATATTGATTTTCCTAGTTTGATTGTATGGATGTGCTAGGAAAGAGGTTCTTGGGCGGTGATGTGGACACTCTCTCAACCCGTCGAAACACAAACGTTGCAGGTTGCAGAATCTACAAACACAGGGTCAGGTGTCAGTTGCGGCGTAATTTACTTCCAACCTTCCAACCTAGCTATGCTGACGGTACCTGGCTCAGTTAGAGGGCCTCAGGAGGGAGCGGGGTACGTGCTGATCTCGCTACTTTGGGCTGTAAGTGGGCCTGGTATCGCTAATTTATCGAAATTGTAATTGCCGCCGCTGCCGTAACACCGTAACACCGGCAGTTACACGAGAGGAGGCCGGGGGGGGGCGTTTGCTGGTGTGTGGTGTGTGGGCGGCGCATGTTTCATTGCAACAAGTTACTCCAACGTCGAGCTTGCAATGAAATTCCTGCGCTCGATTTTGATGAAACACAAAAGATAGCAACGACTAACATGGCCATTTTGACCGTTGAACACATTCCTCCTCTGTGCGTCGGTAGCTACAATAGCTCAGTACAGCCAGTACAGCAGTCAAGGCTCCGAGCACCAGCGAGCGCAATGATTTGCGCGCAAGGCGAAAGTATAGTAATCACACCTGGAGGAGTGTACGTGGATGTTACGTCAGACGTGGAGAACGGCGTTCAGCGAAACAACGCAAAGGTTTGTGCAGGGTGGGCGTGGGCGTGGGCCTAGCGTCTAGGTGGCTGGTTGCAGCAGTGCCAGTGGGGCAACAACCGGTGCAGAGGGTAGGTTGAGGCACCGCGAAAATACAAAAAAAGATAGGGGTATACTGCCCATGCCAGCTGCGAGGACCCTGCTGGCGTTGCTGATGGCCTCCGACATGCCGACTTAAGCAGAGTGGGCTCTCTTGAAATAGAGCAGCCCTTGAGACAACGCAAGATGGAGCATGTGAGTACTGTTGCAATGCCGCGGGATGTTCACATTGCCCGTGTGTTGAACCTGGGGAGTTGAGGTATTCAGCAAGAAGTGGTAGCCAGGTGTAGATTGGTATCGACGCTCTGAGAATCGTCGTCTTGCCTGCCCTCGGCAGCAAGCCTACTTGGCATGCCCCAGTACGGCAGAGACCTGGCATTGCAAGAATCATACAGCCTACCACGTTCGTAGTTTTCCGGGCACAAGACTGCTGTTGCTTTTACCTCCCTTCTGTTTCCTATTGGAGAGCGCTTGTGCAGGTGCATCTCTCCGCCAGCAGAGATGTGAGTACTCACGCTGGTCACCATGCTCCCTCGTGTTTGCCTCGTTCTGGAACAGGGGGTCACCATCGAAGATGCGAGCAACCACGCGCGCTCGCTTGTGGCGTTCGAAGAGATGCTGGAGTTCCTTGTGATTCGCTTGGTGAGTAACGCGGCGGGCGGGGGGGACTGCCACTAGATAGAGAGTGCAAGAAGCTTTGTTGGGTGTTTTGCACGCTGATGATGTTTGATTTTTGTCATGAGCAGCCAAAACAACCCGGTTTACCCGTGTAGGTTGCAGTTGCCCGTGTTCGTGTGAGCGACATGTAAAATCTTTTGATGCTACGAGAGCTCTGCATACGAGCGCTAACAGCCATCTGCTACATAGCCTTGCTAGTTCTAGAGGGCAATCGCCATTTTTATTTTTCGGCTCGAGTCGGAATCATAATCGGAAATCGATTCCACAGGTACAATATTCAGGTACAGCAGTATTCCTTCTGTTCGTGAGTCGCGGGCAAAGAGGCGCCTGAGTCCGTCCTCGCGATTCCCCCGCATGTTGGGCGGCAAACTCCCGGCTATAAACGTTGCGGTTAGGTGGAATACAGAATACAGCACGTTCGAGTGAGTGGGTGGAAACGCGAGCATACCCCTCCTTTTTCTATTCCCCTCGGAACTTTTTGGCCGAAGTTTGTGATAGCTATACAAATATATGCTACCACGCTGTTTGGGGTGGTACATGTGAACGCGCTCTCAGCGCTTGATGATTTTTGGTGAGAGGATGGCTCATCGATGCCACGCCCAAACAGGATTACTTGTATCGATTCTACGCCACGCTCTCATCATCCGTATATCACCACGTGCGAAGAGCGCGTTCGCACGTACTACGCCAATCAGCGGCGACAGTTATCCTCTTGATACAGCAGTGGACTACATTACCTCATGGGAGCATTGTACAAAATGCATTTTTTTGTTTGTTTACCTGTTCTTTCTTTGTGGCTGTACCTTTAAGACTATCCTTTCCTCGGCCAGAAAATCCCATCCAAAATCAACACCTTCCCGGTTGAGCTACCAATTTTTGTACTGCTGTTGCCCCCACGTTATTTTACTTCTGCCCTCCGTCTAAAACCTCAGTACCTCCTACATACCGTACAAAGACAACGACGAATTTTATCGGTTTTCGAGCTAACCATGGAGTAAGTCCACATTCCACGACCGAGGACATGTGCCGCCACACGCGAAGAGATAAAAAAATTGCCCAGACTAACAAGTCTAGAAACACGCACCAGGAGGAAGGCAAGAAACCGACAAAACAAAACGACGGAGGAGCACTCCTTGCTCCACTTGGAAACGGCGCCCGCCAATGACAGGTTGCGACAAACATAGGAAAGTTCAAGTTTTTCCTCCACCGAGACAAACGGTCAACCCGTGAAAATTCCAGAACCACAGAAGATCCCCCCCCCCCTTCCTTCTGCCCACGACCGTTTCGCAGTCACAGGCAAGCGACGCCCTGGCGCTTCCCGGGGAAGAAGGGGAGCTGACCTCGGCGTTGCGCGAGCTGTCAGCCCTCATGAATGGCCTGGCTGAGGACGTGGCCATGGAGAGCCCGGCGCACCGCCGAGCTCTGTTGCGGACGTCCCTGCCGGCGAGCCTGAGGGCGATGCTGGGACAGACGTATGCGGGAGAATCCGAGGGCGTGGTCGCTTCCGTGCAGGAGGCTCTTCGGAGCGTGGCCCGCGCTCTGGCGAAGGCGAGCGACTTTTATTTGGTTGGGTGGACCGTTGTTGCGTGGCTTCTCAACACCACCTGGTATATACATGCTCAGACCGTTGGCATTGTTGTAGGTTGTAGATGTCGTCCCTGCTTGCTGTGGCGGCTCGTGAATTAACTCAGCCGTTGGTTTATCCTAACCGTGCACGCGAAGACACACTAGTCCAGTGTTTTGTGCAATATTTTTGTTGCCAGACCTCGTGGCACGTGCGGGAGCTCCTTGCTTGCCCTGCCCCGTCGGCGCGATTGTTGGTTCGGGACCTGGTGTTCAGGTTGCTTGAAGGTTACCGTGTGCGTGATTGGGACGCTCACTTCCGCCACGGGCAAGAGAAATCTGACCTAGCCGCTACCTTGTTCCTTCTTCCGGCGTATTGGGTCGGCGGTACGCGATCTATGGCTGTCTGTCGACATCAGGTATTGCCAGTTACGGACGGCGCAGAGCTGGAGGGCGCGTGCGAGTCGCTCGTGCTGCTGCTGGACAGGCGGCAGGCGTTTTACCGACACACGGGGGTCCCGGGGGGGGCGGCGGTAGCGGGCGTGGAGGGGGCTGACCTGATGTCGGTGTTGTCGGAGGAGGACTGGCGGAGAGGGGTTGGCTTCGCCGATTGGGTGCGTGTGGTGTTTGGAGAAAGGGCTCCCATTGTGTTGTCGTTGTCGTTGTTGTTGTTGCTGTTGTTCTGGCGCTGCTGCTGCTGGTGACGACCGGCAGTGTCTTCGGGCTTACCCCCTGTGCTCATTGATACCCAGAGCAATCCATGCAAGCTCGGCGCTGCTGCTGCCTTGAAATGGGGCAACAACTTTGGCGATCGAAGGCTGGACAAAACCCACACTGGGCTTTCGATTGATTCGTCTCCATCATCAATCAAACCCCGCCGCTTCTAGAACCAGTCTACCACAGCTGTAGTATGTTGGCCCCTACGTACGTGCGTACTAGTTATTTGTTCATCTGCTGCGAATGACGAAGGAGAATGCCGTGAGTCCAGAGCAGTAGTATGCTGGCCGCTACTCGAGGAAATATGTTCGTTCTTTGCTCTATGTTGGCCTATTCTCGAGGAAATATGTTTTGGGTCTTTGGTCTCCTGCTGCTAACGATGACCAAGGTTGACGCGGTGAGTTCCGAGAGCACTGCAGACGTCCGCCGCTGGAGACGCGCTCAGATCGTAGAGGAGAGCTCCACCGGCCGACTGCGCCTCAGCTTCGACGGCTTGTCGGAGTATCATGACCAGTGGGTCGGTAGGGACAGCCCAAACATCGCTCCTCCTGGGTAAGTCACTGGTCACTGGCGCTTTGTTGTCTGCTTGGCACTCCCTTGGTGATTGGCTCCGCTTGGGTTGCTGTCAGCGCAGTCTTTCTCCTCTGGTCAGAAATTCCTGTTTGTTTATTTGTTTTTGTAAGAAAGTTAATCTCGTCTGGTCGACAGTTTCCGATATAGCTCTCGTACCGTGTGTTGTGTCCTCGATGTTGTCACCTGGATCTTAGAAACCTGTCTTTGGCGCCCTTGTCGGCGGCATCCCTCGCCTGAATCCTCATTGCTGGTGATACCTACACCTCCACCGAAGAACCTCTCTCTCTGTCGAGCTTGTATTGTCATACTTTCTCATGGTTAGAATTCTTGTGTCTGGTTTTTTCTTGATCTCGAGGCTATATACTTGAGTCCAATTTTCCGGCTCACTACTACTGACGAATTTGTATGAAGTCTTTGTCTGATTTACATGGCTATTTCGATTTGAGAACTCTAATGTCTGATCCTCGTCTTGCTCGCTATGGTTGTCGGTAGGACCCGATCGGGACAAGAGGTGGAGCGATGGCGGCAGGCTCTCCAGCGCGGGAGCCTGGTGGATGCTCTGGACCCTAACAACACGTGGACCAATGCCACAGTCATGGACACCAGAGAGCGGATGGGAGCGCCGGTTGTCGTTGGCGTGGGGCCGATGGGTGGCGACAGTGCTGGTGAGCGCTGCCAGTCTTGCACCCGTCAAGAGCGCCGGCCGCTGTCTGTTCTCCTGCCAGAGCTTCCAACCTCCTTCTTGTTTACAGTCAACCGATCGATTCCATCCTGAGAGTCTCGTCGAACCTTGCAGTCTGGTACTGCATACGGACCGCTGTTTATCCTTCGACACACGTTGAGCGTTGCTTCCTCGTTCGTTGATCTCCTTCCCCCGTGCCACCGCTGCCCCTACCCCTCCTAAAGACAAAGGGCTAGACCTCCTGGTGAGCTTCCGCGTGTACCACCCGGACGGAGACAAGGAGGAAGCGCTGCTGCCCGAGAGGCACGCGCTCCTCGCGGGAGAGACGGGCCAGGACCCCGGAAATGCGGTCGGAACGCTGGACGCGTCACCCGCCGCCCGCCGGGAAGAGGAAGAAGCGATGGCTGCGGCGGCTGCTACCGGCGGGCTCCGGGGAGACGCGCCTGGAGGGGGGGTATTGGCCGATCCCCTTGGTGCGGAAGGCGGTGGTGTCGCTGAAGCCGTTGTTGATGGTGTCGCGGCGCCGGCGGCGGGCGGGTGGGGCCTAGCCGGCGGGAGGGGGGTTGCCGGAGGCAGCGATACCGTTGGCGGGGGGGCAGAGGGCGGCAGAAGGGGCCGGCGGTACTTCGGGCTCGCGTCGAGGGACGAGTGGATCTCAGCCTCCAGCGCCCGCATAGAGAAGCTGAACTCTAGGGCGCCGTGGAAGAACTCTTGGACGGAGGAGGCACCTGTCAACGACAAGGAAGACCCGTATCTCACGGAGGACGGGAGCCACCTCGTGTTCGCCGTGCCGCGCGCTCCAGTCGACGGTGCCCCCTGCCTGGTGAGCCAGCGATGCGCTCTGTAGGGTTTCGGTGTACGCTTGTAGCACTAGGGCGTGTTAGTAATTGGCGGTGGAGGTGAATGTAGTCATATCGACGCGTAGACGGTGCCAGGTTTGCGCCGCCGCCGCCGCCGCTGCTGCTGCTGCTGCTGCTGCTGTAGAGGCGTGTGAGGTGATGTCCTACGCTGTCACGCGGACCTTGTTTTGGGTCTTTTTTCGCAAATGTTCACGCAGGTCCATATTTAGTTGGTCTACCAACAGTTCCCAATATTGAGTCGCTTGCTACCGTGAGCTAGCCATGTTGTAGCTTTTCTCATGGTATACAATAGATACGCCAAGTTAGGGTACAGGAGTCTCTTTCCCACTTGTCTGTGTGCTTGTCTTGCCGTACACCTCCCTTGTTGTTACGTATTTTGTTACTGCTGTCGTAGTTTTTTGCCCCCGTGCCTCCCCTGGACTACATTTGTTTCCTCCCTCCGTCGCGTCTCGTTTCTCCCTCTACTAATCGTGTCGTTTCCATGCCTTTTCTCGCCTTTGTCTGGTCTTATCTTGCCTGGCTTTGCCTCTAGGTGGCCGCCGTAAACGCCTTCGGCCGAGCAGGCGGTTTCGAGAACTTGATCGTGCGCCTCTCGCCCCCGGCCCTAGAGGAGACCCTCCCCGCGCCGCTCGCCGAAGCCCCGCTCCCGCCAGCGCCCCCTTCCACAAACACGCCTCCCGACGACACCGAAAACCCGACCCCGCCTTCACCGCCGCGGCCTCCTGTCGCCGCGGACGAGGGTGGTGTGGTTTCTTCCGTCACGGCGGCGACGGAGGGTAGCGGCAAGAAAGTGCCGGCGCCGGCGCCGGCGGTTCCCCTGGAGGCTCTGCGCAGCGCGCTTGTCGCCGTGGCGTCGGTGCGGCCTCTGCTGGCGAGGAGGGTGGCGAGGGCGGTCTTGGGGCGGACGGCGACGGCTGTCTCGGCTGCGTTGAAGGGGTGCGTGCGGCGGCCAAGTACACGTTGTTGTGGTTGTATTGTTGTTGTTGTTGGTATCGTCTTCATGGTCGTCGTTGTCGCCGTTGCAAGCATATCGTTGTCCTTGTCGTTATCGTTGTCGTTGTTGTTGTCGCTATCGTCGTCGTGATCGCTATCGTCGTAGCAAGCATGTCGCTGTCGCTGTCGTTGTCGTTCGAGATATCGATTCCACACCGCAAAGCCTGGCCTAGGTGAAGGGGTTGTAGAAGTGAGTGAGCGCATGGTAGCACTGCTGAATGCCTGTGATCTGTGTAACGTGCTGTTTTTGTCATCCTCTCCTGTCGTGGTGCTGCATCCATCCTGCGTCAAGGGCTTCGGACTCGGAGCTCCGCGGCTTGTCGCGCGAGCGACTGGATGGGATCGTCAACGGCTTCCGCGAGGTGTTGAAGAGAGGCCACAGGAGCAGTGAGGCATACCGGCGCGTCGAGTGGTTGCAGCTCGACTTGGCTCTCAAGCTGTACAGGTACGCTACAATGCAAACTTCTGTTGCGCAACCGTTCAAATGAGGCGTTTTGGTTTCCCTTTCCTGACATTATCCCTCCGCAGCGGAGTAATTACCCCGGAAAGGGATTAATTCTCGCGCAAAGGATGATGTCTCCCCGTAAAAGAGGTTATCTCACCGAGACAATCGTGTGCCGTCATAGCGTTCCCCACAGCCCTGTTCGCCCGCTTAGTAGAGCACCAACCACCCCGGCAAACGAACGTTGGCTGTTCCGCAGTTGTCCTTTCATGGAGCGGAAGCTGCAAGGCCTCAAGGTCCTGGCGGATGCGGTGGCAGCCGCGGAGACGCCGATTTCTAGCTCCATCTCGCAGGGGAGTTCCCCCGCACTCACTCCACAGGCAAGGGCTAGTTGTTGCGCTAGGCTGGAATTTGGCGTGCGATGCTTCTTTCATTGGGTCGAGTGGCTCGAGTCGCGTTGTTTTAGGCTCTGGTACATGAAAGGAGGGAGGCCTGCCGTTGGTCGTGGCTGGCTTACTAGAGGCCAGCCTGTGTTGGCCGTGAGGTCCGAACGCTCGTTGGGGCCGAGAGGGTTGGAGGACGTTAACACAAACAACGTTAGGTGCTACGATAGCGACTACGGTCGGGGCTCGTGCCCGGGTGTTCTGTGTGTGTGTTGTTGTGTGAACATCTACAACGGTGCTTCTTATGTTCGATTCCGTTCCGAGGAAAGAGCTCTCGTTGCACAAAGTACATCGGTGTCGAAAGCAGCACGTGCTGTGCATCGTATGTGTCGCTCGCATGCAGGAATTGGGTAACCCCCTTGTATTTGTCCGTACCCTGCGAGTGCTGCGGTTCCCCCCTTGAAACGCATCCACTCTTCCTGATTGGTGACTCGCAGCGAATGTAGTATAACGACAATTTGCGGCGTTTTTCAGCATCGGAAGGTGCTTCTTATGTTTCGATTCCTTCCCGAGGAAGAGCTCTCGTTGCGAAACCGAAATCGCTGTCCAAAACACCGCGTGCCCTGTACAACCCATGTCTTGCTTGCTTGCTTGCTTGCAGGAATTGGTAGAGTGGCTGGACGACAACAATTTTGTCAAGGCTCTGTTCGCGGGTCACACGCAGCTGATACGCCGGAGCGGCGACGTGGTTGGGTTCTTGTGCCGCGAGAGAGCGCTGACGGGGGGACACGTGGACATCATCTGGGCCGCTGGCGGTGGAGGGCAGGACAAGGACCGAAGAATATGCGTTCACGAGGTGCTCGACCTTTTTCTTAAGACATTGTCTGAACAGCGAGTGGTGTTGCTGTCTTGCGTTGTTGCAGGTTTTAGCAACCGAAATCGAACCATTAGAGTAGGCAGCGTGAGTGGTCTAGTCCAATGGTTTGGAATAGGGGTCCACGAGGTGCTCGGCCTTTTTCTAAAGAGATTGTCTTAACAGCGAGCGGTGTCGCTCTCTTTGTGATGTTGCAGGTTTTTTGCAACCGAAATCGAAGCATGAGAGCAGGCAGGCTGATCAGTCAAAAGGTTTGGTGCTGGTAGTGCCCATATACCGCCACACCCACGCAGCTCAGCAACATGCGAAACGGGAATCCCTCCCGTGTAGCTGTAGTCAGAGCTTTTGATTGTTGTGTGTTGTAGTTCGATGTGTATTCTCTACCGTAGTTCTGTAACACATTGTCTCTCCTCGTTGCAGGTGCTTCGACCGTTTCTGTATCAGCTGGACATGGCGCTCTTGGAGAGGCTTGTGGACAAGCTCAGGGTGCAACCGCCGGACGAGGTCATCGAGGACACCGTGACTTTCATCAGAGAGACGGCGGAGGCTACCCAGCAGGCAAGACACAATCGTGCATACATGATACTTCGGAAAACCTAGAGGGAGCGCTGATTGCCCACAAATGTTCTTTCGGAACGCAGGGGATAGTTTCCGTATTCGGAAAACATAGAGGAGGCTTTTGTTTCACACAACGTTCTTTCGGAAAACAGGGGATGGTTTCCGGTATGCCCACACGATGGCCATCAACTCTTCGCGTCCCTGCAGTTGTTCTGGCAGCTCCCGAACCTTGGACGCGCTGTATCGAACCCTACATGCCGACATGTATTGATCGTGTCCTAAATCGAACCCTACCGACAAGTCGCGACCATGTTCAGCCGTGAAAAAGAGTCTCGTGCGACGTCACCATTCCTCCGCCTGCCCCCCTGCAGGGCGGCGCGGCACCCGCCATCCGGTTGTTGGACCTCCTGTGGGCAATGGCAGACGACAGGTCTCCTTACCGTCCGCGCATCAAGGCCAACGCGGCGGAGAGCATTCTGCCGGTGGCAGGGCTGCGTGGACTCAGGGGCCACCGGGCGCAGACCCTGCAGCGTTGCGTAAAGAACGTCGAGGAGGGCCGGGCTGTTGTCACTTCGCTCAAGGTACTTGAAAGCAAAGAGCAGGTTGCACTTGTGCGGTGTGTGCTGGTTGATACGCATAGAGTTACGCTTGTCAGGCGCCACACCCCACACCACGGAAACACAAATTCTCATGTATGGAGATGAGTATCTTGCAACATAGCTTCAACACTATCGTACAGACGCACGGAAGTTGATAATAGCCGGCTGGGGTATCTTCGTAATTCGTGTGCGATCGCGGTGCCGGCGTCGGATGCTGCAGGTAGATAGAGAAGCAGCAGCAGCATCCGTAGGTACTGCTGCGCATTCCACGTTCTCTTTCTGCCCGCGTTACCTCGAGACCAAGACAAGCACTAACATCGTGCTTCTCTTGACCCTTTTTGTTGGTGAGAGGGAAGGGAGGCCGTGTTTTACTTACTGGCTTACTTTGCTGTGACGTGCACCGATCGGGTGCTAGTAAAATATACTGGCAACCACAAACCTCTCTTTCTTGTTGACCGCTGATTCGTTGCCTTTCCTTCCTCGACGCTACTGCGGCCGCCGCTGTCCTGTCCTCGCCGGGACGTCCCATTCCTTAGGTGTTGGAGGCGGTTCTGCAGAACTACCCTAAGGACGCCACGAGCTACGAGGTCTTGTCTAGGCGAGACGTGATACACAACCTCGAGGCTGAGAGCGGCTTGACGGAGCTTCTCCTGAGGTGAGTGAGAAGTCCGCGCTCCCAGATGCGGACAGCTGTTTTTTGTGCCCCTGTTGGAAAGCACGCTACTGGGGGGGTGTTTGCAGATGTGTTGCGGCTCACGTGTTCGTTGGTTCGGGGTTCGCGGCCTCGAAACAGGAGTCTCAGGAAGACCTTTTCTGTTGCGTTGTTGTTATTGTTGTGTTCATATCAAAAGCCGTTCCGATCTCTGCTCAATACCCTTTGAATAAATAGTACTGACGCGCACGCCTCCTGTGGTTAACTATCCAAGAGGGATAGTCTTATTTGCAGGACACCAGGATGGCAGAAGAGGGTTGATTTCCGTCGTTCCCCCGCTTGCTTAGCATCGTCAAGCGCTCTCTCCCCTACCTCCCGCGATTTCGGCGCCGTCGCGCTGCTCCCGCAGAGAACTGGAGAGTTACGTCGCCGGCTCGAGAAGTAGCACCCTGCCGGAGGACACCAGCGACGGCAGTCTGGCTGCCGACCACAGCAACAACCCTCCTTCGCCTTCGCCGGTGTCGGCGGGTCCTGCATCAACCGCGGCGGGGGTACGCAGCCTTGAGAGGAGGGGGGGGTCCGACAAGAACGATGCCCACCTTGCCCAGGTGTCTATTATTATACATGTGCCGTATGGACCTCGCTTGGTTTTGGTGACCCCCATCATGTTTTTGTTGGTGTTGTTTCTGCCGGTACGAGGCACCGGGTAGGGTTCACCGTATTATTTAGTAGACGGACTTGGCACGCCCCGACTCCTACTTTATTTATTAGAAAAACGAAACGCCCCCGTCCTCTCGTGACCCCGGCTGACACGTCGAACATACATTCCACAACCTGTAGGTGTGTAAACTGGTGCCAGAGTATATGGGACGAACACACATATGCACACCCTCTCATCGGATGGTTTTCCGTTTTGTCCGCGGCGCGCGTGCGTGCGTGCCCTCCCACCCAAAACCCGTACCATATAGGTTAAGGCCCGGCTGCACACGTTGGAGCACGTCTTCGACAACTCTCGCCTGGTGCTCAGCACGGAGCAGATCAAGCGCCTCTGGGCGTGTCTCGGGCCCGGCCCCGGCCCCGGCCTAGCGGGGGCGACGCCTGGCGAGGTTTCCACTCTTCTCTCTTGGTTTTCCAAGGCGTGCGAGGCGTGCGAGGGGGAGGGGGGGGGCGGCATGTTTGAGCCCGGCGTCGCTGCAGAGCTATTTCAGGTTAGGCAGGAGGGACTATATATTTCTGGTGTGTTGTGTTGTGTCAGGGGTCGGACTGATCTTGGCTGCGGTACGCTCCAACACCGGTGTTGTTGCGTGTTTGGTCGTTTATGCGTACGAGGGTTTAAAGATGTCGTTGCTCTTTTTTTCGCGATATTTTTTTTTACTGCGTTGTTGTTGGCGGTGGTGTTGGTGTGATGATCAGTCAAGAGGGTTGTCGTTGTACTGGGGCTTGACACGGCAGTACTTGGCCGGAATCGCTTTTGTTTGTCGTTCGCGCACGTTGGTCGCCAGGAGCTGATCGTATCCGACGGAGAAAAGAGAGACTTCGCAGCCACGAGCGCCAGCCCCGAGTGGTTCTCGTGCTTCCAGACGTTCTTCTTCAAGGTCAACCGGCAGTCGGGTCGCATGCACGTCACGACTGCTCCCACCACCACCACCACCACCACCAGCCCACGCGCCGACGCGGCTTCGACAGCAGGCCAGACGAGGGGCAGGGGCGGTGGAGACGATGCGGAGGGCATGGTAGCAGGTGAATTTGGCGTGTGTGGGGGGTCCACGGAGTGAGTGGAGTCTTTCTTTTTAATGAAGGCTACTATTTCCAGGCAAATTTACTTCTATGTCATTTGGCACGACTACCAGCATGACAGCAGAACCGACCCGCTGTTTTGCGAAATGTTTCGCTAAAAATCAGAGGCTTAGATTTTCGCGACAATAATAAGGAAATAGGGTTGGTTAAGAAGCATAGCTAGCTCAGCGGTGGGTCCTATACTAATATAACCTGGAGTATATTACAACCTGTGCTCGACGGTGGCAATGAAATATGAAACTGAGCCTCGACCAGATTTTCCCTTATCTTCTCTCCGGGCCTGTTTTGTACCCTACACGCTGCCACCCCCGCCCATTCTTACGCAGCGACGGGGGACGGAGACGTGGGTCGAGACACGCCACCACGCGATCCAGACTCCCCCCTCGACTTGGTGGTGATACCGTCGGAGCTTTCAGGGATGCGAGCTCTCTGGAATGTCGCCCTAGAGGCTGAGGACGCGACGGTGGTGGACCAGGCCACGAGGCTTCTCAACCGAACTCATCAGGTCTGTGCGGGGTATGCTTCTTTCGTGCGACTTTGCACGAGTTAATGTCTTATCCTGTGTGTGTTTGTGTTTGTGTTTATCCATTCACGAAAGAACGGAGACGCTGTGTGTTACCGTTACCGTATCCTGAAGTCGTGTTTTTGCATCTGTTTTGTGTTTGTGTTTGGACTTGGTTGAGTTAGCCTCCTCTTGAGTGGAAATGGCAAAACGATACCATACCATACCATGCATTCCCGTGCACAGCAGTAAAACCCTTCTCGCGTCTTGAGTTAGGGTAAATGTAGCCCTTAGCCCGGCAGAACCTTCGTTACCTCACAAGGTTTGAAAGCCCGTCCTCGGCCCCCTCGTCCCCCCCCGATGACTGTCTGTGGATGCCCACAAATGTTTTGTATGTAGCGAGCTACTCCGCTCTCAGGCATGCTTTTGCACTAGAACACGCTTTGCTCATTCGACATGTCCGCGCACTCTCCTCTCTCGTATGGTGGGTGTTGTGTCTTGTTCTTATTCTACGTGTTAGTTCGTCAATAATGGGTCGGTTATAGACCATGTACCTTCGAGGAATTGTCTAGAATGCTCATGTTTTTGCTGCTGCTGCTGCTGCTGCTGGTCGTGGTCGCAGGAGCTGGCCCCGGGTCTGCGAGATCGTGTCGGCGAGATCCGCGAGGAATACATCAACACCTGCATGGCCTACGTCAAGGTGTGCGCGTTTCTTGTGAATCTTTGAGACGCGCCCAAGACGATAATGCGCCCATTTCCTTTCCCCGCTTCGGAGAGAACCAGCGGCAGCGCACAAGTACCTGTAATAGCCGTTCAAGACCTGGGCCTGTGTTTCTTGCTAAAAAATATGACGAAACACTCGATCGTGTTTTGTTTACGATAGGATTGTTACCATGTGTTTCGCTGGCGAAGCCACGTTCTCGGTGAGTGTTCACTCCTTCTTATTTGTAGCCTCTTCGAGACGAGCGCCGGCCGTGCGCCGTCCCTCTCGTGACCTCCGTTGGCCGCGAACCTTACTGGTGACTGGTGATTGGTGATTGGTGTCGGTGCCTGCTGTTGGTGGTCTGTTCATAGCAGAAGGGAAACGACGACAGCACCGACTTGGCGGACAGCAACAACGACGCTCTTGCGACGACGACCACGCCTGGCGAGTCGTCTAAGGCCTCGTCACCATCACCATCACCATCACTATTGTCAGCGTCATCGTCAGCGTCATCGTTATCGCTGTCGTCCTCCCGGCGACAGCGGTCCGTGGTGCGAGCCCTCCACCTGCTGGAAGAGTTTGTGGACGAGACGGAGATGGGGGGCACCGTGTGGATAAGGGGCCACGGGGCGAGGGTCAGGGGCGCAAAGGTGGTGCTCAACTTCGAAAACAAGGTATGGTATGCATACCAGCGGCAGGAGATGTGGGCAAGGAGTAGGGGGGGTTCTATGCCTGAAGGTCCTGGGCAGGAGGGGAAGTATTCAAGGCATTGTGTTGTGTAGCGCCTCTCTCAGAGGCTTGCACCCCTAGACGATGCCCCCGGCCCACAAGCGCTCCGTGAGTCAGTAGCGTAAGCTCGGGGCTGAGTTGGATCCCAAACGACGGTTTGTAAGGCGGAGTTGGGCAGCTTGAGATGGCTTACTTTGTTTCGTTTTGCCTGTGATGTCTGCGTGGGTATACCATTCCTTGTAGGTGCCGCGTAGCATAGGTGCGTAGCGAGCTATTGGCATGGCACTTGTCTGCATCCGCGATATGATCGGTGGCGACGCGATATGATTGGTGGGGGCATGCGTGCGGCAGTGAGAGTGCGAGAGGAACAATGACAGGGGCGATAGTTTTGCAGTGGGCTAGCGGCGGCGTGTTTCGTACTTCGTCATTCTAGTCGCGTTTATTCGTCGGAGCTCTTTTTCAGCAACGATTGGGGTGACATGTCTTTGTCTCACCGTCCGTTTCTGGTTGTTCCAGGGGACCTGGTGTTGGGAAGATGCCATCGGCAAATGACAAAGATGTTAGCAAATTTCTCGGCAAGTAACACTTTTTTTTCCTTCATATCTTGACGTATTCGCTTTCGCCACCTTGACAGGTGCCGGAGCCGAATCGGATGGCCTCGAGCTTCAAGGTTGAGATGCATACCAACAGCCAAGTCTGGGAGGTGAGAAAAGTAAAAGTAGGAACTTGCGTGAGGCACCTACAAAATTGGTGCATTGCGACCCTCGTTGTTTTCAGCCCACCCCCCGAAGAAGACGTCTCTGTAGCACTCGCATAGGCAAATGTTTTTTCAGGGAATGCTTCAGGTCTCTACTGGTCCTCCGAGCTCCGTGCTGTCTTGAGTTATCGTTCATTTTCGGTGAGCCATGATGTACGAGGTGATCTTTGATCATTTCCATGTCTTCCGAGAATACGGGTGTGTGTTGTGTTTTTTTTTTTTCCCTCTCTTGATCACTCCCGTGTCTTGACGAGAATATGAATGTACGTTGCGTAGATTCTGTGGGATCTTTGATCACTTCATTTCTTGTCGAGATATTCGAGCGAGAATTGTAGCTATTGTACATTTTTTCTACTCTGTCTGCGGTAGAGCTACCAGGCACTAAAAGTCGCATCCCACGGCGCCCCCGTACCTCTACCCAACCGTTGTCATGCCGCAACTATTCCAAGGTCCGTCGAAAGGTGGCCCACAGAGGCAAGATGCCTGTGGAAGACGTCGAGCTGAAGGTCATGAGCGGCGAAACTGGTAGCGGTTCGAGGAACGGCGGTTACGCCGGCGGCACTGAACGACGAAGCGTGGAAGCGTTGGATCGGAGCAACTCCAGGCGGCTGGGAGACCTGGGCTTGCGGTGAGGATTGTTGTGATTTTCTGTCAATGAGATGAAGGGGACTACTGTAGGTGCTGTTTGTTGTCTGATCGGAAGAGGAAGAATTTATGGACTACGCTGGGTACGCAGGGCATCAGACGAGAGAAGGGAGAGGAGCAGAGGGGTGTGACTGCAACAAGAGGCTGGGGGTGTTTGTCTCTTGCTTGCCTTGCACCGTGCTAAGGGGCTCACAGCCGCGCTTGCTTGCTCCAAGCTTGCTCCTGACGTGATGGCGATGGTATGCATAGCAGCGATTGTTTTGGTGTGATGAAGAGGGACGAAGGAACACGGGTATCTTGATTTACCCACCCCTATTTTGTCTTGCAACTATCATGGGTCTTGACGGTATGATGGTGATTAGGATGGTTATGACGATCGTTGTGATGACGATCGTTGTGATGATGATTGTGACAATGATGATGACGATGGTGATGGTGATGGTAATGGTGATGATGCAACAACAGGAAGGGCGACGTGTGGGTAGTCTCGAGGAGGACGGGGCCAGCGATCGGACGTTCACCCCTCCTCGACGCCTCCGGGAGACTCATTCCGAAAGCTCGAGCTATCTTCGAGCAGTGGTTCCACAAGTTCGAGGTATGGTACGGTACGGTACGGTACGGTATAGACGGCACCCAGGGTGACCGGTGTGTATTTTTTTGGTGGTGTTTGTGCAGCCGCTGCTGTGTGCGTGTGTTTTGTTTATGGTATTTGTGGAGCTATTATAGCTGCCAGCAAGAAGGGTTTCCAACTAATAGTAATAACATAGCAGTAGTTGTGGTATGAATCAACGCGCCTTCGTTTCACGAGCCAGATAGGTGGAAGCACCGACGTCGGGGAGACTCGGAATTCAGGGAGTGGTCCCTGTTTTTGGCTTGTTCTCCGTAGATTGGCGGTTGTAGCGGTGGTGTGGGATGTCTTGTTTCGACTGTTGGGAATGTTTGGTGACCGGAAAAAGCAGCCTCGGGCGGTTGCATTGCAAGAGCTTTTCTGTAGTCTTTGCCCGCACCCGTCGTCGGCTTGGTTATTCCCTTCGGCAAGGGCGAAGTGCTCTCGTTGGCCGAGAGGGGGAGAATCAAGGCACGGAATGAGCGGGTGGTCTCGTCGAAAACGCTTGTCATGTGGTACAAACGTCGTTCGCAGTTTTTGTGGCATCTAGCTGTGGGTTTTGTATCTCCGTCTGCCGCGAGAAAGGAATGGATGAATCCAATCACCTTCCCTGAAGCCAAGGCTGGGAATTCCTCTGACACCACGGAGGTTACGGGCCTTGCTTGATTTGAGGCAGAGCAACACTGGGCATCTCGCCTCCTTTTTTCCGCCTTTGTCTGCGTCTGCAGAACGCCCATGGCGTGATGGACCGGGTGGGCGCCGCGAGGTTTATCGACAGCTGCTGCCATGACCAGTGCAAGCCCACGGATGAGCGGGTCAACAAGTTCTTCAGGTGCTTACAGTCTGGTACAGACGCCGAGGACGACCTCGTTTCTCTACATGTAGTAAGAGATGCGGCAACACCCGCCTGTCTGGTGTGTGCATGCCATGCCGGAGTGAAACCTTCATGTAACGCGTGTAACTTTTTTAGAAAATAAGCATATTCTCACAGAAAGACTACAATACCCGTTCGAGATATAACCACAGCAGCAGTCGAAAGGGATGTGGTCAAGTCTTTTCAGTGAATGGAGGGCAACCGGCTGGAAACTGGGCTTATTTTCAGTTTGTTTAAGCCTACACACTGAATTGCATAACTTTTGGTCTTGCGGTGGTACCGTGGGGGACTCTTGATCGATGGTATGCATACAGTAGGTGGTGGGCTGACACGTGCACCCCTGGTGGCTTTGTGCGGTTCTCTTACGGTTAACGACTGGGACGGTGCGGGATGACCGTACTTTTGGTGTAGATCACGGAACACGATGTGTGCTTGGCAACGTATGCCGGCACGCCAAGTCTCCATCCAGGATGGTGCTAACTTGACTGCCCTCGCTGCTGTTTCTCACGGTGGCCACTGCTGGTACTAGATTGCAGGCACGTGTGGTCGTGAAATGGACCACGTGCTGGTGGTGGTGGCACACCCTTGGGTATGCATACATGCATACCTCCTCGAATGTAGGTGTTACGGGTGTTTTAATCGTCATGTGTGCGTTGAACGAAGAACGTTCCGTTTTTTTTTTGTTGGGTGCATGACGGTGATCGGTGCGGTGGACTGAAAAACGAGCAGGAACTACGACAAGACGGGCGACGGTTACATGCGGCTGGATGACTTCTTGAGGCTCTTCAGGGACAGGTGAGAGACGCCACAGGACACGACACAAACAGACAAGTAAATGCCACCAGTAACGTGCTGCTGTGGAAGCCAACCCTTGATGTAGAGATGGGTTGCTTCTTGCGCACCGAAGAGCCTCAATCGGCAGCGATTGGTTGTTGCGTTTGGAGGGAGAAGATTTTCTTTCCGCTGGAAGGGTGTCGGTTGTCGATTTTCGTGAAGCCGTAACGTCCCTGCACAGCATTGCACCCACGGCAGCAGCAGTGGCACCACTCGAAGGTTGAGGTTGGCATAGAACGGGCAGAGGAGGGCTCTCTTCGCGGGTGGTCCGCGGAGGTAGGTGGTGGTAGGAATGGCCGGTGAAATTGGTCGTCTTTGCTGTGCAATCTGCTTCTCATGCGAATGAACGTCCTGCTGAAGTGATGAAACGAAATTTGTCCGCGGTAGATGTATGGTGGCTGCCCTAGCCTACCAGGGGGCGTGGTTCATTTGTTATTACCTGGGCTCTTCGCGCAAGTCTTGATACAATCTTTCCCGTAAGGCTTGGCGGTCTTGACGATAGTCAAATCTCTGAAAGTATACAGCGATGACAGCAGCAGTGATTGAGGCGGCAGCGGCAGAAAGGGTGTGTTTGTGGTGTTTCGGTGTTATGATCGCGTGCCTCTCCTTTCGTCTAGACTAATGTGGAGGCTGGCTGTGTTGTTCGTGTTGTCGTACCGAAACGTGCCTCGAGCAGCTGCAAGGATCTGCCGCATGTGGTGTGGAGCAACCTCAGGGCGCACCACTACAGGGACGATCTTACGAGGCCCAGCGTCTACGATCCCGCTGCCACTAACGTGAGAGAGAGAGAGAGAGAGAGAGAGAGAGCGGTGGGTGTATTCCAATAGCACCTGTACGGGAATGCTCCTTCGCGAATACCATGACGTATCGGATCGCACCATCACCATGTATGTGTGTTGATCATCCTGTTTGTTCCATCGTTCGTAGCGCGCACGTATGTAGCACGTTCGTTCTAATGTGAGATTGTGAGATTGTGAGATGCTCTTAGGGTTAGGGTTATGTTATCTTTGCACTAAATGAATGATTCCTTGTTTTTTAGCAATACCCCCCTCCCCCGGACGGTGGGTCAAACTTGGTGTTTATGCTTATAGCAAGGTGTCCATCGCGGTTAGGCGACACACCATAGAATGGAAAATACCGCAGGCAGCACTACCATGAGGATAGGGACATCCACAGGCAAGTGACGCTTCACCCCCCCCTCTGTCTTTGCCCCCCGACCTCTCTGGTTGCTGCTGCTGTAACGTCTGCCTTGCGATAAAATAGACGGACGAAAGAGGGGAGGCGACTCCTCCCGAAGGCGACAACCCCTTCCGCCGCACCGCGAGCCAATCCCAAGAACAAGACCTACCCCTCCCCCGCACCATCATCTCGCGGGACCCCCCCAGCGTGAAGAGCCTTCTCGGCGTCCTCTCCCTCGGAGGGGCCGCCGCCGCGGCCGCCTGGCGCTTCCTCATGCGGCTCCCGACCAACCCCGAGATGCTGGAGGGGATACGCAGACTGGAAGGTTTCCGGAGCGGGGGTGGGGGCGGCGGTGGCGACAAGTGGAAGGCCTTGCTCGGTCCGCCCGGGTCGCACGAGATGCTCTACACGCTGCAGATCGTAGACGGGGTGTTGGACTTCTTGGCCGGCTCGGGGGGGTTGGGGGATGGACCCGCGGGGGGAAACAAGGAGGCGTTTGCTTTGGACGGGCCCGAGAGTGTTCGAGAGAGTGTTGGAGAGTGGGAGGTGCGCGTGTGTACGTTTTGGTCATGTGGCAGATCGGTCCACTAACGGAGGGGTTTTGTCGTTGAACGTTGGTGCCGGGCCACTTGGAAGAAACAACGTAACGAAAACAACTCTTTGAACCAATTTGTTCTTGTTTTTTCGCAAGAGAAAAATGACGGAAGAATTTGGGCTCAGACGCCTGTACTGCACAATTGTGGTGCTTTGGTTTGGGTGAATTGCCTGCGCTGGCCCGTTGAGATGAATAAGTGAGGCTTCGACCCTTGCCCAGAACGGTCTGTGTCTTGTGAAATGGGCCAGCATAGTGAATGCTGCCGATTCGGCCTCAGAGCTGACAGAGCACGCCCTATGCTTCTCTCGTACGCACGGATGATCGCGTAGTGTGCGTTCATTCAACTTGGATGGCGTCGCGGTACTCGGCGGTGTGCGTTGTTCTCGTATGCGAGTGACCCCGTGTGTGTCTCAGGCAAGGCGTTCGCCCATTTCGACCTGCAACAAAGAGCGTTCTCGAGAGATTCCACGAGGTCATTCGGGCAAGAGTCAATAGCCGTTTTTTCCACTGTGTGCGATGAGTGCCAGCACCTGTGATCACCGGGGGCCCAGCAGCCATTAACTCTTAGCCCTGACCCCCCATCCTACATCCATCCTACCGCAGGGCGTAGACCCCGAGGTTTGGGTGGTGGGTTTCGTGCGCAGCGGCGGATTCTCCCAGTTTTGCGAAGCGATACTCACGAGGGGGCTCTTCGGCGACGGTCTCCCCGAGAAGATGGTGGACGCACAGCAGGCGTGCCTGGTGAGTTGCTGGAATCGAATCGAATCGCTGCGAAAGGTTGTCGTCGGTTGTGTTTTGTGATTGCGTATAGGTTGATTTTTCAGGTTTCGGTGACTGGTCATCTCTTGGCAAGGTGGTGGGTGGAGGCGAGGAGATACTTTGGCTCAACCACGTTGCTAGATGTTTACGGTTTCGCTTCGGGGTAGCACTATGGTCTATTCGTTTCGCCGCACCTGCGTTGACAAGTTTGTTGACTTGTTCCGACTCCTATCATTTCGGCACATGGCCGGAGCTGAGCTTGGATACAAGTGGGACAGCACCCTGTTTTTCCTTCGTTAACAAGGGTGATGGCTAGAACACGTGCTGGCGTAGACTCTGCTGACCGATCAGAGTCGTCGCTCTGATCACCCGCCCCCTCGTTTGCCCTCTCACTTCTTTACTAGCGCCTCCGGAAAACAACAACGACGGCGGCTGTCCCCAAATACTTACCCTTCCTCGCATGGCAACCATGAACAGGCCCTCATGCTCAAGGTGGTCCGAGTTGTCCTCCTGGGTGTTCTCTCCATCTCGACGACGGAAGGGCAGCTAGACACTCCTGCTGCTACCGCCCTGTCAGCGCCTATCCTTCTCGACGATTCAGAGGTGACGACAGCAGCAGGTGGCACCCCTGAAGGAGGAGGCGTCACCGCTGCTGAAGCGACCCCCAGCCTCCCGAACCCAGCGGGGAACACGCCGCCAACGGGAGAAGATGCGCCGCCACTGTCTTCGCAGGGTGCGACCGGCGCGGTTGCGGGCGCCGCGGCCGGCGATGACGTGCCGCCGACTGGTGGCGCAGAGGGAGATGGGCAAGCTTCGCCTGGGGCCTCATCATCGTCCGAGGGGGGGGCGACGCGGTGTGGTTCGGTTTACGGCAGTGGTGTGGGTGTGACGTCCTCCGCCGACCCCGGGTCGCGTGAGAGGGCTTGCGGGCTGTGGGCGTGCTTGCCGAGGGACGTGACGGCTGCGGTGCTTGGGGCGATGGAGACGCCAGAGCTGCAGGTTGGTTTGGGTTTAGAGTTGGGGTACTGTTGTTCCTGCACGGCAGCACGTAGTTTCGCCTCGTGAGAAACTGCTTGCTAGCTTGCGAAGGAAATCGGACCTTATTTGGTTGAACTGGCAATAATATGGTCTAGATCATGAGATCTAGAGTACGATAGCTCTAGAATACCAGCGCAGAGCGTGTCCAAGTAATTGTATGTCTGACCCAGTACTACCCTCGTGTACCTCTCTTGTTTACTGTGTTCTGAGATACATCCCTCTGGTGGTGTTATACTATACTACACCAAGAGGTCGTGTTCAAAACCGCCTGTAGACGTTTCTGGAGCAGGGTCGCATCTCACACTGCCCAGCGAAACGCACACCACAGCACCCATGTCTCCCCCCTTCCCTTCTCTTGCCACATCCGGGTCGATGTTTTTTGTTCGAGAAGACTCGACTGATGGAGCTCGCGGGCGTGGCAGCAGACATCGCAGACGCGAGTTCGCGCACCGCAGGGGGCGCCGGTGGTGTCCGGCAGCAGGCTGGCCCGCCCCGTCCATCGGAGACCGCACCCGGCAGCACGGCCCCGCTGGACTTATTCGGTTGGGTGGGAGAGGGCGCTCCCGCCGACGCGATGGCACAGGAGGCGTTACGTCTCTGGGTGGGCGTGTCGCGGGCGCCGGCGAGGCGTCACGGGCGGCTGCCGCTGCCGTCGGTGGAACGGCGGGTGGAGGGCAGGCAGGGAGTTGCCGATGATGGGCGTTCCTCTACGACCGCGGGACCGGGGGCGGCGATGGACGGGCCTATCTTGAAGGCGATTTTTTGCGCGAGCGACGCGATCCGGCTGCAGCTGGCGCAGTCCCTGCTTTCGGTGTGCGGCGGTACGGGGGGTCCCGTGGGGAGCACTGGAGGCGAGGGTGTGGGAGCGCTGACTGCGGGTTCGTCATCGCCGATGGGTGGCGATGTGCCGAGCGATGATGCCTCCGGCAACACTGAAGAGGAGACGGACGATGGGGTGCTTGTGAGCCTTGGCGCAGGCGAAGGGAGCGCCACCGCCGGAACGGGGTCCCCCGCACCGGAAGCAGAAGCCGCTGCTTCGGCCGGGATAAGAACGACCGACGGCCTGCGGGAGCACGTCGTGCGGCTGCTGCTCGCCAACATGCCGAGGGCGGAGGGGGCGGGTGCTGGGCCGCGGCGACGGCGGCCGTCGGGAAGGAGGGACTGCACACAGCTGTTCGATGTCTTGTGCTCTCTTGTGGAGGAATCGATCAAGGGTGCTGCTGCTGCTGCTGCTTCTTGTACGACGGAGGCCGAGCACGACCGTCTTCGCGTTGATAGCCTAACGGCTGACGTGGTTGAGCGGTTGCTTGCGCACCCTTGCACGGAGAGGAGAGGCGCCAGAGAGGCCGACCAGGATACCCTCCTGGTGAGTGAAAGAGAGAGAGAGAGAGAGAGAGAGAGAGAGAGAGAGAGAGAGAGAGAGAGAGAGAGAGAGAGAGAGAGCGCGAGAGACAGAGAGAGAGAGGGAGAACCACCCGCAGCAGTCGCTGGTCGTTCGCGATATGCGGTACTTGTAGTTTTCCCATGCTACTGAGTTGGTACTCAAGGTTTTTAATGCGGAATGAAATGGTGGTATAGATTTTGTTGCGCATGTGCGCTCGATTTTGTCATGTTGGACAGATGGCGCGCCGTCTCATCGCTGTGGCCGAAACGGCAATCGTCTTGACGGCTACTGTAGTTCGTCTTGGGTGTGATTTTTGGGGCGGGAGTAAACGTCGCTTTGATAGGCAAGTCGATTGGTGCTGGCATGGCCATTCAAGGTCGCGAGTGTTCCGATATGCGTCAAGTTTCTCTAAGCACGTCATCGTGCTCCTATTCTCAGCGAGCCTTGACGCGATCTGACCACATGCTGAGCGAGAACAGTAGTCTGGTAGCGGTTGGCGCCTTGAGCGCTCTCCATCAACACTTTTGCCCACCGATTTGCACCCTGTGCACACGCTTCCCTTCCTGTTTAACACCGCACGAATTTGCCCCGTGATTGACGCAGGTTGGTCTCCTGAAGCTGGAAGTTACCATCGTGGAGGCATGCCCAGAAGCTGCTCTTCGTGTGGGAGAGGGGCTCGTGGAAGCCCTCCTGGACGACTTCCTCTTCGCTCCGCCAGCCACGGCCAGCACAGCCTCTGAGTCCCTGGCGCCGACCCGACCCAAGTGCAAGACGGTGGCATCGCGGGCCATGGCCTACAAGCTACTGGCGGCCCTTTGCCGGCCGCGCTTCGTGTCGCCCGCTGAAGGCGGGCGGGGTGGCGATGATTCTGCGGCGGAGGGGAGTGGCGGCGCTTTCGACGTGTCGCACAACCTCCGGCTGCTGCTTGAGAAGGGGCTGATCCCTCTGAGGCAGCTCTTGTCCAAGCCGGACGTGTGGGGGTACAGGTGAGGAAGGGAGACGTGACACTGCTCTAGCCGGCCAGATAACGAAGCCTATTTTTGTTTTTAAACAATGTTTGCTTGACCTCTCTCCACCATCACGGCTCTGGTTCCTACATGCGAGACCCTTTTTGGAGGCACCCGCCATCCATGCCTCCGTTTTTTTTGCGAATGGCCTGTACACCGTGAAACTGTCGTCGATGAAATAAGACTTAAGCCTTGACGTACCCCTCCCCCTTTGCACGTGCAATCGATGCCGCCATACCTTTCTAGCCCGAGCCTGGGCGAGCGGAGCACCGTCGGGCGCGTGGGGCTACGGAACTTGGGGAACACGTGCTACGTGAACTCTTGCCTGCAGCAGCTCTTCATGATGGAGCCGCTGAGAAACGGACTCCTTAGCCTCGGGGAGGGTGACACCGAGCCTGGCAGGTGGGCGACTGGAACGGAGGACAGCCTTGTGGTTGTTGGCCGTGCTCGTTGTTTGGTCGAATCGGTTGGGGTACAGCCTGGCATAGCCGCGATTGGTCCCGTTCGCGAAAAGGGGAAGAACGATTTTCTTGATTTGTTGTTTTTGTGTCGTCGTCAAGATTTTTGGAGGGCGTGTTCTCTGTTTTGGTCGAGAACGTGGCGTCATGCTCGAGGTGTCCTTGAGAGCTCCAGACGAAGGGGTAGTTGTTGGTGTGGAGTCAGCCGGGCGCAGCTGGCCAAGTGGTGACGTTGGGCGACGTATGTAATGACCCACGCCGGAAGGTTTAAATTTTGTCAAGAAGGAACGGCAATGACACCTTGGTTCTCTTGTCCTCTTGTTTTGTCTTGAACCTTCCGCCGTACTCCCATCTCCCTTGTCCTTTGCCTCCCCTTTCCGGATGTGTGCACATCCATGTGTGCTTGCTGCCTCCCCCTGACTGGGGGTTGCTTAATCCAATCAACGGCTCTCATGGTCGTCAACGGTCCTGGTGGTTCCTTATCAACCCGTCACGCCGTGTTCTGCGGCACCGGTTCTGCATGATGCACAGCCTCGTGGGGGAGCTGCAGAAGCTTTTCGGGCACCTGACGATCAGCGAAAAGCAGGTACAGCAGTGGGAAGATGCGACAGAAATATGCGTACCACCGGCGTCAGCGTTAGCTGTTGTTGAGCGTTCGTTTTCGGGCTGAACCCTGCCAAGTCAAGGCCTCGTTGTGGTATAATAGTATTTAGTGTCGGGCTTGCTGCAGAACTGCGAGAACGAACCATGCGAACGTCTTAGCGGAACCATGTCACCCACACTACCGGGTAGATGAACCACGGGTGATGCGATGCTGCGAAATGTGATTCTTCTTCTTGGTGTGCGGGGTTTCATGTTGCGGCCTGCGTTCAGCGTTCGTTCATAGTCGCGATGGTCGGTGTGTTTTTTCGTTTGGTGGCCTCGGATGTGTGTATTCGTGTCGCGGCATTGTGTTTTCGCTGCAGCGGCCCTGTAATAGCTTCGATAGTATGATATCACTGTAGTATGATGTCACGAAAGTATGGTGTCACGATAGCATGATATCACGATAGTATGATATCGCCAAACGATGAAGTCAACCCCCTGCTTGGGATCGTCTGACTGATGATAATGGTGATGGTAATGCTTTGTGCTCCAATCCAGGCTGTGGACCCCCTCCCATTCCTTCGAATGGTAAAGGACCTTGATGGCAACCCGATCGACGTGTCGGTGCAGCAGGACGCGCAAGGGTTCTTGCTAGACCTCTTCGACAAGATGGAGGTGCGTGTCACGTATGATGCCAAAACGGTCAAAAAGGCGTTTGCCGTTGTTCACGCGTGTACGTAGGTAGGTAGGTACCCCTTTTAGGTGTGTGTGCGAGAAGGTAAGACGCCAATAACCGTCTCGTGCAGTGTTGGTTTGACCGACAGCAACTGTATTGACCGACAACAACATGATGGCGCTGCCAACAACCCCTCCTCCCCCCTCTTTTTAGTCTCCTCTACGATGCACCCCTCGCGCGTGCGTTTCTCACCTCTTGTGCCCCCGTTTGTTTTTTGCCGATCTCGCCGCAGGCGGGCCTAAAGAACACCCCGCAGTCCTCCCTCATGTCAACCTTCGAGGGTAGGCAGATCACACAGCTCATCTGCCCGAAGCCTGCGGCCGCCGCCGCCGCCGCCGCCGCCGCCGTACCTGAGACGACTGCCGCAGCAGCAACAACGGTAACGCCGCCCCTTGAGGGAGAGCAAGAGGTGGAGGAGGGTTTCGACATGAGGGAGAGGGGAGAGGCGTTCATGTGCGTAAGCCTGGAGGTTAAGAACATGGTCGGGGTGGAGGATGCCCTCGAGAAGTTCACGGAGAAGGAAATGATCGAGGGATACGCTTGGGATGACGAGGTGGGTGGGAGAGTGGCGCAGCAGAGGTTCGGGGCTTTGTGGTGCAACGTCGAAAGGCGGGCTATTCTTGCCGCATCCCGGTAAATAATGAGATGCTCGTGCCGAGAACGCGGATAGGCGTGGCGTGAGGTGGGGTGTTGTTGCGGAGATGTTTGTACTGCATGTTGGAGGTGTTCACCCTATTGGCTTGGTATGTGGTTGTCTCTTTGACTTGAAGCCTTAGCCTTGTAGTGAGTGACTGCAGCGAAGTCGTGCGCTCATATGTTCCTGGTCTACGAGCCTGCAGTCTTGTATCGGGGTATTTGACCACTCGTGATCTACGACATAGCTGCGCGTCGCTATTTAGTGTCGGAGGTATTTCATCATCGCCACCACCACCATCACACCCTTGACTTGCCCGCTGGCTGGCAACTTCTCCGCTACCTTTCAAGCTGCGGCACTCACGACAACTCCCCCCTTGCTCTTTCCTGCTATCCCAGCGGAGGGACGTGTCCATATACAAGAGGACCGTTCTAGGGAAGCTTCCGCCGAACGTGGTGCTCCACCTGAACCGCTTCAAGATGAACCTTGACACCTTCCAGACCGAGAAAGTTAACACGCGATTCGACTTCCCCACCCGACTGGACCTAGAGCCCTTCACGAAAGAGGTGAGGGGGGCTTGGCTTGGCTTGGCTTGCCGGGGCTTGGTTTGCTCTCGAGGGCGCGAATGTAAATCGAAGTTTGATCCTGACGCTGCTGACAACGAGTCTTCTGTGCGACCGAGCCTCGGTTCTCGCTTGTCGCAAAGCAGTCCCGTACGGTAGCAAAGAAGCATGACTTGACCAAGAAGAAGCAGTGCCTGGTGTTGTACGGCTACGCTTCTTGCCTAGCGGCAGTAGGCTTGGAGGCTTGGTCGTGGCCATAAATATATGTTCTAGTGGGCGCTTACCTGTTGCTATGGAGCCTATGTTCTCGGTGGGTCGCCTTATGGCGTTTGTTTGTGGTTGCTGTTGTTTCGATTTGATCTTCGCGTTATCGTCGAAAGGCCTCTGAAAATCCTGGTCTAGTCGCTGCAAGCCTGTCTCTACGCAAGCTTACGATACCTTCTCTTGTCTACTCGCTCCCTCTTTGTCGGTGTTATCGCTATTGTTGTGCCTTGTGCCGCAGGGCTTGGCTTGGCGGGAGCGCGTGGAGGCTGCGGGGGGACGCGGGCCGGAGGACGCCAAGGTAAGCAAGGGCCTACTGATAGCCAACACGAACACAAACTAGTTATGCTACGGATGTCCGACGAAATCTTCATAAGCGGAAGTGCCCGCCCGTACGTTGTGAACGAACACGGCAAGGCTGCTTAACGGCGGCGCGGGCATTGTCGCATGATGCAACAGAGAGAGAGAGCGACAGGTCACGTGTGCGCTCGTTTCGACACCCTCATTATGTAGAGCAGCAGGCGGCGAGTTACACGAGCAGATTCTCCCGACCGGCAAATTTATCTACGATCGCATTCGTCTGAACCCGGTCCTCTCGAGGACGCGTGGTCAATGGTCTAACCGCTGAGGCATGCGGAACATGAGAGTACGTCCCCCCTCCCCTGACACCCGCGTCTATCTATTCCGGCTTGAATGACCACGACGTACTGCTGTGCAGAGGCTTGGCTTGCCGGGACCGTACGAAGTCCACCCTCGGTCGTACTACACCTACGAGCTTCGCGGGGTGGTCGTTCACACCGGAACCGCAAACCAGGGCCACTACTTCAGCTACATCCGAGACCCGAAGCAACAGCAGCAGCACGCCTCCTCCTTTGCCGAAGAAACGGTCGAGGGCAGCAGCAGCGGTAGCAGCAGCAGCAGCGGGTCGTCTCCCGCTAGCGCGTCGCAGCCTCCGGACGCCGACAGGAGCCCTTCTACAGCGTCGCTGTCTACGGACGGCGTCGGCGGTGGGGGTGATGAGTCGAAGGAACCGGCGACAGCGGCCGCCAACGGAGGTACTGGTCTCTCGCAGACGGAGGCTGAGGGTGCCGGGGGGGTTGGTGGTGCAGACGTGGACGGTAAGGGGCCCCCGCAGTGGTGCGAGTTCAACGATACCATGGTGAAGGAGTGGGCCGTGGCGGGGCGGAGAGCGGGAAGCGAGGGGGGGGAGCGGGGGAAGGAGGACGGCGGTGGGAGGATTGGCGGGCTGTCGACGGATTGCTTCGGCGGGCAGCAGACCATGCAGGTGATATGAGGAGGGTGATGCGAAAAGCTGGTGCGTAGGAAGAAACCAAGGAGTTAAGCCTGCTGGTGCGGTGGTGGTCACGATGGGTGTTGCTACGGCGATGGCACTTGTGGTCTACTATTAATACTTAATACTTGTTTTTCTAAGGAAGAGCCCTGAAGCTTTTGCAACAAAGTCGGCGATCCCGACTGTTGAGGTAGGTGTTGCAATCTTAATGCGTGCTGCTCGCCCGTGGTGTGTCGCGAGCGAGGTTGCACCATAACCGCTCTCACGCCGACCGCGGCTGCGCTCCTCGCCGCACTTGCCGCTGTCGCGGTTGCCGCAGGAGACGGACGAGTACGGCTGGCCGCGCACCCTCCGAAAGGACAACATCCAGAACGCCTATCTTCTCTTCTACGAGCGGTGAGTGCCGCCGTCAAGCCTAGAAAGGCGCCAGCTTGGTCTTTGGTTGCTTGCTGATGCTGCACTGCGCGGCGCGCCATGCGGCCGTCTGAGCATGTGGACAACAAAGCATGGCGAAGAAGCCCAAAAATTTCAACCTCACCCCTGTTGTTTTCCCTCCCGCGATCGTGTGTTTCAAATCGGACCGTTAGTGTTGACCAATCTTACGGCGCGGGTGCCGACACCGCTAGTCCGGAAGAGGAAGGGGAGGGGGGCTCTGGAGAGCGGGATCCAGGCAACCACGGCGAAGAAGTGGCGGCCCCCGCTGCACCGGCGGAGAAAGCGGAAACGGGAGTTGGCGGGGTTTCCACCTCGGCAGCGGAGATGGAGGCTGCGGCGGTGCCGCCTTCCGTTTTCCGACAAGTCTGGGACGACAACAACAAGTGAGCGGCGGGGAGAGAGGGGGGGGGGGGGGCGCTCTTGTTTGGAGGCTCTTGTGCGAGGTTCGAAGAAGAATAATATGCGAGCTCTGATTGGTCGAAGACCGAAAGAACAAGCATTTCTATGTTTCCATCAGAGCTCAATTTTTTATGTGCTGACTTTGGTCATACACTCAACAATTCACGTAATCTTGTTTTTTCAAGGCCAACAGTAATGGTTTGCTATCTCAACCACAGGAGGGTGTTGATGTTGATGTTGATGTTGATGTTGATCCCTCAGCCTCTGGTGTAGAGGCGGTCTCTCCGGAGCAGCGGTGGGGACCGTGAGGTATCACGGGACAGGACAGTTCGCTAATTAGGAAGAGGCGACGGATCTCTGGAGACAGAGATGAAGATGGAAGTGACAGATGAGGGGCGAAAGGGGCTGTACACAGCACACGTCTTCCAGCGCTGACGCAGAAGCAGTCTGACGCGGAGTGGGTACACGCCGTGGACACACGCCACGCTGAGCTGGCACGCTGACGTAGCGTGAGACAGCTATCATGGCAGCTGGCGGTCTCTACGACAGAGATGTGTTCAAGACGTCAAGTTGACGGCGTATCTCGGAGCACGCGCATTCAACGGTGTACGTATGCGTGCGCACCGGGATGATCCGCAGAACAGTGCGGAGGAACAGTTGGACATGATCTTCTCCTCGAGTATGAGGGTGCTCTACGGGGAGAGACCATCGACTCACAACAGAACCATTTAATTTATGTTGTTTTTTGCGATTTGATTGTTCGGACGTCGTGTGTACCCGGCCTCATGACGGACGGACATTCCGCGACGCCCCCGCCGACTGCCTCCCTTGACTGTCGTACGTACCAGGTTCCTTCTCGACAGGCAGCTGTACCACCCTGACATGTCTAACTTCGTGTTGGATATCATCAAGGCTGTTCGACAGCTTGCCTCCGCCTCTCCCGCCACCACCGGGGACAGAACAAAGCCATCGCCGGGTTGTCTCGCAGACACGCCTGCTGGCGCCCTTGAAGCGAAATTACCGAGAGAGGTTCCGCCTTTGTCGGACGGTGTAGCAGTAGATCTGGTGGAGGGGTTCTTGGAGTGGGGAGTGCGGTACCTTCTCGACAACCTGGCGCGCGCGCTCGACAACGACGCCTTTGCTCCATTGGTGGAGGAGTTGCAGGCGAGTCGAGTCAACAGGGGGTGTTGTCGTGTGAGGGCAGCCCTCTTGGTTTGCTTCAACTCTGGTGTTGCGGCAATGCTGTTCGATGATGCGGTGACCTCCCGATGGTCTGTGTATCGTGCCTCCGCATCTTTGGTCCACGCCGTGTCTTTTGATAGCTCGTGTTAGGTTGCAGTTTTTTGTTGAATCGGACGAGAATGTACCAGGATGTTGGTACTACTTAGTATTTTCGCGAACTCTATGGAAGAAACCCTTCCCGTTAGCACAAGGTGACTTGGCCCAACTCTGTCGCTGCCTTTGTTGTTGTTGGTGGCGTTGCTCCCTCTCCCTCTTCCTGTCCAGGGGCTGTACGACCTAAGGCCTGAAGCCGCGGGGGCTTTCCTCGACGCGGAGACGGAGGGGGGTATGCAGGGGATGCGGGAGATGCTTCTGCTGTGCCCCGACCGCTCCGTGCGGGTGGCGATGCGAGGTTTCTACCTCCACCTGCTCGGCATTCTAGCGGGGGCGGAGGGGGACAGGTGCGGGAGTGGCATTTTTTACAATGTTTGCATCTGTCGGAAACGTCTGGCGTGCAGGTTGAACCATTCAGTTGGGTTCTTTTCGGTTGGGTGAAAGCGATGAAGCTAGACGGTTTTGTAAGGGCTCGTTTGCTCGTTTATGAAATTGTGTCCGGAGCACGCGTCGGAATGCGGTGCACTCCCGGTGTGAACTCTGACGAACGCATTGTTTTGAACACCACAAGTAATTGACAATAATTCCACGCCGTCGTTGGCGTGCCTCTCTCTACCTCTCTCTCTCTCTCTACCTCCCTCCCTCTCTCTCCCTCTCTCTCTACCTCTCTGTCTACCTCCCTCCCTCTCTCTCCCTCTCTCTCTCGCTCTCTCTCTTTCTATACCTCTCTCTCTACCTCTTCCTCCCTCCCTCTCATTGCCTCCCTCTCCCCCTCTCTCTACCTCCCTCCCTCCCCCCCTCACCGTCCACCTCTGTTCCATCAGATATCTTGACTACGACGACCCTCCCCCAACGCAGCAGCAGCTCGACCCCTCCTTGTTAGCCGACCAATCCGTCACCGAGGGGGGGGGCGGCGGCGCCACCGCCGCAATCGCCGGAACCCCCACCGCCACGCCGACATCGAGCGGCACCGCTTCTGCTCTGGAAGAGGGGACGGAGAACGCCCTGTGGCCTGCAGCAGGGGATCAGGTGCAGCTCCAAGAGGAGATGGAGGAGGAAAGAGGGCGGTCGAGCACGCGGCTGGGGAGGGTGGTGGCCGGCTGGGTCAGTCTGCTGCCCGACGCGGCCAGATCTTGGGGACGGTTCGAGCAGTTCTTGGAGGTGATCGAGGGCGTCGGCAACATGGGGGACAGGGAGAGAGATCTGCTGCTCAACAGGCAGATGGTGTGCCGACTGGGCTCATTCTTCTTGCAGGTGTGTGGGTGTGAGGGGGGAGAATGTGACTCGTGGGTTGTCCGTACGTGAGAGAGGGAGGTGGTGCTTGCGGCACCGTGCCACCTCCGCTGAGGGGTGACTTTTCCGCTGGGGCAGCTTTAGCGTACCCAATCAGAGGTAGGTGAGTTCTTTTAGCGGAACGATACGCACCTGCTCTCGCGCTTTTCCTTTCCTCATCTCTTCACGTCGTGCCGCCATGGACGCAGACACCAGCTACATGTGTCGTAGGGCTGTGTTCTCCTCACGAATGCATGCATAATCCTTACCAAAATGTGGAAGAAGAAGAAGAAGAAGAAGAAGAAGAAGAAAAGTTCCTCCGCTAAACGACGAGCACTGCCCCCCTGAACTCGTCCCGCCGCACCCAGGAGAAGAGCCCGATGTACGACCCTCACAAGCGACTGCCGAGGATGGGACACAAGACAGCGCCGCCACGCTTCTCGCCGCTGGTGCGCTGCTTGAGGTCGCTGCGCGCCCACTCCGGCGAGACTTCTCGGTGGCAGCCGAGGGGATCGGTGCAGGTGGAATCGGACACGGACACTGTGTCGGATAGCGAGGGGTCCCGCAGTGATGACAGGTATGGGTACATGTCTGTTTTTTTATTCTAGGTGCAGCCTAGGCGGGGCAATAACAATTTTAGATGGCCAAAGAAATAACGCCAGTCCCCGCTTATCCTTGTCCGAAAGCAAAACTCAGGGTGAGAGTTGAGACTGTTGCAGGGTGCCACGTTGAAGGCGACGTCAGCAGTGTTTGTTTGAGATGTTAACAATGAGAGAACATGACAGGCGCGCGTGCAAACTATTTGTTTTTTTTGGGGTGTCGGTCTTCTAACAGCAGTATTCGTTTTTTCTTCTGCACGGTTACGCTGATCAGTTGAAGAGTCGGTAATAAATCAGCGGCGGCGGCGTGCAGCTGCGTTGACATGATGCTAACGTTGTTGTCTTTCTTACTCACCATAGCTTGCAAGCACCTGCTCAGCCAACGCGTCGCTCGCCCCGCCTGCCCCGCTTTAAAGCGCAAGCAGCATGAGAGCGGTCAAGTCGATGCCGGTGGGGCCGGTGGCGGCCTTCCCAGACAGCGGTGCCGACGCTATTAACGAGGAGGGCGGGCCCTTACCGTTGTCCCTGACGACATCATTGGCTCCGATGGACCGCGAGACTCTAGAGGTCACGTCCGGCTCGCCTTCTTCTGCTGCAGCTGCAGAAGAGGGGGGCGATGCAGAGGTTGTTGGGGTGGCGGGGGTGCGGGGCAGCAGGATGACCGCGAAAGAGCGGTCGAGGAGCGTGGCCTTGTCTCCGGGTTGCCGACGGTGCCTGAACTGCGAGACGCTGTACGATCTGGTGAGGGGCGTGCGGGGATTGTCCGCTGCGTATTGCAGTCGTTGTCTGTATCCTGCTGCACCTAACAGCGTACGCTACCGCGACACACCCAGACGTTGTGAGGGTCGTCGTCTTTGTCTCCGTCTTATCATACAACTACCATACCGAATCACGTCCGTCGTACGACTTATAGTACTATGTTACCATGCGGAACCATGTCCACCTATGGTGCCGAATCACGCCCGTCGTACAACAACTATATACCGTGCCGCCACATGTCCTCCGTTGTGTGCGGTCAAAGCATGCCCGTGGTTGGCGCCTAACCGATGACGTCGTGTCACGTGTTTTGTACCTCACCTTCTCGCCAACCAACTGTGGCAGGCTTTCGAGGAACACCACGCACCGGAGGCGGCGGCCGAGCTCATGTGCGCGTGGGCGGCCGACGCCTCTAAGCTGCTGCGACCGCTCTCCCGACTGATCGTCCAAGGGGTCGACAGCACACCCTTCGCCGATGTCGACAGCTGGCTGCTCGCCCTCCGGGCTTGGCTCGAGGTGGACGATACCCTCAAGGTACATACATATGCGATGGGTGCACTATAAATATTTGTACTATGAATATTAATACTATCAACATGAATAGGTGCAGTCCCCGAGTAGTGTACGATCCTGTTACACGATACATGCTCAAGGGTTTTGATGGATTTGACGGCGGGCATGGCTTGCACTCCACTGATCATGAGGTTGTGCCCTCAATCAGAACGGTGTTGTAAATTTGGCGGGTTGGTGCGGCCGATTTTTCGAAGCGGCGTGCTGCTCTCCGCTCCTCGCAGACCTTCCGAGACTAGTTTGTGTGTTTAGGGCGATCTTGACAACTGGCTGATACGTTTGGAGGCGAGAGAGGCGTGGTATTTTTGGTTGAAAAAAAAACGGAACGGTGATTTTTGGGTGGACACCGCCGTGGGCCCAGCGCACATCATGAAGTTACCACGTATTATTTTTTTGGAAACTGTCCGCGTTTTGCGTGTTGTCATGGCCTCGTTATCTTGAGGTGGAGCGGTATCAGATGGTGCTGGGCACGGGCAAGCAAGAGGTGGAGCCGAAGCTCCTCCTGCTGATGATGTTGCAGCAGGAAAAGTACGACAAGTGGCTCTTCCGCGTGCTGATGGTCGTCTCGGAGTTGATGGTGAGACAAGCGATCAGCTATACCCTCCTCACAACGTACTGTAGTCGTAGCGTTGTGGTGTTGTGGTGTAGTGGTTTTTGTCGCGTCGCCATCGAAACGTGTACTACGAGAGCTCTTGTGCGGTTTACTCTGCCTGTGCTGTGCCGGCCTTGTTCTGCATGTGTGATGTACCTGCTTGTGGTTGCGCCTCTCTCTGCTGTTCTGCGACTGACGGTGTTCGAGTTGAATCGCCATGCAACCGAACTTGGTCCTGACGTGCTTTGCGGTACACCACAAGCGCGAAAGCCCCAGCATCCGAACCCCCCCCCCCCCCCCCCGCACTCCTCCTCCACTGCTGCTGTGCCCCCGCCCAATGTGGTCGTTGGCACCACCACCCACGTCGGCCGGACTAACATACCGGTGTGTTGTATACCCAGGCCGAAAATGCTGGCATTGGGGCACATGTCAGCAAGCTCCGCAGCCACGAGATGCTCCCCTGGGCGGACTGGATGACCAAGCACCTGATGGACACATACGACGCATACGGCTCTGCGCTGGGCGGTGTTGGGCCGCTTCGGGTGAAAGAGATGGACTTGATCCAGATCAAGGAAAACCTCAGGTGAATACAAATAAGTCTACCCTGTATGGTGGTCTTGTTGCTGAATTCCCGGGGCAAGTAAAGATAAACATGAATGAATGTTGTCGCGCCCCACGCAGCAATTTTTTTATCTGTCCATTGCTTGTTGGGGGGTGTTGAATAGCGTGTTTCGCGTGGTGGATACGGTTGCTCGCATGCGGAGGTATGTCACAGCCTCTCTTGTCCGAGTCTATGATAGCTCAAATACAGCTTGTTTTTGGGGTTGTTCGTGCATGTTAAAGGTTTCAGTGTAATGTGCTGCGTCTTGGGCGAGAGAATGAATTAGTTATATCTTGCTGCTGTGTTTCTATCCTGTTTATGGCATCCCTTTCTCCCCAACACCCCACATGTGCAGGAAAGAAACGACGTGTTTTTTCTAAGTTGACGTTCAGTTTGTTTCCATCGAGCTATCCGTGCACGCACATGTCGATGGACATCCAGAGGCACTCCGTCCGAAAAGAAATCATGTTGACACACACGGGGTAAAGGTGGAAGTGAAATTGTACCGACAAATCGGGTGTCGCCCTACAACGTCAAACCTTGCCAACGTTGCATGGATGGTACTGTACCTTGCAAGCGATGATGTTGGAATCGTTCGACAGCTATGCAATACCCCAATGGTACATGCATACTTCGTGTGCGTGTTTGATAGCATTGACCGCGCTACCCGGCTAACCAGTGACTAATTAATTGCGCGCGTGTGTGTGTGTGTGTGTGTTTTTTTTTTGTCAGCGCGTACGAGAAGGCCTACTTTGGCCACACGGCGGAGGAGCGTTTGGTTGACATGACCAGGAGGGCCAGGATCGGCCCTGCCGAGGGAGAGCCGGGTGTGACTCGGGTGGAGAGCTCCACAAGCAACGGCGTTCAGGTGAGCACCGAGACAACCACGAAAAATAAGAAACGGAATTGAATTCAACAGCACTGCTCTAACAGCATTAAGAGAATCAGCCAGCATAAAAAGCAACATGGTATAGGTAGGGTTTGAGAGGCGCGCGATGATGATGATGATGATGATGATGATGATGTTATGTTCCCAAATCGCCGCGAGAACGCACTTGCTGGTGATGGTCTCCAGGGAACTCGTCCTGCCTGACAAGTTGGTTGGTTTCCTTAAATGCGAAGGGCGCGGGGAGAGGGGATGTACGATGCCAAGCGATCCTCATCTTGTATCCTGACCCTTTGCCTTTGGAAGCTCGGAGTATACACAGACATGATACATGTCGTTAGGTCTTGAGAGTTGTGTGGAAAAATACAAGTATCAAGGGGGGTGGAGTCGGCACCATTCCTTCGATGTCTGATTTTTGTGAGGTTACCATGCTATCTTCGATGTGCGTTGGCCCCCTCCCCCCATGCGCATGATATTGCATGTTGCGATGCCCAAGTTGGTGCGCTTCGTGTGCGTTTGCGCTGACTATGGGCCAATGCATGTCTTTGATGATGATCGCTTGTTACCCTAGGTGGAGATGCTAGACGCGACAGACACGGCCATGATGATGCTCGGCGCTGGTGGCGGAGGGCACATGACGATGGCGGGAGGATTTCCCCTCAAACGCTTCTGGAGGGTAAGCGCGAATGATTATCAATAGCGAGGGTCATATCACACCGCATATATTTTCATTCTTCGTCTGGATCCATGCAAGCATCGAGAGAGGAGAGGCGAGCGTTTAGTGTCGCCTGGTTGAGTTTTTTTTTTGTGTTGGGTGCAGGTATGTCGTTCAAGGCCATGTGTCCTTCCAGCGTGGGTGCCGAGTAATTCCTCCTCCTCCGCCTTTCCTCCCCCCCCCCCCCCTCGCGCGCGCGAAGGTAACAAACCACCGGATGGACAGCGTGACCTTCACCTTCAAGATTGAACCCACGCCGTCACGGCTGGACACAGTCTACCCTTCCCGCCGCCCCAACTACCACGTCCCGGCCGGGCGCGACGTGACACTGCTCCTTAAGCCCAGAGAAACGGCGGGCATCATGGAAGTGGACAAGCTCGACCTCACCAGGGAGTTTCAGCCGTGAGTGTTGTCGAAGCAATACAAGTAGCCTTGTTGCTTTCTCAGAGTCGGTCGCCCCCAAGGGACTATTAGTGGAGAGACGGGCGAGAACCTAATTTTGTAGTAATAGCTGTTGGCAACACCTGGCAGTGGAGGGGAAGGAGAGGGCGCTCATTTTTTTCGTACGGCGGCTTCATGAATTTCGTAGATAGCAGTGTCTTTTTTGGGCAAAAGTGCGCTATATTTACAGCAAATGGGAAGTTCGTTCGTTTCTTGAGGCCTTCAAAAGGTGGAGTCCGCAGTTTTGTATTCCGGCTGAAAAAAGGCCATGTCTGTTCAGGCTTTGAGGCCCACACAATTACCGGCACGTTGCGCTTATTGGTCGTGTTTTACGGCAGAGATTGTTCCGACTGCACGCCACTCTCACACACATTTCAACCATAAACACGAACGGAATCAAATCAAATCCGGCGCCGTTATTCCCCCGCTCTCAGGCACCCATTTAACTGGGTTTTCGAGGCGCTACCCGAGACACCAACAGCGACAGAGGGAGCAGCAACAGCACCACCGCCAGCAGTAGCAGTAGCAGCAGCAGCAGCAGCGGCAGGGGAAGCTGTTCCTACGACGGTCCTGCCCACGGCACTGACGGCGTCCGACCTCCTCGAGAAGCAAGCCCAGCTCGAGGGCGACCTCGGGGAGGCGGCGAGGGTGGCTCTGAAGCTCGAGCAGGAAGAGGCCGCCGAGGCTCAGGCTGCCGCGATCGCCGCTGCCAAGCGAGCGGAAGAGCACGAGCTGTCCCAGGCGGTCGCCGCGACCGCCTCCTCCCTCCCCGTGATCCCGTACGAGGTGGTGTCCAAGGTCAAGGCGGACGGAATCTCGTCCTCCTCGGAGGGAAAGGTCGGAGACGCGGGGGCGGATGATGCCGGGCGGAGGGCAGGGGACGAGGCGGAGTTTTGGGCAGTCAGGGCAGAGGCGGGGCCACGGGTGGAAGACGAGGAGCACGGCGAAACCGTCCTGTTTTCTCATGAGGGAAGTGGTAGTGCTGACGGCGGCGGCAGCACGTCGGCCGGGGAGACGGCGGCCGTTCAAGATGCGGACACCGCCGATGGGAGTCATCCCGAGGACGACAGCAGCGACCACCGTGTGAACATTTGATGAGCTCCTGTAGTTTAGGACCTTCTCTGAAGGTGCGCGGGGGGGGGCGGTTAGGTGCCAAGGGGTCACTTTCCAGCCCTCGAACCGAAGAAGCGCATTCTTTTCATTCTACGAGTTATTAACTCTGCGAAACCTTGCATATTGGTAGGCGTTGGTGCGTAAATTTTCGACGACACGTTGCGAGCTGCGGCGCGTTTACGTTTTCATGTTCGTTAGGATATATTTCGTGGTTCGGAAGGAAATACACATACCGGTAGGTGTGGTCATCAGCGGCATTGTAGAGTTCGACGGTTGTCCCGTCGTGTTTGTCGACGTGCGTTGTGAGTGACGTCGAACGCAATTTTGGTCTCCAGGAAGAGGTGTCTCTGTGCGTGTGCGTGTGCGTGTGCGTGTGTTTGTGTCCTATTGAGAACTGAAGCGGCTTGATTTTTCGTCCAGGTGTCTGTCTGTGTATCTGCTCACGATTTGTTTTGAATCACATACGTTTGTTTGCCGTTCAGCATTTCCGAATGCAGTAGTCTCCCTCATCAATGTCAGGGTATTTTTTCATCCAATATTTGGACTTGCCGTGTTTGTCACTTGCCCATCGTCCGTACACACAAATGGAGGATACGCCCCACCCTACCCAAACAAAAGCTTCTTCTCTTCCTTGTGTTTGGCACTGACCACTGCCATGACGAGACGTCCGTGCTCGATGTATCTACAGTACCTACATTAGAGGGGCTTCGCCTCATCTGTCACAACGGTACTCACGCGCTGGACAGACGGCTCCGTCGCTTCGAACGTGTGCTTCGAAAGAAAGAAACAACAAGAACGACCCACCCGCCGGCAGGCCGTTCGTTCCGTGCGGCGGAGCTCCTGCAGAGATTGGGAAAAAACTAATGCGGCACATCGACGTGAACGGATATATTGTATTACCCCCCGACAACCCCGAAAACATCCAGCTCTGCACCGCTGACACCACTAGACAACACGCCCATGCAGACAGGCAGAAGTTGTTCTGAGCAAAGTTGTGTCCTCCAAGCGTCTGTTCTTCGGTCACCGGCTACAGCACTGCAGTAGAATCTCAAAAAGGTCTCAAAGAGATCTCAAAAAGGTCTCAAAAGGGCGGGATGCCCTGCCACGCCTCCCCGTTGCGGTCCAGAGAAGACGGGTTTTGATCCTGGTCCCTCACCCAAGGACGCTCGTTAGCGTCTTGGCTTTTGTCAAAGTCGTACCGTGGGGCTGCCAGGCGGTGAATCAAGCAGTTGCAGGCAATGAAAGGAGAAGGAACAGAAACGTTGCGCCGAGGAAGGCGAAGAAGGTGAAAAGAGGAGGCACAGGTTGGTTCACATACTTCTAACTACGTTTTGGGGAACGAAGCTTTTCTCGCTGAAACAATCCGCTTCGAACGGTCTACTCGGGAATAGAGAGTGCAACACTGCTCCAACAGAGATGAGTCTCTGCATCAACACATCACCACCGTCCATAATGAAGCGTCTATATCTTCTTTGAACAAAATCGTACGGATGACCCTGGGAAGCCGATTTAAGTGCAAGTTGCAGGCTGGGGGGGGGGGAGCCGTCGCTTCGAATGCACCATAAACGATAGCTTGAAAACATCCACCCCACTCCAACCATTGACACAGCGCGTAACCGCTGGTCATGGCGACAGGATAACACAGGATCACCGTTCGCAAATAAATCAGGGACCCACAATTGACTTCGAAACTGCCATGCGGCTTGAATGAGACATACAATGGCGGAGTCTCATGCGAACACGTCAACCACGGCGAAACGTACACGTCAGGCCAAGAACTCACCCGGCAAGACGTACGGCAGTGGCAGCAGCGAAAGCGGAAGACCCTTCCCGGCTTCGCAGTCGTACCCAAGGCTCAGCGGGAACCGTTGCGTGAGCCCCATCTCTCCTGGCGTGCACGTGAAGCCCGAGGCTTTCGCGGCAGCGTTGCCATCGTCGGAATCTTGAGAGGGGCTCCGCAACAGGCTTGGGAGAAACATGACCCCCATCTCGAAAGATCTGAGGGTAAGGTCTGTCGACGCCTGCCGGAAGGGGCGGGGGGGGGGTACTCGTGTAAACGCATGACGTCGTCGGTAGAGCAATGGCCCATCCTTATGGAGGTGACCCGGTGATACTGAGGCAACCCCTTCCTTATTGAGGTACCCTCACCATATTGAGGCAACCCCACCCTTATGGAGGTGACCCCGTCCTTAATGAGACAACTCCCATCCTTATTGAGGAAACCTCACCTTGTTGAGGTAACCCCACGCCGATCGGCTGAGGTTGCTGCTGGTGAGCAAGAACCACGCCACTTCGTCCCCGTCCACACGTGTCTCCGTCCCTGATGCCACACGACAACCAAATCAAGCCAAGAGCATTGAGGGCAATCAGGACGCCGCGGAGCATGGCACCAGCAGACTCGGGAATCGAAGAACCACGTTTGTCCGATGTGCGCATGGCTTAGAGGTTCGTACAATTCTCATTTCCTGCACGCTCTGGGTGGGCGGTCAACCGGCGGTCGCGGGGGAGCTGTGCTTGTTTGTAACCTTACCGCTGCCCAAGGTCACTCGAACAACAACGACAAAACTTCCTCGCAAGTGTTCAACGAAGATACCACTTGCAATAGTTGTTGCCTCCGGCAGTCGAGAACAACCAACATAATCCTCTCTCCTCTCCTCTTTCTGCAGAAGATGAAGGAGACAAAATTTTCAAGGCTTGTCCTTTGTGAACATGTGTCTTATTTGTGGTCCAACGCAGTTGCACGAAGCGTTGTAGAGTAGACGGCATTTGCGGTCGGGACTCCTGCAGCATGGTAGCGCACAAATATATCAGCCTCTTCGGCAAAGTGCAACAATAACATCTTTTGGGTTCATTTTGTCGTTTCATCGTTGGTTGCCTTCGACCCCAACAAAGCCAAGGCCACGAACCCCTCCCCGCCTGACCTCTCCAAACTTGACCTCACCATTCTCCCCAGCCACTTCCCGGTACCGCAGGTAGGACTTGATGTGCGGAGCGTCTCTGGTGCGGTTGACCGCAGGATTCCCCTTCCACTTGCGCAGCAGCGGCCGGAGCTCGGGCAGCGGCGTGTTGGACCTGTAGTTGTCCATGTTGGGCCACTTGTACTTGCCCCCGTACATGTTGACGGTGTTGCAGCAGATGGATCTGCCATAGAGACGGGCACCAGAGGGCAGTCGGTGGTGCCAGAGGCGGTGTGTGGCTGTGGCCGAGGTCTGGCTAGCTTCGGGGTGCCGTAGGTGTCCATCCTAAACACCTTGTTCTCGGGGGTGGTTCTAGGCCACCACCATCACGTCAAGTGGTATGCACAGATCAATACAGACAGATTGAGTAGAAATCGGAACGGTACTTCATGTGAAGACAACAACAACAACAAAAACAACCACCATCACCGATTCCAAGGCGTGCGGCATGCGCGTTGCCAACAAAAAAGGGGCGTGCGGTGCGAGCTCGCGGCCATGGTTTGTTGCCTTGATTTCCTTGACTCTCAACACGAGGAAGGTCGATAAGGGGAGGACAGACCATACATCATGACAGCAGCGCCAAACATTGTGCTGGGCAGACCCGTGTGTACTAAACAAACTAACTCTTCACATGTGCAGGTCTCTTTTTGTAGTCAGTCCAAAAATGCCGCATCTCACGACCCTTATGTGGGCGAAGAACAGACGGGTTGTCAGACATGACCATGCCAAGGATCGATTTTCTTACCCTCCCGCTATCCAGCCTTGCGACGAGGTGCGAACGGCCTCCACGCTTGGCCAGACCACTCGCAAGTGCTGCTCGAGTAGGGTCGCCTGAGCTTCGTCTTCAGAAACGGACCGTCTAGTTGGTTCTGCCTTCTTGCCCTCATCCTCCAGTGGCATGAACGACGCCAGAATTTCCGAAAGCCATCGGTTCTGAGACACAGCAGGCACAGCAGTTGGAACATTGTTAAGGGGCACTCGGTTGTTGCACATAGTGACTCATTTGATCATGGAGGCGGAGCAGGAGCAACAGCGGGGAAAAAATCAAATATCCTAGCTTTTCAAAGGTTTCTCAAGTAAAACACAGGAATTTCGCGTATTTGCTTCCCTTCCTATATGACACATTCCACCACTGTGGGAAGGACCACAACGGGAACCTATTTTCACCAAGTACAGGATCTTCGGTAAGGAATCGTGACGCACAATACAGCGTGTGTTACAGACAAATCCCTTTGTGGAAGGCCAT